CCCCCCGCCCACCTGACCTGTGGCCAGATGCCATCAGTGGAGCATCGCATCTTCGAAAGCAGCTCCTGCACCTCTGGCGGATACCTACTGATCCCCTTGGCTGTCACATTGGTGCCCGCTGCGGTGCTCTCGCCGCTCATCGCCCGTGGCGGCTTCACGGCCACTCGTCGCGATGGCACTATGGGCGGGCTCACATGGAAAGGGGTGGGCAGAGATGACACAGCCGCCACCAGCAGCAGGCCGGCGACCAGGAAAAGATAGAAGGCGCATCTTCTGTCCGATTTCTTGGCTGGGTGAGGCCCCAGCCGGTGACACACATTCCTGCCGGCAGACGAGAAGAGGATGGATGACAGCACGCCCACCCACGTGTAATGAATGACATCTGCCCCTGCCGACCCGATTATGGTGGCGAGAGAGAAGGGGAGGGAGGCCGTCCCATCTGTTGAAGGCGCCATGGATGATAGCAGTGGCCCAAAAGACACACGCAACGAAGAAGGCCCTGCAGCAACAGTGGCGAGGGCGTGTGGTCAACCGCCATCCGTATGCTCCTTTGCTCACCTGTCAGGGAAATGCGATGGACAAGCCACGCCCAGCAGCGAAAGGTCGCATCATCAACCGATTCGCCACGCAGATCTATCGATTTATCAGAGCTCCTTGAAGATCTCTCTCAAGCTCGCAAAGGCCCCCGCTCCGCCCCCGTCTCAAGCTGAACCAAACCGCTGCCTGAAATCGATGGACAGGGACATCTCACCGCGACGCCGCATGCACGATGCCTTTGAGGGAGCTGATGAACTTCTCGAAGAACTGCGTGCCCGCCAGACGAGCGAGAGGAGCCACAGGACGAGCGAGGAGAAGACCGTGAAGCGCGGCCTTGCTGGTGGAGCAGACGCGAGGGCTCTCGTCCACTCTACCGCAGACACACTCGACTCCGCCAATCGCACAGCGTCCTCAGACCTTCCTACAGCGCCGCACGCCGTTGCCCGCAGTGCAAATGTACCTACCGGCCAGCGGGGCACCGCTCAGCGCGACTCGGGCGGCAAAGGGAGTCCCATTCATCCCTTTCAGGCCAAGCTGCAGCGGGAATCGATATCGCCACTGAGACCCCGAATCACAAGCGGAGCCGACACCCGCACAAACGCCGACCAGAGAGCATTCACGCCATTCCGGGCATCTCTGGAGCGAGTTCGGGAGCAGCGGGCTCCGGTGGTGCCACACACTGTGACGGGTGGCGGTTGTGGGGGAGGAGACGTGCACCCGATGCCCGCTTTCGCCCCGCCGCAGCCCACCGCTAGTTTTCTGTCTGTTCAGCCTCCCCCTCTCGGCGCCTTCCACAACCCGCCGCCGTTCACAAGGACCCCTCCCATACCCGACAATGCCTTCGTGCGCGCCCTTATTGAGGCCAAGTCGTTGGTGGGGCAGAATGGTCCAGCACCTGTCGTTGCACCTATGCAAGCCCCACCTCACCCGCTCCCCTATCCACACGCTGCTGTCCCACTGGCGTGCCATCCTCCCCCTGCTGTGGTGGAATACGGCCCGCCTCTCTTCGTCGTCCCGCCAGAGCGGCCCCGCAGCCCGCCCCTGTCGCCCTCTGCATTCCAGGCCGACGGCCTCCCGGCTGCTCTAAGCACCATACGGGAGGCATCGTCCAGCTCGAACGTGCCGAGCAGGCCGGACCTGAGGGCGGCGTCGATTGACCGCTCCGCGTCCCACTCGGAGATGTTTCTGAAGCCCAGAGTGACTTTGCCGGAGAGACCTGCCTGCCTGGATGAAGCGGACAGCGACGATGAGGACTGTGTGCTGCTGGGGCGCCCGTCGTATGGGCGACATACGCACCTGGACCGTTTCTCTTCTCCTTTTGGCGAGGGAAGAAATGATCGACGTGGAATTCCTTTTCCCGAGCCATCTTCGCCCCCGACGTCGATAGACAAGGACCAACACACAGTATCGGCAAGATTTAGCCAGATTGGACCGAACGCAGAGCCCATTGAGAGACACGAGAGGCCTTCCAGCACGAGCACAGCGGCGCCCGTCATCCGGGCGGGTCTCTGCAGCCTATGGGACAAGGATTTCGAGCTCGATTTCTCCCACCCTTTCTGGCAAGACATGGCCGGCGCCCTCGCACCCATCGGCAGCAAACTCACACAAGCCGCCCACTGGCTATCGCCCAGCAACTGGCGGCAGAGACACGACGAACACGCCAATGGAGCGGCCAATCGGAGAGGAGCGACAGGGAGCGAGATGGCGGGAGGGGAGAGGAGGCGATCGAGGTCTGCGGGGCGGACCAGGATGTCGGAGAGCAGGAGAGACGATGAGATTGGGGGGCGCGAGCGAGAGCGTGAGGATCCGTTTGTGTATCGTCACATGGACCATGTGATCCGGCCCGCCGACCCGCTGACGCCTCACGACAATCCTTACATGGACGTCATAATCCCTGAGAAGGAGACACGACAGGTGAGGGGAACAAAGTCTTGCGACTCCCACCCACGTGTTCGTGTGTATTGTATGGGTGGTTGTGTGGGGTGTGTGTGCGTGCGTGTGCGTGTGTGTTTCAGTGCCCAATGGGCATGGCGATTGGCAGGTGGCTGTGAACGGCCCTGATGCATACTTGTCTGTCTTAGTGTGGCTTTGGCTTTGTGAATAGTCCTCATGTGATAGAGACAGAGAGAGACACGGCTGATGTTCGTGTGGCGCATGCGTGGACCTGCAAGCGACTGCGTAGCTAGGGGAATGAATCATCACATGAATGCCGAGCGATCCAGATGGCAGGCAGACAGACAGCCAGGCATCGATTGGATTGAGGTCGTTCAGCGAGTGAGTGTACACGTGATCGAATGCATGAGCCGCACGCCCGATCGACCATGACCACGTCCGTGTCCTCCCCCGCCCCGCCGCCCACAGCCACCGGCCAGCACCACCACCAGCAGCACCACCACCACCAGCACCATCATCCATCATCCATCCAGCTAGCTACAGTGGCAGCTAAACCGACGAAGCTTCCAACCCAACGCACAGGCTCTCACACGACCCAGTGTCCATCGATGCGCCGTTACACAATGAGTCCAACACCAATGTCTGTCTATGTGCTGTGTGTGCTGTGCCTGCGTGTGCATGGCGGGCACTCCTGCCTGCATCAACCAGCCACCAATCAAGCATCCTATTCCATCCCATTCCGCAGCATCCAGCCCCCATCGTGCCCCAAACTAGCCAGTCAAGCAATCCAATCAGTCACTCACTCAGTCAACCAGTCAGTCACTCAGTCAGTCAGTCCATGGAGTCAGGTGGGTGGAGTCAGCTGTACGAACGAACGAAGGAATCAATCAATCACTCAGTCAATGAAAGGAATGAAACAAACTAAGACTGTCACCACGCGCGCACACACATGCACACACACATGCACACACATACACGACGAATGCCTCAGCTGTCTGTCTGTCTGTCAACTTGTCTCTCTGTCTTTCTTCTCTCTCTGCTCCAGCAGGTCAAACTAGGCCGATCTATCTGTTGTGTGATGTCTGTCAATATGCAGGTAGGTATCCAGGCAGGCAGGCAGGCAGGCATCGCGTACAATCACACAACACACAACACACACATACATCATGATGCTGTGGGCATATATACACGTAGGCAAAACTTGGCTGTCTGGCTGTCTGTATGGCTGGCTGGCTGGCTGTCGATCTGTCGATCTGTCTCGAAATCCATATGTACCCCTCCCTCTCTCTTTCCCTTCCTTTCTTCCACCAGCGCTGACCAAACTTCTCTGCTGTGTGAGGCTTTGTCGGTCTGTCTGTCCACACAAAATGGACAGACGGACAGACACGCAGAAGGCAGCCGTTACGCAGGCAGACAAGACAGGCAAGCAGGCAAGCAGTCAGGCAGCACATATAGGCTGCGCCGGCCCCCCGGCCGCCCGCCCACACACACTCACGCACACACGTGTATTGATGTAGGTACGCATGACGCATGCAGATAGGGGTCAGTGAGTGGGGCATGGGCAAGGCAAGGCAAGGAGGGAGGGCAGGGGACGATATTCACGCACACGGGAACACAGATACACACACACATGCACATGCACAGACACACAGAGAGAGAAGAGTATGGTATGTACCGCGATCGATAACCAAAAACCGAAGTGGGCCTGTCTTCGTTCGTCCGTATCCACAGTCTTCGCAAGTCTCCTGACACACACATGTACACATGAGGATACAGCAGTCCAGTATAGCGTAGTCCACAGAAGGAGAGAGTGAGGAGTGCCCTACAAGCCAAGCACGACGAGCACATGACAGCCCGGGAGGGGGGAAAGAGGAGGGAGGGGGAGGGGAGCGGGGACCAACCGGCTGGCTGCTGGTCACGTATAGGTATACACACAGGGAGGTGAGGCGAGACACATGTACAAGTGATGGTGAACCGTTCATCAAAGCGAGATAAGTGTGTGTGCCATGTCATGTGTGGGTGTGTGCGTGTGTGTGTGACGGTGACGTGTGATGTGTGCTGGTGGCGTCGGGGCAGCTGGTGATGGACACCACAATGACTGCAATGCATGCATGCAATGTGGGTGTGGGTGGGCGGCCCCTCCCCCCTCCGAACCTTTCCCCCTCCCTCCTTCCCTCCAAATCTCTTCTCTCTCACGTGGATGCCCGTTCCCCCCGGTCGTCCCGCGTCTCTCGTGTCTCCCCCCTGCGCGCATCGATTCAGGCCCCTGGCCTCTCCTTTCCCCGCCCTCAAAGCTGCCAAAACGCGACACAGCGCAGCATCCATCCATCCATCCATCAATCCATCAATCCATCAAGCCAGAGAGAATCCCATCCCTATACACGTACAATCATACGCTCACTCGGTCGCCCCCCCACCCACGTGCGCGTGTGTGTGTTGTGTGTGGAAGAAAGCGAAAGAGAAAGGCGCAGCAGCAAGCGGGCGGAGGGGCGTCGCGTGGGTGAATGTGATGTGTGTGAGTGTGCTTGCCGGTCAGCAAAAGGGTGTGGTCCATCCATCGATGCATCGATCCATCCATGGTCATCACTCATCAGTCGTCATCATTTAAATAAGGAGCGGAGGGGGCCGCTCGCCCCTCGTGCATTGCCGGGGCTGGCTTGGCCTTCCCTCCCTCCCTCCCTCCATCCATCACTCGCCCAACCGCCTACCCCGCTCCGCTCTGCCTTGCCCTCAAGGTGCACGAGACGAAATCGCACCACGACATACACACTCACTCACTCATAGGAATCACCCAAGAAAGGAATGGCGACAAACAGACACTCTCTAACTTCACAGGCAGGGGGCCAGACAGCCAAACAGACAGCCAAACAGACAGACAGACAGACAGCCAGCAGACAGGCAGACAGAGAGACAGACAGGTGAGGCGTGCCGCTACCATCGTTGAGTAGCCAGCACAATAAGAGGAGGGCATGACAGGGTGGCATGATAGGAAAGCCCGACAGCCAGGCAGGGCAAATCGGTCGATCAGTCGATGGAAATAGAGAAAGCAATTCAACACCAGCCCGATTTCGTTCTGTGTCTTGACAGCGCAGCACAGACCCCTCCCAATGATAATAACACACACCCACGCACCCACCACCCATATCAGGCATACACAGCCCCTCCCTCCCTCCCTCCCTATCTCTCTCTCTCTGGCTTGCGCGTCTCTCTGTGTGCCGTGCCACTGTGCTGTGCTGTGTTCTTCTCGTCACTCCCTGGTCCCGGCCATCTGCGCCAGCGTGATGTGGTCCAGCGGCACTTGCCTGCCCGCGACGATGCGGCCGCCCCGGTCGACAGAAATACTTCGCCTGCCCATGTCGTACCGGCCCCTCCGCCGGCGCACCACCAACTCACCCTCGCTCTTCTGCGGCGGCTGCGGCGGCTTCACACAACTAACACCGCCACAACCACCACCACCGCCGCCGCCGCCGCCAATCGAACCCGACACGCCAACACCGCCCCCGGCCCCGCTGGCGCTGGCTGGCGGTGGGCCGCCCCCTTGGGTGCTGGGCGCCCTGTCAGTGGACCGCTCCCTCTTCCTCTGAAAGAAGACCAGGTCGACCGCCTTATGTCGGCCGCGGCCGCCGCGGAGCCGGTGGATGGCGGGTGTGGGTGGGAGGGGGATGGGCTGGGGGTGCTCCCACAACACTCGCGGGTCACTCGAGAAGCCGCAGGCGAATGAGTGGGTGGGTGTGAGGCCGATACATGGGGGGACGGATGGGAGGGTGATCTGCTGCAGGGAGCATGGGGGGAGGGAGGGGCCGCGGGGGCCGTCGGTGATGGTGCGCTTGATGGGGATGGGCAGCAGCAGCTTGGGGGGGCGAACCGTCAGATCGCCAGCACCACTCAGGAACGAACACCGACTGCTGCAATCTGAAACAACACCACACAACACCACACAACACACACGACATTAGCTGTGCCTCCGCGTCGATCGATCGTGGCTTCTTCCTTGCGCACCTGGCGATGGCGTCCCAGCAGTAGTGGTTGAGGTGGATGACACGGCATGAGTGGACTTGCCCGAGGGGTTGAAGTAGCTCCTCAGAGTCAGCGATAGGGACCGGAATCGACTGGTCGTCCGCTTGAGGCTCTGATGGGTCTCGCGAGGCCGATGCGGCTCACGAGACCGCGCGCGAGGCCGGCGGCGAGCGGTGCTGTTGCTGCTGCTCCCCAACGCCCGCTTCGGACGGGTCAGGGGCACCCACGGCACACACCTGACCACAAAAGGAACCATCGTAACAAACAACACACAGAGAGCATATGGTACAGCAATCTCGCTTCACACGAGTGTTCCTCGGCCATTCCACAATGTCTGACTGACTGACCTAGCAGTAGGCGTCTGGATGGGCGGTGGGACCGACACAGCCGCCCTCCGCCACTTGCCCCTCTTGGCGGCGGGCTGCCTGGGCGGCAGGGCGTCGCTCCTGACGGCCTTGCCGGGCTTGACCAGGCTATCGCTGTCGCCGCTCCTCGCCAGGCCTGCATGGAACGGCGCTCTCGGAGGGCGGACGAAGCACAACAGCGAGGTCGCCCGGCTGGGACGGTTGGGGCGCGGCGGCAGCGACGTGGATGTCGCCTTCCTCATTCCCGCCACGGTGCCTCCCCTGCTTTGGTGAAGAGAAAAAGCCGTTAGAAATCAACGAGTTTACCGCAGTCTGCGAGCTTTCCCGCGTCTCGCTGCCCTCCTCCTCCCTCCCCAATGCGCCACGTGTGGAATTTCTTCCTGGGGAGTTCGTGGTGCCCTCTCCTCTACATTCGGCTGGTCTTCGTGACAGCTGGCGCGCCGCCCAGGAGAGGACTTCAGAAGGTGGTGCAGCCCCGAGGCAGCAGAAACGGAAAGACGGAGCCGTGAATCGGCATCGGCATGGCGCGTCCCGCCTCCTGCCGCCGAGACGGGCCGGGACCTGCAAGGCGGTGGGCGGCAGAAGAACCCTGGCTGGCATGCCATTGGGCTGCCTTCAGTGCAACAGAAAGGGACTGAAGAGAGGAAAGCAACGCCTGGAGACGGCCGTGTATGGCACATCGCAGCTTCCTTGAGAGTCTGTTTGTCTGTCTGTGTCGACAGACGTGTGGCAATGGTTTATCTATGTGTGGATGGGCGAGCAAGAGAGGGGGGACGGACAGATGATTCACTTCCTTGCTGAAGTCTGATGCAGAAACGAAGGACTATAGCACAACCGATAAATGCACGGATCTGATCTAGCTATGCACATACACACATACATGGAATAGACCTAGTACACCCAAGTGACAGTCAGTCACCGTGTATCTTAGACCTTACACGCCGCACCGACGCAAAAAGCCTCCCGACGTATATACCACCTGCTCACAGTCCCAGCCAGGCAGCAGCACGAACACCAGCTCATCTGCCTTGGTGTCGACGACGGCATTCACACTCGACACACCAGCCAGCACAAGCTCATACGCCCCGCTGTCCATCCAGCCGAAGAAGTTGCTCAGGAGAGCATACTCGAGCACCGCCTGCATGAGCAACACGCACTCAAATGCTCGGTGTGCACCACAGTGGGCACTTACCTCGCCATACTCACTGAATATCCCGCGGTTAGTCGGCAGGTCTGTCTCGAGGCTGGCGATGCGGGTCTTGAGGTCGGCCACCAGCTGCTCGATGTCGGCATGTGCACGTGATGCGTCTTGGTCGATCACACGCTGCGCCCCCGTGTAGACGGCTGCCGCCTGGTGGAACAGCCGGTGGGTCAGATTGGTGATGTTAGACTTGAAGCGCAGCTCTATCACGTGGCCTGCATGCACGACACAGAGATCACCGCATTTCTTTTTTGTGGCTCTTGAACGGTACCTGCTTTTGCCATGTTGAGCAAGTCGGCGATTCGGCCATTCTCGTCTGTGTGGATGTCCGGCCCGCCCATGTTAGAGCCGCCGCCCCGGTGCATGCGCCGTATGTCCTTCTGCGCTAGGTCACAGTCGATCTTGTAACAACCCTGCATCAATGCATTCATGCACATGGACATACACACAGACCATCCCCAAGCTGTCGATATGAGTGTGCGTTTTCTCACGTCAGAGCAGTAGTCCTCGAAGTCGAACACGACATGCCCACTGTCAGCGTCACACGACACACCAAAGCGACGCTACGACAACATCACAAGAGCAGGTCGATGAGTGCTGCGTCCGTGCAGGTCTTACCACAGTGGCGGGCTCTTCACACACGGCGCACTTCTCGAGGTGCAGCGACCAGCCGGGCGTCTGGCTTTCAATCATCTTGGCTGTCGCCTCCTCTATCACACCCAAACACTCCTGCAGAAACAAGAGCATGCACACAAGAACAAACAAGAAGCTGCCGTCTTGTGCGGCAGCAGACATCTCACCGCTGAGCATATGTCGAGCGTGTCGGACTCTGTCGCATCGCCAGCAGACACCTCACACTTGACACGCTGATGCACACACACACACACACACACACAAACTCACTCACAAGGAAACAGCAATGGTCCAGCCACACTCAAACATCGATGGCACCAACCATGGCCGCCTTGTTCTCCTTGCAGATGCTGCAGATAGGCTGTTCCTTTGATAAGGCCGCTTCAGTAGATGTGTCAGCTGCAGGTGTGGCTCCTTCTGTGGCCTGCTTCATCCCGCCGCACTCGTGTTTGTGCCCTGCCTTCCAATGAGCGACCTGACACTCCTGCGCAGACAAAAGAGGGATGGATGCCGACGTCGCGAAGATAAAGATCTCTCTGCTGACCTTCGAGCAGTAGCAGACCCGCTGGCACTTGGCGCAACACTGACAACGAGGGCAGCGCATGAGAAAGAAGATATGTACATGAAATGATCGCAATTTCTGACCTTGCTGCATTCTTCTTGACCGCATGCTGCACAGCTGGCTGTCGGCATGGTTGCCTTTTAGAAGAGCGGCTGCGAGCTTAGCTGCGAGGTATGGCAGCGAGCGATCCCGCCCGTTCGCTTATGATGATGCGACACGCCACCTCCAACGTGTCCAGACGTCTGCTGGTGGGCCCTTTGCACATTTGCACTGGCGCAATCCTGGCCCTTCCTCGGTCGCCTCCTGCACGGCAACCTGTGGCTCCCACTGGTGTGGCTCTCTGCCGTGGGCGATTCTTCTCTAAGGCTTCAGCCAACATTCTTATTGCCAATTCCGGTGTGCAGTGTGTTGTGGACTTGCTGAGGACACAGCTGGAGGTCAGAAGAACTTACGAGTATGCACATGCGGACCTTGCAGTGCGGCCGCTTGGTGTGGAGAAGGATGAATGGCTGCCTGTTCAAGTGAAGACATGCAAGGAGAAGAATGGCTGTCGTGGTCGGTCTTGGCCTTTTCGGCGAACCAACCAATATCCCACTATGCCGGTCGTCTGTGTGGCTCTCAGAGACTACCGGATCTGGCTGTACTGCGGGACAATGCTTACCGCAGTCAGAGGATGCGGGGACATCCATGTATTCGAGAACGGGCAATGGGACTGTCCTGGCTTTCGATGCACGACAGCTTTGGAGGGCCCCGACGCGCTATCTGACAGATTGACGAGGGCTTACGCGGACCCATTATTCATCAAATCTCCATTGGGGGGCATCATGAAGCAGCGCTCGGCAAGCCATCAGAAGGGAGAAGCCTCGGTGAGAGCGTGGGACCCCCTATTGACGACTGCAGGCATCTCTTTCTTTCGGCTGCCTGTCCATGAGCACACAACTGTCGATGGTGTGTGGGTGTGGGAAGGGAGGCGCTTTCGAGTCCAGCACAAGACGGCATATGCTCGATCGGAAACAAACTCTCTGCACGTGATCCTCAAAAAGTGTGCGGGGACGCTGAATGGCCGTCGCAAAAGCCAAATGTACGAAGACAGTGACTTCGACCTCCTGGCCCTCTCCCTCCCATCTCCTCGTCATCTTTATCTCATCCCCATGGACACGCTCATGCATCGGCGTCTCGTCAATGGTTCTGCTCACAGACGACATTGTTCATGCGCCGTCATCCGCCTGTACACTCCCGATGTGATCGCGAGAATGCGAGTCAAAGCTGACTTCTGGGCTAACGAGTATCTGATAGATTTGCATGCAGCTGATCGAGGTGTGGGGCGATTGCTGGAGACACTTGATATGGCTTCCTGCTATGTGAGAGGATCGATGGGTGAGCCGGTGGGGGTGACATGATGGAGTGCAATCGATGATCATGGCGACTTTCTCATGTCAAGGTACGTTGTGATCCGACGGATTCACTCTAGCGCGTGTGAAGTCTCCGTATGTATGTATGCACATGCGCATACATATACACGCACACACACACGCACACACACACACACACAACCAGCGCTGCCTCCTCCACATCTCCATCTCTCCGTCTGTCCGCCCGCCCATTCGCCCGTTCGTTCGTCGACCATCAGTGGTGGGTCATGTAATGGGATGGATGAGTGGAGTGATAAAGTAATGACGCAGACAGACAGAGAAGACAGTCAGTCAGGTCAGTCAAGTCAGTCGGCCCACCGTGTCCCCACGTACAAATGAAAAACTTGACACACACACCACACCACACACACAGACAGGAACACGCTCACACTCACACACGCGCGCACACGAGAGGTATGGACACACGTGAGGTCAGAAAGGCACGCCACGTATGTGTGAAGTTGTGAAAGTGTATGTATGTGTGTGTGTATGGCGTGTGCACCATGAGTACGCAGAGGGGAGGGCCCAGCTCAGCTCAGGAAGGGAGGGCAAGGAATGGAATGGTACGCTGTGGTCGACAGACAGAGGCAGGCGCGAACAGGCAGGCAAGACAGACAGACAGACAGACGTCCGTACGTACGTGTACATCCACATTACCGGACGGCAGGAGGAGACAGACAGACAGACAGCCTGACAGACGAATAAAGCGAGAGAGGATCCAAGGAGTGAGTGGGTGTGGGCCGATAGGACTGAGAAATCGGTAGACAGACAAAGCCAGGTGGAGAACAGATGGGGTGGGTGCTGGCCACACACCGGTCCGCTAAGGCAGGAAGGCAGCATGTGAGGTTGATGCATGCAGGCAGGTCGACAGGCAGACAGGTGCACTGAGTATGCAAGACACACACACACACACACACACAGGTAGAGAGAGGGAGGGAGAACATCACAGCCACGGAGGATTAAACCAGAGCTCTTGGCGGCCATACGACAGACACGCCAAGAGAGAGACGCCGAGACAGACCAACAAGAAGGGGAAAAAGAGACAGCAAGGAGGGAGGGAGGGAGGGAGGGAGGGAAGGCGGTAAGATACAAGGCAGCCATGCACACACAGAGAGAGCAAGTCAGTAGTGAGTGAGTGACAGCAATACCCAAAAACCGGTCGCCAGCATTTGTGTGTGAGTGAAGTCAGAGTGGTCCTCTCCTCTCCGTTGAGAGCATTAGCCTCATGAATGTGTGTGTGTGTGTGTCTCTGTGAGGTGGGTGAATGAGAGCTCTACAGCTGTGCACACGTAGCACATGTGTGTGTGAGTCCACCCACCGCTGCTCTCTCTCCCTCTCCCCATGTGGTGTATCCATCCATCCATCCATTCGAGTGACTAGACGTGACGAACAACGCTGTACTAGGGCCACACACACGGATACACGCACTCATCTACACACATCCATGCACCACCGCACCGCCACAAAGGCAGCCACCATCCACACACACATCCATCACGCGCACGCACACACACAGCAAGGCAGGGCAAGGATGGAACGAATCGTCAACAAAAGGGGTCAGTCGGTCGGCGAGTGAGGTGAGTGCACGGACAAGGTGGGTAGTCGGCCAGCCAGCCACCTGCAAATTGATGTGACTGATTGGATCCAGACAAACAGGAAAGCAGGCGTGCAGGCGGACAGGGATGGATGGATGGATGGACGTGTGTGCGCGTGACGGCCGGACTTAGCTGCCTTGTCACCGCGTCACGATGAGTCAGTGAGTCAGTCAGTCAGTAGTACCAGTGTAATTACCACCCTTGTTGATTGATTAGCGCACACCACACCACACGGCTCCAGACACGCAGACACAGACAGAGATGCCACACAGACAGACAGGCACAGACATGCAAACAGGCAGGCACCGAGAGAAAGCGACCTAGGGAGATAGATGATGATGACTAGATGCGACCGACGCACACATGCACGCACGCACGTACGACACGTACATAAACGTTCAGACGGCCCGGCCGGCACCTCCCGTCCACAAAAGGGAGGCGCCAAAGACCAACCATCCAGCCATCCATCTATCCATCCGGGCATCCGGGCATTCGTCTTCGACCAGGCCGACCGACCGCAGTATTCATGAAAACAGACAGACAGACAGACAGTCAGACGTCTTGGTTGCTTGCCACTCATCCATTTAGATACAAATACCGGCCGGCCGGCGGCAAAACACAACACAGCAACAAAACAAACACGAGATGACAGACAGACAGACAGACAGAAGGAATGAATAAAGGGACCGATCGACGAGAGGAAAACAGAACCGCGCCGACCGATCCACCCCCCCACCCCCCCCCAATCCACACATCCATCTGACATTTCCCCCCTCCCTCTCCTCTCCTCTCCTATCCTCTGTTGTGCCGAGCCAGTGATGCATGCACAGCATATCCACCTGTCGTACGTATGTATGTATGTAAGCATGTAGCCGTCACCACACCACATGAACACACCCACCACCCACCCACACACACACACACAGACGAGGACACACAGAGGGAGCGGGCACCGGGCACCCGACGGGCATCCATCGAGATCCATATAGAGGTCATCATCATTTCAAAAACGGGTTGGTTGCAGCAGCGGGTTGCCTGACGGAGCAGCAGAAAGGGAAGCTGGCCTGCCTGCCTGCCTGCCTGTTGTGTCTATCTGTCTATTGACATTGTATGAAAGTACGACCGACGAAAACGCACAAAAGACCGGCCCTCCCGCACCCCTCTGTGCTGGCTGTGCAGTCAGTGCCGACCTTATGGTATGGAAGCGATTACGCATTGTGTGTTTTGTATGGATTGTATGTGTGGATTGTATGTACGTGTCAAGTTGTTTTCTGTCTAGGCAAGGAAGGCTGCCGGTCGGTCAGAGAAGAAAAGATTTGGACACACCATTAGCAGGCACCTCGGCAACACATGTACAGCAAGGAGTCGTCTCTCTGTGAGTGAGTGTGTGAGTCTGTCTATCTGCAGGTAGTAGTAAGGGCCCCCTCACGCACCCACGCACGCACGCTTTGCCATTCAGCCACGAAGGCTTGCTTGACTGAATGAGCACCGCCCCGTGTCCAACCATCCATCCACAGGTCTTAGCTATCTATGCAGTCAGTCAGATATCAACGCATGGACACGACGCCAACCACACGGATGGATGACGGATGGAGCCATCAGTCGTCAGTCAGTCAGGCAGTCGACGACCCAGTGAATGAAAAAAACCCTCGTGTCGTGTCCGGCTGCCCGTCGTCTACTATCTCTGTGAGCCCTTGTCACAGCTGCGTGGACGTGCAGACAACTTGCTGGTGCCGTGGTAGTCTGTTTCTGCTGGCCAACCTCACTAATTTGCAACCCCCCCTGGCCCCGCCGCAACCCGCCCCGCCCCGTCCCTTGCTCCCGTCCTATGCAAAAATGCAGACGTCATGACGCATGCACGTATGTATACACGGCCAGCCCTTAACAAAATGGCAAATCACGCGAGCGACCCATGCACACACACATGGAGGCACACGCCACCCCACCCCACACACACACATAGTCAGTCGATGAGAAACAGACTCAGATCCAGACAGACAGGCTTATCCCTCCCTCCTCCCTCCCTCCCTCCCTCCCTCCCACCCCCCTACAGATGAGTTCACACCTCTGTGACGACGTCCCTGCCCATCTCCCCTCCCCACAGCTGTTCAGCCGTCATCATCGACCCCTCGGGCCCCTCATAAGGCGTCACCTTGGTGCGCCCATGCGGCGACTGCGGGGCGCTCCCAGCAGACGCACCCCCAGTGCCCTCCTCTCCTTGGGCCACACGTGACGGCGGCGTGCGATCGCCACGCGCACCACTCACGCTCGCACGGAGCCGCATAACGCCGTTGCCCTCGTCCATGTCAGCGCCGCCCCCCTCGCCGCCCTGCTCGCCATCAAGGAGCCATCCGATTCGCCCCCTCTTGCCTTTCCGACGAGGACTGGTGAGTGACGTGGGCGGCGGGTCGGGAGGTGTCTCGATGTTGATGGACAGGCCGCGCTTGCGCATGGCAAGAGATGTCATGGCTGTCCGAGGGGTCGAGTGAGACCGGTTGGCCGCACTCGAGGAGCCATGGCGGTCGGCGGAGAGGGTGCGGCTGCCATCGCGCAGCAGGGGGCTGCCCACATCGTCGCCATCGGCGATGTGGTCGCGCTGCTCCAGCTCGGCGGCGTACTCGTTGAGTGACTTGCGCATGAGCATGTCCACGGGCAAGGACAGCCGCTGACGCACCAGCTCGGTCCGCTCGGGATGTCGCTCACGGGGCCGGAAGCACGGCGACAGAGACTCTCCGTGTTGGCCCTCCCGTCCGCCTCCGCCCTCGCCGGTCCCACTGGCGGTCTGGCGCTCTTTTGCAGCCCACTGCAGCGCACTTTCCATCGCCACAGTGGGGCGGCGCTCGACCAGCCGATGGGGGCCGACCAGGGGAGACGAGTTGGGGTCCCGCTGCCGACAACGGCTCAGCGAACCGAACGACGAATATGACGAGGGCGTCTCCTCGCGGGGCACATGGGCGACCACAGGGGCGCTGGTGCCGACCGCCTGGCTGGCTTGTTGGCGGCTCTGCCAGTCGTTAGCGGACGCCCCGCCCTTGTCTGCTCCTGCCTGCTGCGGCTGCTGCTGTGCTGTCCGCGGAGTGGCCATCCACGGTGTGGATGTGGGCGAGTGCGGCGGGGAGTGGCCGGGCGACACGGGGTGCGATCCAGGTGTCGAGCACGACAGCATGAATGTCGACGACTCGACCGACGGCGTCACTGAGAAGGTCACGGACGAGTTGGAGCCAGTGCCGTTCCCGCCGGTCTGGTGCTGGTTGGCGGCCATGGCCTCGTTTTGCCCGCTGTAGGGGGAGCTCATGGCGAGGGAGCTGGGGCTGCCCTCGCACACCTCGTCAGCGCGCCACCCGGGCCGCTCAAAACCGCCGGTGCGCTCCTTCTGCTCCATGGACCGGCCGTCGGTCACGGGAGACGCCGTCCCGCGGGAGGTCCATGACGACTGCTGTGAGGGCGACTGAGACGCCACCGCACGGGGACTCGACTCGTCCCGGCCCTGACGCTGCCCCTGGGTGGGCGAGGGCGAGGGATGCACCACCGTCTCCATCAGCTCACGGTCTCGCGGCCGGCCGCCCAGACCAGTGCCCTTGGCACCGGGCAGGGGCGACGCGGGCGGCCGGTTGGGTGAGAGCTTGCTCAGGGACGACCGGAAGCCCCGCGTGAGGTCGGCCGAGAGGTTCGCCGTGGCGTCGATGAAGTCGGCGCCGTGGACGGCGGCTTGCGACTTGCTGGCCTGCTTCTGGGGGTAGTCGAGCTGGTCGTTGCCGCTCGACGAGTTGTTGTTGCGGCGGCGCCGGCCGCGGACGGACGTGACGTTGCGGGCGGGGCGGGAGGAGGTGACATCACGCTTGGCCGCCTCACGAAGACCAGAACCGAATATGACCTGAAAGGGGGAGAGAGAGACGACAGACATAGACACCCATGACCATTGTGCTTGGTGTCGTGTGTTGTGTGTGTGTGTCGCCTACCGGCGCGTGTCTGTATAGCTCGATGTAGCTGATGTAGTCCCCACAGATGTCCCTGAGTCGATCCTCGAGCAGCTCCAGCTCACGCTCAGACAGATCCACGCCGCCATATCGCAACACATCCACAATGTCATGCGGCGACAATCTGAAACAACAACATCACGTCACCCGCCATACATATGTGCAGCGTCCCTCAGCCACCCCCCCTCTCCCCATACATGAATCTCCCGGCAGGGTCGAGGTATCGAAACAGTTTCCGGGCTTCCTGCACGTCCCCGCACACCTCCGGCCGGCACATCATCTTGTCGTTCACCGCCAGGTCCACCAGGTGCCGCAGCGCCGTCCGCTTGAACAGCGCCGCCCAGTAGAGCGACGTCCCCAGCAGCGACAGCAGCATGATGCCGAAGGCGATGTGCAGCACCAGGGCGAGGATCTGCGGGTGGTTGGTGAGGGCGAATGAGAGCGCCAGAAAGAGCACATAGACGAGTGGGAAGACGAGCCGCGAGAGGCGGTCGAGCCATCCGCCGACGATGGCCGACACCTTCTCGGTGAGAATGTACGCCAGGACGGTCTGCAGGACGGCCATGAGGCAGTAGTAGAGGGTGAAGATCATGAAGGTGTGCAGCCAGGTCTCCCGCGTCAGCACGCCGGCGGGGATCTGCGGGGGCGACATGATGTAGTTCTGGAAGATCAGCATCAGGAAAAATGCGAACACCGGGATCGCCAGACGCCCCGCCCACTGCCCCTCCTTGGCGTACACAGACGGGCCCAGCCAGAAACCACCCCAGCTGAGCAGCGTCAGGAACACCAGAGGCAGGATCAGCCGGTGGATGATCAGCAGCAGGTGACGCTTCACCACCACACGAAGCTCCACCGCACCGCAGGGAGGGTGGGTGGCTTTGCTCTTGGTGGCGCCCTCGTCGGCATCGCCGTCACTCCTCGCACCGAGCGTGACGCCGCTGATGGGTCGGTCGGCCTCTGGGGGGATGTAGCAGATCTCAGAGGGCGTGGCGGGGGGCGGGACACCGGCCAGCACGCCCCCTCTGGACATCTTGAGGACCTCCTCGAGCAGGGGGCTGGGCATGAGTGTGGTCCACACCGAGTTGGCGCCCTTCATGGTGCTCAGCCGGGCCGACACGTCCTGCACCAGCCACTCGTCGGGGATCATGGCGTGGGGCCGCGGGTCGCTCGTCTCCACCCCCTGGCCCCTCAGGTAGTCGTTGCCCCACCCAGGCAGGTCGCCCGGCAGCAGGACGTCGTCGATGGGGCCGGTGAGGTGCTTGAGGTGCAGGTGGGAGAAGAGCTCCGACAGCGAGTTGACGATCTCCAGACGGATGACGCGACGCTTCTGCACCGCAAAGACGGGCGTCGACTGGCCGTCTTCCTCCGTTCTCACGGCGGGGGCGTTGTTGGCGCCAGTGCCGAATTGCTGCTGTGCGCCGGGTCCCTGCGGCCCAGGTGGGAAGGAGTGCCCCTCCTGACGTGCCTCCATGGTGAGGGGGTCGCTGTGTATCTTGTGCAGGTACTCGTATTGGAGGTTGGGCAGCGGGTCGGTGACGACAAACTTGAGCTTGAGGGTCTGGGTGTCGAAGGGGTAGTTGAGCGACGACAGCAGCGTTGTGGTCTCGACGTTGTTGAACTTGTACAGCGCAAAGACGTCACCGTTCCGCGTGATGGCCGTGGCGTTGTACACGGGAGAGCTCGTCACCGCCCCGCCCACGAAGCGCACCTCAGGCACCCAGATCAGACCCTTCTGCAGGAAGTCCCACACGTCCTTGGGCGACAGAAACGTCACACCGTTCCTCTCCGTCGAGTTGACGCTCGCAGTGGTATTGCTCCCGCCACCCGCCGCCCCCGCGGCCTCATGGTCTCCCTCCTTCTGACCACTCCTCAGGTTTTGCTTTTTGGGTTTCTCACCGCCCTGGTCCGGTTTGGGCGTCTCCTCGTCGATCGAGGTGCCGTAGTCCTCCTCAGACGCATACTCAGACGACTCGAGGTTGCCCGACGCCGAACTGGCGCCGGCCGCACCCGACGACGCATTGGCCTCGGCTTGCTCAGCCGCCCCGCCCCCTGACGACCGCCCGACGTCGTCAAGCAGGGTCTCAGTGGGGTTGGCAGGCTGCCGTGTGCCGGTAGAGGAGTCGTAGAGGTGGGAGATGTACTGGTCTGACCAGTGGAGGATCACCGAGAGGTCCAGCCGGAAGAGCGATGTGCGTGCCGAGGGGTTGGGCGCCGTGTGGTCGATGCCATAGAACTTGTCGACCCTGTAGCTCAGCCGCACCGGGACGTCATAGCTCTCGATGCCTGCTGCCTCCTCGGAGTCGCCCGACTCGGCCAGCGGCTGTGCCACCGCACTCAGCAAGCACAGCAGCAGCAGCACAAGAGAGAGGGGGAGGGGGAGGGGCAGTGTCTGGGGGGCTGACGGCGACATCAGCGGGACAGTGCGGGAGCGCCGTTGAGGGGCAGAGCATCCCTCGGCTCTCCTGTGGGCCTCCAGACTCGCCAGCTCTTGACGGTACACTTGATGCTCACTGACCACACACCACACACAGACAGCATCGACGTTGCATTGAGACAGGCCCAAGACAGGCTGTGCTCTCTTGATGCCTTCGCGTACCTTGCGTGCTTTCTTGATGCCTTCCCGCTGATGTGTGCTCTACGAATCTTTCCTCTGGAGCCGTTCAAGCTCGCAGAAGCGCGAGCTAAAGTGGAAGAGAGTCGAGGGGGGACTTGGCCGTCAGGCCGCCTAGGGTGCTCCCTGAAGCCGCTGCCGCGTGAACGACAGACATTGCTTTGCTTTTTTTAGCAAACGACGTCCTCTTTCTGATGATGGGGTCGAAAAGTCTTCGGGAGCTCAAGTTTTCCTCGCCGAGGACGTGCATGCGGTGCCCCAGACCTCCAGTGGTTTTACTGTATCCCTGCCGCCACGTTTGCCTGTGTGAAGGTCAGCCGCCGCACACTCAGCAGCACCTGGTATTCAGAAATGGTTGTTTGCGGTGTTGGCCCTCTATCTGGTCTGGTGTGGGTGGTGTTTCCAGAGTGTTTCAACAGGATGCGGTTGGCTGCAGTGCCGCGCTTCCCGAGAGGGGAGCCATCGGCAGAGGGACAGGAGCGCTGCCCTGCCTGTGAGATGCCCATCGACCTCAGGAGATCTAGCGTGGTTTCAGGTCAGAGGGAACAGGAAATGGGGAGACAGAAAGGGGCAGCGCACCATCGTGTGTTGTGCTGATGGTCTTCGTGTCAGGGGACGCCAAGACCGCCGCTGTAAGGTCCCGTACGCCCGAGCCCAGGCCTCCGTCGGGCAACGACCACCCTAAGGCGTCGTTACTGAATCGCTCGCCCCCCAGTGACATATCCGACGATGAGATGTCACTCTACGGGGCGACGCGAGGGCGCATATTTCGGTCCCGCATGCGCAAGTCATGGAGGATGGGATCTGTCGCACGGTCATCCTCCCTCACAGCACCCAACGCGGAAGGTGAGAACACACAACACCACCGATATGAGCACCGCACCCTTGCGAACGAGGATCTCATCTCATTGTGTCTGATGGCGTGTCTTGTCTTGTCATGCAGCTCTTCCCCGCGAGCCTCCCAGGCCGGCCCGTCCACATATAGTGTACGGCCCACACGGGCCCCCTCGCCCGACACCCCAGAGGCCCAACGAGACGCACCGGCTAGCCGAGGAAATCACCAAGGAGCACCCTGACGCGGCCGTCATCTCTCGGCTGATGAAGGAGGGCGCGGAGCCATACGCGGAGGCCAATCCCAATCGGCCCGAGGTGTCGGTCATCGAGTTCGCAGCCGAGCAGCCGAGTGGGGCTGCGCGCGTCATGGACGTGATGCTGCGGAGGAGGTCTTACGTCATGACCGGGGCGGATGACGTGGGCCACAGGAGGGAGCTGGTGGTGGCCTGCCTCAAGCACGCACTGGCCACCGCTTTGAGGCGTGTGGACCGAGAGCTGGCCCTGTCAGTGATGGGGCACATGCGCTCACTGTGGTGCGGGTGGAAGGAAACTGCGGCCGACGCCCTCATGGCCTCGTTGGGCTGCCACAGCGATATCGATATCGACACATCGAGGGCCTTTAGCGGCCTGGTGGTGGAGTTGACGACGGAGCTCGATAGCTGGGTCGGCTCAGTAGAGCAGGTGACATATGCACGTTATGATGGAACCAGCGTGTGGGGCTGCGCCAATGCATTCATGTGAAAGAGAGAGAGAGAGAGTGTGTGTGTGTGTGTGTGCAGGTGCGTCAGGGGATAGTCAAGACCAAGGGCTGCGTTTTGGCGTTCCGCTGCATGATGGATGGGGGCGCCCGCAAGCTACTAGAGGTGCGCACACCACCCCACACACACGCGAGGGAGGGGCGGGTACATCCAATGGAACTCATCTGTCCATTCATCCATCCATCCATCTGTGTGTGTATGTGTGTGTTTGCAGGTCCAGGAGCCGTTGCTGGATGCGAGCACTGCCAAGCAGCGCCGCCTGCACGAGTGGTGGTGTGCTGCGATGGAGGTCGGGTCCGTCGACGTGCTTCGAGAACTCATCCGTGAAGGCTACGACGTCCGTGTGGTAAGTAGGGGTGGAGTGAATGGGATAGCGGCAGTGGCGCCTGGGAGTGACGGCTGTGCCTGTTTCTTCGTATCTGTGCCTCGTGTGTGCAGTACTTCGCCCGACCCAAGGGGGATTCGCGATTCGCGTGCGATTTGGATGATAGCCATCGGATTGCGGGCCTTGCGGAGGCGCTGCATCTGGGCATCGACCCATCGAAAGGCCTGCACACGCTCACGCACCGGCGGAACAACAAGGATAGGGAGGGCAAACATACGGTAGCCTCCATGTATGGCGTGTATCTGCGGGGGCTGCCTGACCGCATTGTGGGTGTTATCAATGCTGCCCTGTGCGATATTGCTCTCGTGTACCAGTCAGGCCTCTTCCGCCACCCCGCTGTGCTAGAGGATAGCGTGCTGCCTCTCTTGCGCCGCTTCCTGTTTGTCCCCCCAGCCCCACACATGCGATTTGCCACCAACACCCAGTTCGGCCGCCGTATGAATGCATGCCTCGACCTGTTTCTGCGGTCGGTGGTGGGCGGTTTTGAGGGCGTGGCGGGCGGGGAGGTGCTGGGGATGGGGGAGGCGCTGCCCCGCTGCCGGTGTTTTGCCATCGGCAGTGAGGGCGGGCGGCGTGTGGGGTTGCGCGAGATAGTAGAGAAGGCCAGGAGGGAGGAGTCAGCCACACATGGGCTGCCGACGAGCAGTGGGGCGTCGTCAATGGACGACCTGTCGTTCCTCTGGCGGGAAGTGGGCTACCTTAACGGCACCACATTTGTGCCCCTCGGCCTGCGATAGACAGACAGAAATACGGAGGGAGGGAGCGAGGGGAGGGAGGGAGGGAGGGGTGGGTGCACAGCTTTCAATGCACGTTTTGCATGTGTGCGTAAGTTGGATGGTTGACTAACAGACACACACACGAGGGAGGGCTGACTGCTTGGTGCGTGCAGACAGAGCTGGCCGCTTCTGCGTGCATGAGTGCGGCCGAGCGGGCAGCGCTCAATCTGTTATCTGCATTCTCCCGACGGTCGCGGCGGTGAGTGCGTGTGCGTGTGCGTGTGTGGATGGACGGATGGGCACACGCAGTCTTTTGACACTCTAGTGCTTAACGAAGTGGGTAAGGAATCTACCTGTGTGTGCCGGACAGCTGATGGTGCGTGGTGTGGTTGCGTGTGGTCTGGTGTGGTGTGGTGTGGTGTGGGGGGGACTATTCATCACCATGCGTGAAAAATGCAGTGTGTGAGGGGACGAGCGCTCTCGGTGCACAAGGTCCAGCTCATTCATCGTCAACGAATGTGCACTTGAAGAGAAGGTGGTGCACACACACAATTGAGTGTCCAACACATACGTATACACATGATCACAGACAGCCACAAACTCGATCAACAGGGAAAACGGCCATTAATGCATGCGCGCACACGTACACGTCCGCATATATACGAATGGACCGGCCGATTGACACATCTACACACTCATCCACATTATCCAATATTGATACGCAGACAGGAGACGATCGTCATCCATCAGGTCTCCACCTAGCCTACCTCCAACAAGCACCTACCAACCATCCTCTCCTCTCCCGTCATGGACAAGACACATCTACGTGCATACACTGCACGTCAGTCACCCATCAATAACCGCATCAGTGGATGCGGACACGGAAGGAGGACGGCCTGGGTACCGGCCAGTATGGGAAGACATCTCGGAGGAAGTTGACACATGCATCGCGTCTCGCCTCGGTGTTTGTTCTCGACAGGGATTCGCTGCCTTGCGGGCCGACAAGTGCGGATGCATCCTCAACGATCACACCTGGAGACACACACCATGAGAGACACAACACGAGGGCGGCCATGTCTGCTGTTGTGTCTCACTAACATGATTCCTGTTCGTCGCCATTGAGATGAGCCGCCAGCCAGTTGATAGTCATGTCTTCGCAGTTCTTTTCTCTGTTTATGAGACCAACGACCGGCCTGCGTGTATCAAGGCACAGGGAGAGACAGGGAGGGGGAGACATTCATTCTTCCAGAAGGACGTGTTGTGTGTGTGCGACGATGTGTTGTGTTTTCGCTCACTTAGGGATGATCTGTGTGTACGACTGAAGGAGCGATGTCGACAGAAGAGCGCCGCAGGTGAGGGCAAGATTGTCGTCGTTCCGTGAATACGAGTAAAAGAGGGCGTCTGAGCTGCCGCACTTATAAATGGAACGGCGGTGATCGAGCCCGCTGACTACTCGTCTTGGGAACAGCCTCCCCGCCAGCAGGAGCTTGTGGATCTCAGCTGATAATGAAAAATGAATGAAAACACAAGTACATTGCTTGTGCGTCTGCTTGGCCACCTAACCGCATTTCATGCTTCTATCATCATCCAGCACAAGTGTGAATGGGCTGTCGACGTACTCGGCGACATAAAACCTCTCGCCCAGCCCCCTCTCGCCCGGAAGGACTCGGGCTTTGGTCGAGTTGGCCTTCATAAGCTGCTCTCCTAACGCCGCTCGGAAGTCAACAATAGACTGGTCAGCGGGCACCCATGTGTCAAATACGATCTCTTTGATGTAGATGCACTGCTCGAGGGGTGTGAGGAAATGCTTGCCCCAGTATTCTGCTCTGAAGGGCCCCAGCCGAACCGCAACAGTCACCGAGCCCTGCGCGAAGGGAAGGATTGGAAATCATGAAACGTGGAGGAATCGACTTCAGGATCGTCTCACGCATTCTTGTCACGCACCTGAAGGTCACTGATTGGAGTGTCGTCCTTGTTCAGAGTGAGCGTGCTTGGCCGGGTGAATCTGTCCCTCCTCCTCAGGGACACCGCTCGAGTACATTGCCAATGGCTGCTGGACTGAGGGATCCACTGCTCCAGCGATGAGCCCTCCAGCGACGAGTAATCGTATCCCTCGACAGCAGCCATATTTTCTGTGGCTGCCGATGCTGCTGCCTTCGTAAGATCCCGGAGAAGGCCAACGTGCCGCACGAGCACAACACACGGTACCACAGAAAGCGCGATAATCTGAACCAAAAGCGCAACAGCAGCAAGTTTCCCGCAACTGAGCATCGCCGGGAGAGAGGGGGAGAGCAGCACCGTTTTGTGGGGCCCGCGCGATCGGATCGCGGAATGGGTGGGGCCGTAGGCTAAGCACATTCATCTCATTCCTCAACGGATGTCTGCACCGGGATGACGAAACACGTTGCAGTGGCGCTTCTGGCGGGAGTCGTCGTCACGCTGTTGCTCGTAGACTACCTCAGAACACATGTCAAGTCAACGGCAACAACAGCACGAGCAAGATTCCTATCAGAAACAACACTGCCACCCAAACACGAAGTTGAAGCGATGGACCAACAAGGAGGATACGACTACGCTGCACTGCAAAATGCAACACTCGACCAGTGGAAGCCCGCTTCTGGGCCCTGCAGCCCACGGTCGTCTCTCCAACGGAGGACAACATTCAGACGCCAAACAACGTTGAGCCTGAAGAAAGAAGACGCTGCATCAGAAAACCTGCAGGTACATCGTCAGACCAGTCAGCCGTTCACTGCTACGAAGCGACGATTTTTGTTCTCTTCCATGCAGGGCTCGGTGACTGCAGCGATAACAATGGGGCCCTTCAGGGCAAAACACAGGGTCAAGCATTTCCTCACACCCCTCGAGCAGTGCATCTACATCAAAGAGATCGTATTTGACACATGGGTGCCCGCTGACCAGTCTATTGACGACTTCCGAGCGGCGCTGGAAGAGCAGCTTATGAAGGCCAACTCGACCAAAGCCCGAGTCCTTCCGGGCGAGAGGGGGCTGGGCGAGAGGTTCTATGTTGCCGAGTACATCGACAGCCCATTCACACTTGTGCTGGATGACGACAGGTCTGTTGGCTGCGGTAGGCAAGAAAGATGGGATGACAAGGGCTGTCTAAATGCACCACTCTCTTGTTCTCTTCCTCTGGCAAGATGATATCCATAAGCTCCTGCTGGCAGGGCGACTGTTCCCAAGACGAGTGGTTAGTGGCTTGTCCCATCGGCGGTCGATTTATCGATGCCAAGAAGGCTCACAGGCGCTGTTCTACTCCTACTCGAGGAAAGACGATAACCTTGCCTTCACAAGCGCGGCTCTTATGTCGACAGCGGTGCTCGAGAAATACATGGAGTTCATCCCTCAGTGAGCGCGACCACAAGGGCAGGCACCAAGGGAGGGCAGGCCATTGGATGGATCCCTCTCCACCTGTCCCTCTCCCTATTTCTCTATCCACTTGTCCCTCTCCCTCACCACCATTCGAATACGCAGGCCGGTGGTTAGTCTTATGAGTCGCGAACGTAATTGTGAAGATATGTGCATCAACTGGCTTGCTGCGCACCTGGGCGGTGACGAACAGGAGGCATGTGAGTGAGACACGGCAACAGACGGCCCCTTCCTTGTTGCATCCATGAATGGCATCTCTCTCATGGTGTGTTCAGGTGTGATCGTTGAAGATGTATCCATCCTGGCTGGTCCGCAGGGCAGGGAATCCCTTCTACTGAAGAACAGCGCAGCGAGACGAAACGCATGTCTCAACTTCCTCCGAGACGTGTTCCCCCACTGGCCGGTTCCCAGGCCGTCCTCATTCCGTGTCCGCGTCGAACGATCCTGCGGTTAATAGTGCTGCTCTTCCAGTGGTGCATTTATGCATTGATGCATGTGCAGGGAAAGGTGGGTCTCTCAGCCCACGCACATGTAGAGCCCCTGCTGCTGAGCTGTGCCGTCTTCTCCCTGTGTATACGCGTGTCGCTGTACCTGCACATATTGCACGTCTCTGTTACGAAGAGGCCAAGCTTGTTTTTGTAGACGCCACTGTAGAATACATGCCATACATGCCTTAGTAGCCGGAGGGATGCCGGCGGCCTCGCGGCTGCACGTAGGTAGTATCTGCGTGTCCGGTAGTGTTGAGAAAGAGGGGGGACATTCGGGAGACACACCGTTTACTCACCCACACACCTCTCCTCGTTTGGCTCTGTGGTTCATTTCGGTGTGCTATGTTGCGTCGTGTGTTTATGGGACAGGTGTGGCTGTGACTTGGATGTGCGTGTGGTGGTTACGTGGGCTGTGCACACAACTGCCTCACCCCACCATACGCAACCTGGGTATGCTATACTCACCACCCTCACCCCAACACACACACGTGTGATCGATGCGTACCCGCATGGACCCTGGTGTCTGGTGTGTGTGTGTGTTGTGTGTGCGTGTGGACCTCAGTGCACTTGTGTATCCATTTCGTCTATACGTCAACGAGCATTCACCCCGTATCGTGAAGCGTCACTCAACGTCTCTCCCCAACATATACGGCATCACATCCACTTCCAGACACTGCGCTCGCTTAGGTTGAGCTGCGTCTCCACGAACTCCAACTGCTCGCCCAGCACCATCCGCGTGCCTCGCTTGGTAGAACGCCCGACCGTATATGCGCTAACGTATACGAAGGATGACTGCAACCTACAGTTCTGGAAGGGTCTCTATATGTGGATTCTCTGTGTGTATAGCGTGTGCAGTAAGACGGCCGAGGCGTGTGAGGGGCTCAGTGCGGTGAGATCGACCAGTGCAGCAGAGGAAGACAAGACCCTGTCATCAATGCCTTCGCGTCAACTCTCTGTGTATATGTGTGTGTGTCTGTGTCTGTGTCTGTGTATATGCGTGTGTGAATATGTTGGTATGTGTGAGACATCATTATTGCAACCGCTGTATCCACTTTATCGATGTCCATCCATGCAGGTGTTTTCAAAACAACCATGTGTGTCTGTACAGCCAATGATGCGTCCCGGATCCCTCATACACACAACGCAACAGACAGCCAGACCGACGCGTGACGGCAAAAGGAACGATTGGCAGCTGTGTGTGTGATGTTAGCGTGTGATGTTTGTTGAAACAGACGGCAAAGACAGAAGAAAAGGAAATCCATCAGCACATCCATGCATTGTGTATCGTGTGTTTTGTGGGGGTGTCAGGGGGGATGTGTGTGTTGCATGCAGGCCTGCCCATGTAGTCTATCCATCCGCTGTTGTAAGTGCGCGTATGTGAGTGTGTGTTGGCTAGCAAAGGAATCTGCCCTTCTCTCCCGTTGCAGCGTCAACCAGCTCGTAGATCCACGTCCGCCCGCCGCAGCCGCCCTTGCCCCTCACGTCGGGAAGATGGGGGAAGCCCTCCACCCTCTTGTCCTTCACCTTCTCCTCCAAGATGCATTTGCCTTGACCATTACTCCCAGAGTCTGCCCCCTCTCTGATGAGGCACACCTCGCCTGCGGCGCAGGGCTTGATCTTGACCGGCTCGCCAGTGTTTCTGTTCTCGAACTCGCAGTCGGACCCTTTTGCACACACACACACACACACACAGAGCAGGAGCTGAGATGGGCGCTTGGTCGGCCATCGGCGCGTTTTGTACCGAGGCGCGAGAGAGAGTCGAGTTTGCCTTTTTCCGCCCAGCAATACTGCGCCCGACCTTGACCTTGAACAAGTTCCGGCATCTGGCCGAGCTCCCAGTTCTTGCCGCTCGCGTACTTGGCGCTGAAAGCGTAGGCGGGCTGGATCAACGGATCGCCTATGGGGATGCGGAAGAACTTCGCCGCTGCAACACAAGATAATACAAGATGCGGCACTGTCTCTTTCTGTCTCTGGGTGTGTGTGGATGCGTGTGACATTGCTCAGTGGAGATTTTCTCGCACTAATCGAAAACAACACGCAACAAGGATTTTGGCATTCTTTCCCCTTCATCATGCCTACCAGGTCTTGGGCGCGGGTATTTTTGTCGACGCAGATGCCAGGATGGGGGTTGCCTCGACTCTGAGCTTCCCGACATATGCCAGGACGAGCGTGAACCACGACCAGTTAAAGTGAATCTGATGGGCCGCGCACACTTTCTCGTTGCCGGGGCAGTCGTCAACAGCTTCCATAGAGACGCTCTCCTGGCCGCCGTGCGTCACGTATATTGTGCACTTGCCTGCAAACAATCAGGGAGCCATGCACAGACGGACTTGGAATGCATGCAAACGACTGACCCACCCGAAGGCTGGAGTGCGTGTGTCTTGAGGGCGCTGTCGATGGCGTCTACGGCGGCGACGCTCAGCTGGTGGGCGGCGATGTTGAGTTTGTGGGCGGCAGTGATTGAGGCGTGGGCGTGATTGAGCTGCAGCTGGATGAGCGACGCATGCGTGGACGACATCAAGGCAAACTCTGCAACACAACACACCCACAGATGCATCGACACATGAACACGAAGGCATCCGTGTGGAGATGCTTTTGGCGTACCCTGGTCAGCCCCTTCAGTGCTGTTGGTATTATCGGCCGAATTCAGGGCTAGATAGCGGCTTGCCGACACTGCAGCCACAACGCGGCAGATGCATCCATACATACCCATACGTACCCATACGTATGATGCCCCCCATGTCATGTCTCATTGTTGTGTTGCGTTTGCTGACCGTCGGCAGCGCTTTGGGTGTTGGAAGGCATCACTGCGGCCATCAGACCGACAGCCAGCAGCGCCATAGACAGCACGAGAGGCATCTTACAAGCCGACACCATCGTCATCGTATCCTGCACGCCATGCATGGAAGAAACGATTGGGTGGTGGTGGACGATGTTAGTCTTCTTGCATGGCCTTCTCTACCTTGCAGAATGGCAGACTGAGGCGATTCGAAACCTACCAAGTGCTAGGCGACTTCTGTTTTACGAGTGGCGGGGGAAGGAGGAGAAAGGGGGCGACTCCAAGGCAGCCGAGGAGGTATATAGATGGATGCGAGTGTTTACGTTTCGGCGATCATGGCCGCGAGAGATGTCGTGCGGTCCTTGAGGGTTTCAAGATGCAGCCAGATCCAGAGCCCGGCACTGATCTGCAGGCCCCGGGTACCCGTGGGCAAGCGAACGCCGTACAGAAAGATCTTCAGATCTACTAGTACGCAAAGCAGCACGTTCGTCGATGGACCAACTGCGCTCAGATCCATGCCATTGGTGGAATGGTCCATGCGTCTTCTCTTTTTGTGTTCAGCATCTGCAGCGTTGGCCTGCTGCCTCTGGTTGTGGTGCTGATCGCTTGGATCGTTGGTTCTTCGGCTGCGGGCTACTGGATGATGACGGCACCGCTCGCCTACACGGAGTATGTGTGCAGGAGGGCATGGACGTGGCTGCAGGGCAGGGGATGATGCGAATTTTGTGTCTTTGGCTGCAGATTGCGTTTCCTCTGCGGCAGCCCCGGCCACATACAAGTAGGCGCAGTGCAGACGATCTTATCAGCCATGACCCATTACATACAACAAGCAGGCCTTCAAGTCGCTGCGCACGATGTATGTCATTTGCACGGTGGCTCGGGCTGTTACGACCGCCATTGCAATTTCGCGTGAGAGACAGGCGGAACACACAGGAAACCGAAGCATCTGTCTGTGCATGCCGTTGTCTCAGGTGGGGCTGCCACTCTGGCTGTCTTTCGGACATGTGCCTCCAGTGCTATCGCCGTGGCCATCCGGGACACAATCAAATTTGCTCTTCCAAGTACGGGAGCTGTATGGATGGCAGGCGATTGATCCACGCTCGATGGCTTGTGTCACTTACAGTTTGGTTCGTCATGAGAGTGGACGCTACCGCCGGTTGCTGGACACCTGGATGGCAACGAACGAGATGCTCGTCTTCGTCTTCCTGCTCCACACCCCCATTCGCTTCTTACTGGTGAGGGCTATATTGGGTGAGGGGCATGTCGTCAGCAAACAACGACGCATGTGTCTGCCCTCCGCGATTTCCTTTTGCGCAGGCCATCCTGCAATTCGTCATGTGGCCAACTTATTGTTTCCTCGATATTACTGAGGTAGGACACACAGACGGACAGAAAGAAAGAAAGAAAGAAAGAAAAAAACACACACACACACACGTATGCACACCTCCCGATGCCCACTTCGTCCTGTTGAATGGTGCTGTGTGCCTGGGTGTGCCAGTCCCTGTTGTGCCCGCCGATGGATGAGTTGTGGAAAGCCATCCGCCGGTGCCTCAGCGTGTCCGATACGAGCCTCCTCATCCAGATAGCTGCCGACGGCCTGAAAGGCGACGACGCGAAGGAATTCAAATACATGGTCTACGGTGCCATATTCTGCGTTGACGTATTCTGCTGCTTCGTGACCCTGGTGACGCATCTGCAGTCGATGTAAGTGTGGAGGCGAGTGGAGGATGACTTGGGGTAGAATTGATTATTCTCGGCGGACGGTAGTGAGTGAGGACTGATAGATGTGCAGACTTGATGAGATGTAGTTAATGGACAGTGTGTGACATCTGCCATATGTGTCGGGTCATGCCGTGTCCTATCGATGAAGGCACATCAACCATTCACCAGACCACACTAAGGCCAGGCCATCAACAGAAGCAAGAGACACCATTTCTTCATTTCCACACGACTCAGAGAAAAACGACAAAGTGTGTGTACGTCTGCCTAGATACAGAATGGCTTATTTCCATCCACACGACGACCGACGGACCCTCTTCAGGTCCCCCACCCACCTTTCCCTCACGACTCCCTCTGAGCCCCTTCGTACTGTATTGTCCCACTTGCCCTGTCTCGCCCTCGAAGATTGCCGCCCGCAGCACTTGCTCGCCCTGCTCCTCTCGACCTCGTGCTGCTCGCCCTGCTGCGGCAGTGGCTGGTGCTGCGGCGCCGCCAGCCGGGCCGTCAATGGGGATGCAAAGCGAGGCGGGAGCATCACCACTGCCTTGTGAGGCTCCCTCGGGCAGCATACCCGCTGACACGAGTGTCTCTCGTATCTCTCGGGTGAGGGCAGGGGACGCATGAGCGGCCTCAGCGGTGACTGGGCATGCGGCAACATCGGCAATGGGGGGATGGACGTGGTGGCTGGTGGAGGCGGGGTGGCGAAGGCTGCAGGCATCGGCCCCTGTGAGCGGGGCACAAAGAAGGTTCTCGGTCTGGATCGGTCCGTTTGTGCCTTGAGTTCGCCCATCTCCTCCAGCAGCAACTCCACCTGGCGACGCAGCAGCCGCTTCTCGGCATCGTACGGCACGGCCGGGCGTTCCGGCTTCTCCTCTGGTTCTGGTTTCCTTGGTTCGGGCGGCACACTGATGGAGGGTCTCTTCTTTCTGCTCAGCTGCTCCAGCCTGTTCTTGAGGGACTCGTTCTCGGCCAGCAGCTGACGCAGTGTCTCTGCGAATGTCAGGGGGCGGCCCTCCTCCCCAGCCATACCCGCCATCCCCGCCACCCCCTCTTTGCGGATGATGACCTCCTCCGCCTCCCGCATGTCGTCCAGCTTGGCGTGCAGCGCCTCCAGGACGTACAGCTGCTCGTTGAGACGCGGGGACGATATATTGGTGAGTTCGCTATGCTGTCGAGAGGTGTAGGCCCGCGACGACGTGTCCTCCTCAGCGCCCTCCATCGTGCCCATCGACAGCGAGCGCAGGCGGTCTCTGAAGAGCAGCGGCAGCGTGGAGGCGAGGGAGCGGGCAGTGTCCTGGCCAACAAGCAGCGGCCGGGCGTGCCGAGTGGTGTGCGGCGCCTTGCGGCGGCTGCCGAGCGCTGATGGCGTGGCATGCTCTCTGACACGGCGCAGGACGGACTCGTGGGTCTCCGGTCTAGGCTGGATCTTGGCGAAATCCAACCTTGGAACCGCAGGCTTGGAGGGCTTGGGAGTAACCTGATGGAAGGGAAGAAACAGATTCGCAATGGATGCCCCTCCATGTCTCACCTTTTTTGCTCCCCCTGCGTCTTCTCCTCCCTCGAGCTCCCCCTCCTCGAGGTCTCTGCCAAACACACTGCTTGCCACACTCAAGAAGAATAGCTTCAAATCCCTGGGCGTCACCCCCTGTTCGCCAGCATCCGCCCTCCGGGAGGGTGACCCTGTCTCAGCTCTGGCCACATCAGGCACGGTGATGCTCACACGCTTGGGGGTCGTGGCCTCCAGAGCTGCATCTGCGGCTGAGCCTGTGGAGAGGAAGCTCTGGTGGGGGCTGCGGCCTCTGTCTGTCGCTTGTGATTGGGATCCTCTGCGGGCCGTCTCAAGCTCGGCTGTGAGTGAGAGGTCGCGTGGGATGAGCGTGGCGTAGGGCGTCTGCGATGCACTCTGCGAGACGCTCTTGGACTCCGCTATACCATCTGAAGAGCATTGAAAAGGGCAGAGGAAGAATAGAATGCCGTCAGTTAAGAAGCAAAGGGTCGTGTCTTACGTGGCACATGGCCGGCTGTTGATGTGACAGATACGCCGCGGTGTGTGAGGGAGCGGGCGGCGTCCAGCAGATCCTTCAACTCATTCTGAAGAAAGACGACAGAAGGTAATGTGTGCTCGTCTCTCAGCCCTCTCTGTGTTGGCCTTTCTGACCTTTTCTTTGTCGAGGTGCCTTCGTTCGTCCTCCAGCTTGGCCACCTGCCGCTCAAAGTCAAGTAGGCGTGACTGGAGGGCGGCATTGTCCTCCAGCGCTCGCTCGAGCCTGACAAACGCAAATAAATGCACATCGTGTCCGAATGAACAGTCGAGAGAGGCGTGTTTGAGGCAATGCACCTCGCTTTCGCGTCTCGTGGAGTTTCCTTGGGCATCTCCACCTTGACTGGCTTCGGCAGTGTGCTTGCAATACCCATGGACGCCTGACGGTCCTGCGCACACAGACACACAAACGGGTGTCATGCAGTCAGTGTGTATTGTGTATGTGTGGTACGATTGATTGTCGCTGCGTGGTCATTTCTTCCTTGAGCTTGCGGCACTCCCGCTGCAACATCTCCTCACGGACCTTTGCAGTCTCGATCTCCTGCAGTCAAAGCAGCGAGCGCAAGGCAGCACCAAACATTTGAATGTGTGCGTGCTTGTTTGATGCTGACCTTCTTGAGACCCTCCATCTGTCCCTGCCAATGTGTCTCTGTCCTCGCCGTGACCTGCTTGCTCCTGTCAAGCTCGTTGCGAGCCCTCTCCAGCTCCTGACGAAAGAAAGACCACGTCGATCGGTCACAGCGAGATACGCATGAGTGTCTCTGTCTGCGTGTGTGGATGGGTACCGTCCTGAGCGCCGTGATCTCCTCAACCATATCATCCCACTCCTGCTCATACTTCATCTGCTGGCTCTGACATACAGACAGAGAAGGAGACACTACACATGACCCACGGCTTTCGTCAGCGGTATTGCTTACCCTGTTGAGTCGATGGTCCTTGCGCATGGAGGGCGATGGCTCCTCCGCCCCCATGGATGACTGGGTCCGCGCGAACGTGTATCGGCGCAGCGACTCCTGCAAATCCACTATGACCTCACTCTGATGGATCGGATCAAATGGGGGAGCAAGGCATGGATGTCCGTCACTCATAGGCATCCGTCGCTGTTGTGAAGTTGTCCTTCTCACCTTCCTCCGTATTTCCTCCTCTAGCTGGGAGATGATCCGGTCGGGCGTCACCGTCATTTGACCAATCGACACTGCACACCCGCCCGGTGCGAGCCAAGGAACACATTCAGAGTCTCTGTAGTGCAGCCTCCCTCACCTCTGCGTGCGTCATATGGCATTGCCGCCATCGGAAACCCCTGAGTGCTCATCATGGTGGCCCCCAAGGGCGACAAGGAGCCGACAGCAGTCACGCCAACGGCCTGTACGCCACTGGGCGAGCCGCCATGCGGCATGCCCATCACGGGAGCCATGGCGGGGAAACTGCCCATTCGCGGGGGCGCCGTACCCCGCATGTCTTGTGGAGCACCAGGCAGCTGAAAGCTTGGCTCCTGAAAGTGCTGCAGTGCCGTGGGCGAGGTCTGTCGCGCTCCAGGGGCCCAGTAGAAGGAGGACACTCTCCTCTCTGCCTCGGACCTTGTGGTGGAGTCATAGGCACTCGATCGGCGAGGGTCGGTGGAGCTGGAGTAATGGCTTGCCGGAGACGCAACCACAGGCGCCTCACCTGTGGGTAGTGTGCATGAGGGGAAGAGACAGAGACAGAAAGAGAGAGAGAGACATGCACAAAGATGAGCGAAAATATTCGCACGAGAGCCCTCACCTGGTCGTACAAGCGAAAAGGTCCGTGGGCTCTTGATGACGACCCCCCTGCCCTCCTGCTTGACACCCGACGTCTGAATGCTGGGGACTGCCTTGGGTTGCAGACGGACAGCCGCGTCCTCAGCACCCCCACTCACGGATAAGGGCGAGGCGCCCAGGGCCGTCAGTGTCGTTGCTCTGTTCATCTTGAGACCACCCTCCCGTAGCCTCTGGGAGAGCGAGCCCTGGGCCGTGGGCTGTGATGGCGCGTGGAAGGATGGGGGGACGGATGGGGAGGGTGCTTCGGAACGGCTCGTGGAGGGGGAAGCACCCTGAGGCAAGTTCCAATTTTTCACCTCATTAACAAGTTTGGATGGTCATCTCGTGTCTCTTACCTGTGGCTCTACCGAGGCGGGCCTCAGCAGTCCCTGTTCCACCGATGTCGGCTGAGACTGCCTCCGAGCCGCCGCAGGAGGCAGCTTCGGAATCCCCCCTCCGGCCTTCCCGCTCGCACCCAGTCGAATCTTGGGAGCCTCGAAGTTGGCAGGCAGCACTTTCTCGGATCGCACCTTGCCAGGCGAGGCCCCCTTGTCGGCGCCCTTCGCACCGAACATCTGAAACATGGTGAGAGGCGCTGAATATGGCAGTGGGGGAAGAACGGCTCGATGTCAGGCTGGGGGACGCTCGCTGACCGACCTTGACGCCACAATGAACAGAGTAGGGCCGCTTAATCGGGAGAAAGAGGAGGGGGAAACGTCGAGAAGAACCCTGGATGCGAGCTGAGCTCGCAGACCTGCGAGCCGGGAATGAGAGCGCGTGAACTTCCCCCTCATAGACCGTGTACACACGTTTGCTGTTCTGGACGCTTTACGCTTTCCCGTTTGATCTGCCAATCCGACGCGGCTCAAGTGAACACGCACGTGAGAACACACCGCAGAAGAGTAGAGATGCGAGTCTAGAGAAGAGCACTCAGCGCAAGCACACGACAGGCAGAGCCTGACGGTCTCTCAAATTGAGCTGTGTGCTTTGTGTAGGTGCAGAGATACTGGCTCTCGGTGCCTCGTAGTGGCTGCTCTGTGTCCGTTGGGTTCCTCTATGGACGTCGTCCCCGCTGCTGCTGGCACTGATGAAAGCAGCCCGTCGAATGACGATACGCCCAGGAACGGTGGCTCCGCCAAAGCAGCTGCTGCGGACCTGAACACATGTGTTGCGGTCGATATCGGCACTGCGGGCGGAGGGCGGCAGGATGCGGACGCAACGGTGGTGGGGGAGGAAGAGGAGCAGATTGTGTGTTGCGGGCGGCGGCTGTCCAAGGAACGAGTCGGCTGGTACGAATGGACTCACATCGTTTTTGTGCGCGGTGTGGCTGCCTGTGATGTGTCTGTGCGCTGCTGGGTTGATCTGCTGGGATGCGACTTCACGTCTGTTTGCCTGTCTTGGGCAGGTACATGTTTGATTGGGCAAACAGCCCAATTTATACGGTGGCCCTCGCCTTGTTCCTTCCGATCCTGGTCAAGTCAATGGCCGAAGAGTGAGCGACAGAATGCGTAAGGCGCCATCTGACATGCAATTCTCTGTGTGTGTGTGGGTGTGTGGGTGTGTACAGCTATGCGTACGGCTCCTCTCTGCAGAGCTGCAGCGATGATGCCATGTGCGGGAGGAATGGCTGCGACACACCCGCCACGTGCACCGCCTGTGTACCCGGCCGAGGCATCCTGGAATGGGTCGGCAGCGAGGGGGCGTACCGCGAGATCGAGCAGAAGGGCGTGGAGTTTTTGGGCGTGGAGATACAGGCCATATCGTTCGCAACGACAATGATCTCAGTGAGTGTGGTGGCCCAGGTGTTCGTCTTCATCACCTTCGGCAGATACGGCGATTTCGGCAGGTGGCGCAAGAACCTCATGATCATCTTCACACTCATTGGTACCACGCAGGCACTCAATGCCGCACACACATGCACCCACCCACCCCACATTTTGACGAAGATGCGCCTGTCTGTGTGTTTGCAGGCGCCCTGCCGTGCATCGGCATCGTGTTCCTCGACCGCCCGTCGCTCTATTGGCTCGGCGGCGTATTTCTCATCACAATCAATGTGGGGCTCGGCAGCAGCATAGTCTTTTATAATGCCTTCCTGCCCATCCTTGTCGAGCTGCACCCAAAGGTCCGCAGAGCCGAGCCGTCAGCACACGAAGGCCGAGACCAACATCCCCAGCTAGACCAACCGGCGACTGCCGCTGCTACTGACTTTACCGGACTGCTCACACGTTCGCTGACAGAGAAGGGCAGCGGGGCGATGGCGGAGAGAGTGCGAGAGGCATGTGAGCCGCGGGCGTGCCGGTCGCATGAGGGGACGCCGAGGCGGTCGTACGTGTCGGCCAGCCCCTCGTTTGAGCTTGTGAGTCGGTCGCTGGGCGGGCTGTTCTCTCCTGGGAGGCGGTGGCGGGATGCCAACAAAGGGAAGGCCGATGACGGCGACACATCGACGGAACAAGGGGTGAGACGACAGCAAGCCGTAGCAGACATATGCACTGATGCATATTCCATGTTCCTCAGTCTTTCGAGCTGGAGCTAGAGAAACGTCGGAAGGCATTTCGCACCCCTCAGCTGACACAGGAGGTGCTCGAGGTGATGCGGAGGGCAGAGGATGTCTCTAACGAAATGTCGACCTTGGGCATCGCCATCGGAAACGTGAGGCAATCACACACAAGCAGATCGACATTCATCTCGAACCGGCCGCACACAGATCATGATCCATTGTCGGTGCGCTGCAGGCGGGTGCGTTTTTGTGTCTGGTCGGAGCTGCTGCTTTGCAATTCGCGGCCACAAATGACGACAACGGCCGACTCGCCGACCGATTGTCGACCGCTCTGTCCGGTACGAAGACCACACAGCCCCGCACAACATCGCTATTCAATGTGATATTTGTCCACCCCTGTGTATCACTGCAGGTTTGTGGTGGTTGTGTTTCTCGGTGCCGACGTTCATGTGGCTGCGAGCCCACCGCGGCCCGCCGCTCAAGGGAGCCGGCGGGTGGGTGTGGCTGATGGGGTGGAAGGGGACGTGGGAGATCATTTGTCAAGCCAGGATGTATGATCAAGTGCTCATGATGCTGGTGAGCGGGGAGGGAGGGAGGGAGGGAGGGAGGGATAGAAAGGGCTCACGTATGGTTTTGCTTTTACATGTTGTGGGTGTGGGTGTCTGTGTTTGTCAGTTGTGTTTCTACTTCTATTCTGACTCGTATAACACGATCGCTTCTGTGGGTGTCCTGGTGGCGCAGAGCGAGGTACACAACCAGAACGTGCACCATGACAGACCGACCGACCGACCGACCGACAGACATGCCGCCTATGTGTATGGTTGCAGCTGTGTCTGAGCTCTGTGGCCCTGTTGTTCATCATCTTCCTGATCCTTATTTGCGCCAACCTGGGCGGCATATTTTTCCTCTGGCTCCAACGACGACTCAAGTAAACCCAGAAATGCACTCACTCACTCATCCCTCATTGGACTTGTACATCCGCGTGCCCCTCCCTCCCCATCTTTCTCCGCAGGTTGAGCACCAAATCGATGGTGCTAGTGGTGCTGACCATCTACCTGTTCATCGCCCTGTGGGGGTCACTCGGGGTTGTCCCGGGATCGACCGTCGGCTTCAAGAACCCATGGGAGGCCTACCTCTTCGGCGTTCTGCATGGGTTCGGCCTGGGGGCCGTTGTGTCCTTCTCACGGGCTCTGTATGCCGAGTTTTTGCCGCCGGGAAAGGTCAGCCACCAAACAAGCACAGAGAGAGGTGTGGTTGTGTGATGCGTCGGTGCTTTGGTGGGTCGCAGGAGGCAGAGTTTTTCGCTCTCTATGCCGTGACTGACCGTGGCAGCAGCTGGATGGGGCCACTCGTGGTAAGACAACACAAGACAGCACACAACGTGCACTGGGATGATGGCCGTGTGGTGGTGCGCGCATCTGTGAGTGTGTGTGTGTGTGTGTGTGTCCTGGCCTGAACGATCAGACTGCGGTGTTGTACCAGACGACGGGCGAGATGCGGTGGATCTTCCTGTATCTGCTGGTCATGGTAGCCCTGCCAATGGTGCTGCTCTTCTTCTTTGTCAACCAACGAAAGGTCGGTCAGACACACACCTACACAGGAGCCCCTGCACACACACACACAGCGAGTCCCTCTCTGTGTGTCGGTATATATATATATATGTGTGTGTGTGTGTGTGTGTAGGGTGAGTTGGCTGCTGGCCGATTGGAGGCCGTCAGGCAAGCCATATCCAAGCCTGACGCAGCAGCACCAGCAGCAAAGACAGCGACTTCATGCTAGGCGGCATTCCCGTGCCCGTGTTGACTTTGGACGTTCACCCGGACCGATTGATAAAGCGAGGACGTGCTTTTTGGGGCGTCACTGTGTGTGCTGGGCCGTCGATATCTATGGCTTTGTGTGCGTGGGTATATACAAATATATATAGCCCCTTTTTTGTTTTTGCCCGAGACAGGGAGTCGACTGGCCGCTGCAGCGTGTGGCTGAGAATGGGTGTCTGTCTGTGTGTCTGTGTGGATTTGTTTGTACAGGTAGGTAGGTAGGTCTGTGTGTGTGTAAGAGTGTTGTAAGCAGGTACTTAGTAGCTTGGCTCATGGCTCATGGCATACACGATTTGGTTGTGCAGACACGTCACATGTGTGTCGATAAGCATAACGGTCATGTCATGCTGTGGCAAGACACCAAGTCACGCTAAACCCATCCATCCATCCAGCCAGCCAGCCAGCCAGCCAGCAGCTGTGGCCCGTGCTCATCTGTACACAACACGAGCCACGTGTGACACCTACAGGTGTCTCCATCCCTCTAGCTGAGAGTATAGGTCCACACGGAAGTGCACAACGACCATACACGCATGGATGGATTGAGCTGTCTATCTATCCCTCCTCGGTATCCCCCTCTCCCTCCCCCTCTCCTTGGCCATCGCTATCGCTATCGCTACCGCTGCTGCTGCTGTCGCTCACGTGTGTGGCCCGGTCGTCCTCATCGCCACCTTGCTCGTTGACCACCTGAATCACACCCGCCTGAATCAATGCCTCCAATCGCTGCTCGTCGACGCGATCCGGCAGATGAATGAATGAACAGAGGACAGCCTGAATGAATGAACGGCACACAATGTATGACTGCATACTTGTCGCCATGGGCGCATTGCTGGTCACCCGTAGTGCAATGTCCATGTTGTTGTGTGTCTGCAGCTCGACTAGCTTGTCCACACCGGCGGCCTGCAGGGAGGTCACAGAAGGACAGCCGTGTGCATGATGCTCTCTCTCTCTCTCGATCACCTACCTGCTCTAATAGTGTGCTGTAGGGATTGTTGGGGAGACCCTCAGTGGCCTGTTTCTGTCGACCCGCGCTGCACGCACGAGCGCAAGAGCAACACACATACATGGGCAGCACACATTGGCAGGTGACCTACTTTAGTATCCTATGCAGGGCGGAGATGATGTCCCTTATCTGGCCATCCCTGATCTGGCCATCGGCACCATCGAGCAGGTCACAGAGGGGCCGGATGCCGCCGCACTCAACCACATACTCAATCTGCACGATTAAGCGGACAGATATACACACCCGCCCAGACAGATGTGTCACACACGGCTCAGGAAATATGTCGTGTGTGGCCGGCTGGCAAACACACAAACCTGTCGCTGCGACCCTTTGACTACAATAAGGAGAATGTTCCCGACTGCTATCTCCTTCAGGCCCGAATCGCTCTCCGCGTTGGCCGCCAGGTCGACCAGCAGCGGCACGAGCCCGCCATCGATGACCGTCTGCACGTGAGAAGTTGTGCCTGCATCCAATCAATCCACAGCAAAGAGCACAGCACCCTACACCTGACGTGGATGGATCTATGTGTGTAGCCGTCCCACCTTCAGCCACGAAGTACACCATGAGAAGTGCGGGGCCTTTCATCTCCAAATCGGCCATCTGCACCAGTGGTTTGATCGACGCGACGGCGCCACACTCGACCAGCGCGTCACGGTCAGCATCGGTACCTGAGCCAGCGGTCAGCCACAGGCAGGCAGCACACAGTCAGCCATGACGCCAATGATGATATTTCCTGCACTCACAGGCTAACTGACCTTGCCCATGGAGTCGATGTATCAAGTGTTGCAGCGCCACTCGTGCAGCCTTGAGCACACGGTCGTCCTGCTGCGGTGCGGCGACGAGACCGACCAGGACGGGCACGAAGGGCGCCAACTCGGCCAGAGGGGCAGGAAGGGGCGCATTCTCGGGGACAATCCACAGGTTGCGCAGCAGGCAGGCACTCACGGTCAGCACGGCGGCGTTGCTGCTCTCGCGCATCGCCTTCAGGAGCGGCTCCACGATGCCCGCCGCCACCACGACATCGCGACAGGCCGCCGATCCGGCCGTGATGTTGCACAGCGTCGCTATGCCCCCTCCACGCACATCGTCATCGGGTGAAGACACGAGCTGCACCAGGGGCGGGACCGCATCCGCATTGACCACCGCATCGCCATTCTGAATCGCCAGCATGCTGAGGGCCTGTCCTGCTGCGGCCTGCAAGTCTTCGCACCCGCTCAGCTGCTCGACCAGCACAGGCACCAGACCGACGTCCACAGCCTTCTGCCCGATGCCCTCTATGTGCTCGATGGACAGCAGCCCGGCGAGCTGCCGCATGGCCTCAGCCCGAAGCTGCGGATCACTGGCCGAGGCCATCATGTTGCAGATGTCGGTCATGACGGCGGCAATGTCGGCCTCGACGGCCTCCGATCCTCGCTGCTTGACGGCATGGTCGTAGGCCTCCTTGGTATGGATGGCATGGACCAAGTCGCTCGCCTTGGCCAGCACTGCTTGGAGTGAGGGATTGTCAACTGTGGTGCCGACGGCGTCCGCTGTGCTGCCCGCCGAGGCCATTCTCGTTAAACTGAGAAGACACACACACACACAGAGATTGTGTAGAATGGTCCATGGCTGCTGCCGTTCATTCTTCTGACCTGGCAGGTGCTCAGCGGCCCTCCGTTATGGTGCTGAATGCTACGCCACTCGCCTATCTCACGACGCACGCCTGAGAGAACAGATGGATGACGACACAAAATGAGACAGATCTGTGCCATAGGATGGCTTCCCTTACCATGGTGTGTCCTCCAGTGGCGCCGGAATGTCCACAGATCTCCGGAAACTGCACTCCTTCGTCGAGTCGATCCGATCAGAGAGATCTTCGTCGCTGCTTTGGGCTTGCGCGGCCGTTCTGAGGACGGCAGCAGCTCCAGCAGCCGTCGTCTGATGGCGGGAATTCATCGCTGAACCGCATTCGACGTCGCACGCGCCACAATGGCGAAGAGCATGATGGTGAGTGAGGAGAAAGCAGGACAGGGGATGATGCTTGTGATGGGCTGTGTTTGTTTGGTCAGGATGATGGCCTTGCTTGGCCGCAGCAGAGAGGTACTTGATGCACACAACACAAGCCTCAGAGAAGAGAGCAGATTGTCTTGTGATGTCCTCTATGAATGCAGCCCTGTTGGTGGATCGCATAGTCAACAGAGCATCATATGTTGGCTGCCGCGACGCGACCATCCTGCGGGCGGTGCGGCTGCTGGATGCATGCGACGCCGACCGACTCATTGACACCGATAGCGCCACACAGGCAATGAGAGAGGAATGACTGATGGACAGCGCAGCTCATGAGATGCGTGTGTGACGCTTGACTGCTCAACACACAGGTAGCAGATGCGTGTGTGGCCGCCTGCGTCGAGCGGCACGAGCCACAGCTGCTGACTGACGACCCTCCTGCTGATCTCACACTGACACAGGTGTGCACAGAAAGGCACAGAGGGCTCACTTAGCCACGCCAACACCTCGTCCTGTCTGTCTGTCTGTCTGTCTGTGTCTGTCTGCCTCTGTGTGTGCAGGTGATGACGCGTGTGGTGGCTGATAGCTCTGAGAGTGGCATTGAGTTTCTGGAGGGGCTGTTTGCTGCGGCTGGCATGGACACCCACGGCCGCCTGTTCTCATTCGCCAAATACCTCATGGTCAGTCTGTCCGCCAGACACACACACACACACACACACACAGAGACACCTCCAGCTATTGAATGGCTTCTCCCTGGGTGTCTGTCTGTCTGTCTGTCTGTCTGTCTGTGCAGTTCTTGTCGATGTGTGACATCGATTTGGCCGGGTGCGATGTCCGTCTGCTGGCCGCCACGGCCGTCTACATCACGCGCAAGACCAACCAGAAGCAGATAGCCGGCGGCATTTGGGTGAGCCAAAGCGACACGTGTCACTGCCTATCTATGGCCTGTGTGGGTTTGTGTGTCCCATTGTTCATTGTCAGAGTGCGGCCCTTGCGAGTGAGATTTCTGTTAGCGAGTCGGCGTTGGAGTCTGGCATAGCGACGCTGAGGATGCTGCGGCTGCTGTGGGGCGACACACAGACCACCAAAGGGGTGAGCGTGTCAGAAGACCAGTAGAATCGCCAACACAGCACCGTGTTGATGTCATTGTCTGTCGTTTGTGTGGTGTGTGCAGGTCGTGACGGATGCAGTAGACGAGATGTTCGCGTCGTCCGACCGTCACGGTGTCGCATCGACAGACAGCCACCCACAGCACCAGCAGGTGGGTGCCTGGTGCGACATAACTGACCTGAGCAATGGGTGCTGCGACGGTTCCATGTGTGGTGCAGGTGTCTGTGTGGTGGCTGGTGTTGCTGTGGATGTGGCGCTTCTGCTGTCGAGTGTGGCGCTGGTGTTGCGGGCGGCCCTCATCTGACGAGCAGCAGCACCCCCTCGCCCATCTCTTCATCGACGATCGGTGCTGCATCCCCGACATGGACACGACGCTGCAGCTGAGAGCCTCAGCCCGGTGCTTCAGAGACGCCTTCTCATCTGGGCAGCTGCGCACCCGACTCGACCACTCGATGGGCCCTGACGGCATCGACACTCAGCTGGTGCAGTTCGACCCATCGCTGCGTGTGGGTGCCCTCATGGCGGCCGTGTGGATAGCCGAGGAGGGGGGGCGGTGGGATGAGACGGAAGAGACACTGCAGCTGGCCGAGCAGTGCCGCTACTGCAGGCTGCCGGTCATCGTCACGGCCGACGACATCAACAAACATGCCAACAAGACCGTAAGATACACGCAGGGGCGCAACACACCAGACAGGTCCTCATTCGTGTGTCTGTGTGTCTTGGATGCACCCATGTAGACGTATGCATCGTTCCCCCGTGTGTTAGCCCAGCTGGTGATGGTCGGCCGCCACGTGCAGTTCGGTGACGGCAGCCGGCTGCAGCTCTTCCGCCACGGCAACCAGATCAGGGCCATCAACGACCGGCCCGCCTTCCGGCTGACGATCAACCCGCCCCTCCCCGCCGGCCATCTGTATCAGCAGCACCGACTACAGCATGACCCGCCCGTCCGCAGCCACATCAAGTACCTCCCACGCTTCGATATATGGGACGGGCGCGTGGATACCGGCGAATGGGACGTGGATACCAGCCGGCCTAGCGACGCATCGGTGTCGTCATTCGCGCGACGCATGATCCTCGACCATTTCTACCACACTCACCTGACCGATGACACATCGACCCTCGACAGGTGAAGACAGACCAATGGCTTCATGACAGGCAACACCAAGGGGTGTGCGTTTGCTTGTGTGTGTGTGATGGTCATATTCTTCAGCTCTGTTGGTGGCGGCCGTCTGCGTGACCTGCTGACCCAGCCGCCTCACGCACCGGTGGAGGGATGCACCACGACAGCGACAGCGACAGTGGCAGTGAGCTCCATTGGCCAGTGGGACCGCCGTGAGCGATGGCTGGTGCTGACCGATAGCAGCCACAACTTCGTCGCATGGGTTGTCATTACTAGCTGGGACAACATCGATGGTCAGCCCGACAGATGGGCACATCTGCTGGTCAAATGTCATGAGAGTTTTCGTTCTGAATGTCTGCAGTGGTTCGTGTCGTGACGACTGAGGCACCTGTGGGTGAGAGCGGTGCCTTCAAGGACCGCTTCCCCAAGACCACTCGGCTGGCTCGTGTGGCGCTGGGGCGAGTGGCGCCATTCGTGTTCGACGGACATGTATAAGACCCGTAGGATGGGGATAGTGAGCGACGATCCTTTCCCCTCACTGCCTCCCTGCCTCCCTCCCTCTATACTTGTCGATATATATCGATTGTGCGTGTCGTCCTTTCTGTGGTTTGACCTGGGTGACTCGTCATTCATTATGTACTTGTGCAGCTCTCTCTCTCTCGTTTTGCGTGGATGGAGTGAGTCGGTGTACCTGCATCATGATGTGTGTGTGCCGTGACGGACAGAAACGAACTCATCAATCAGCTGAAGGAGACGCAAAGATTCGCATAAGTGACACCCAAGTTTGTGAGTGGCGGACGGCACGAAATGAGATGGATATATAGATCTGACGCTAGTCGCTCCTCTGTCTGTCAGTCTGTACACCCAAGAGCGAGCCCCCCCGTCCCCCCTTGGCTACTTACGTACCCACCCACCCACTCACCCACACACAGGGCATACGCAGATCGACCATGCATCGTGGATTGATCTGTCTGTCTTCTGCCCATCCATCTGTCCATCCATCCATCCATCCAGCCATCCATCCATCCATCTACGCCTCTTCGCCCTCGCCCTCCCCATCACTATCGCTGTCGTGGCCATCGCTACCGCTGTCGGTGTCCAAATCGCCGGCACCATCGCTCTCGCCATCCCCGTCATCGTCATCGTCATCGTCATCATCGCTCTCTGCCTGAATCACACCCGCTTGAATCAATCCATTCAGCCGCTGCTCGTCCACACGAGGCCGGAAATGGTTGGCGAGAATGGCGATCGCCTGAATGGATAGGAAACAGACAACAGACTGGCAGTGTGTGTATGCGCCGCTTGTCGACATGAGGGACTTGCAGGCAGCCCACCCGGGCTGCGATGAGGATGTCAGTGTGCGTCTGGAGGTCGGCTAGCTTGTCCACACCGCCGGCCTGCAGGAAGGTCAGAGAAGGATAGCCGTGTGCATGATGCTCTCTCTCTCTCGATCACCTACCTGCTCTAATAGCGTGCAGTAGGGGTTGTCGGGGAGACCCTCATCGCCCTGCTTCTGTCGACCCGCGCTGCACGCACACACACAACACACGCAGGCAGCAGACATGAGCAACACACAAGCAGGTGGGCATTGGACCTACCTTAGTATGTTGTCCAGCACGGAGATGGTGTCCCCTATCACTTCCCCGACGTCATCGAGGAGGACACATATGGGCTGGATGCCGCCACACTCAACCACATACTCAATCTGCATAATTAAGCGAGGAATGAACAAATGAAGACACTGCTTTAAGGCGGCTGCTCGACATGCGCACCTGTTGCTGCGATCCGAGTAAAAGTCTTCCGATGACCCTTGCTGCCACCATCTTCAGGATGGCACCGGTGTCCCCGCCGGACGCCGAGCCGATCAGCAGCGGCACCAGCCCGCCATCGATGACGGCCTGCTTGTGAGCAGTGGTGCCTGCACCAAATCAATCCACACCAAACAGCACGTCTTGTGTGTGTACGTGCGTCTGGTGAGTGTGCACAGGTTTTTGTGTGTGTGTGTGTGTGTGTGTGTGTGTTTGTGTGTGTGTGCTTCACCTTCAGCCACGAAGTACACCACCAGGCATGCGACGGCTTTGATCTTTGGCTCGGCCATCTCCAGCAGCGTCTTGATCGACGCCACGGCGCCACACTCGACCAACGCGTCACGGTCAGCATCGGTACCTGAGCACATGGGCAGGCAGGACACAGTGAGCCGTGCAGCCAGTGATGATGTTTCGTGCACTCTGTGGGGCAGGCAAACATCATCTACCCCTTACACACATAGTGACTGACCTTTCTTGTACGACAGCACGGCGAAATGCGCCAAGGCTCGTCGGGCGGATCGCATCACGTGGTTGTCCTGCTGCGGCGCGGCGATAAGACCGGCCAGGACCGGCACGAAGGGCACACACTCGGCCAGTGGAACCACTGGGAATGTGACAGGGACGGGCTGGTTCTCCAAGTCGCTTTCAGGGACACTCCACAAATTGCACAGCAGGCGGGCACTCCACGCCGGCACGTCGCTGTTGTCGCTACTCTCCTGCATCACTCTCAGCAGCGGCTCCAGGATGCCCGCAGCCAGCACAGCGTCGCGACGGGTGGCCGATCCGGCCGTGATGTTGCGCAGCACGTCAATGGCCCCCAGGCGCACATCGCCGGTGTGTGACGACACGAGCTGCACCAGGGGCGGGACGGCACCCGCATTGACCACCGCCTCAGCGTGATCCACCGCCAGCAAGCAGATGACCCGTGCGGCTCCGGTCTGCACCTCGGGCCCGCCCAGCTGTCCGATCAACACAGGCAGCAGACCGACGTCCACAGCCTTCTGCCCTATGCCCTCTATGTGTTCGATGGACAGCAGCCCGACGAGCTCATAAATGGCACCCATGCGAAGCAGCGGATCACTGGCCGAGGCTATGAGATGGCGGATGTCGGCCATGACACCGGTGATCTCGGCCTCGACGGCCTCCGATCCTCGCTGCTCCACCGTCTGGTCGTAGTTCTTTTTGGTGCGGATGGCCTTGTACAGGCTGCTCGCCTTGTCCAGCACTGCTTGGGGCGAGGGATGGCCATCCTCTGTGGCGCTATTGGCCGCCGACTCCATTGCCACCTGCGAAGAACGACTCACACACTCATGGCTCGCTTCATGGCTGCTCGCTGCCGTCCTTGTCACCTGGTGAGGTGCTCAGCGGCCCTCCGTTATGGTGCTGAATGCTACGCCACTTGCCCATCTCACGACGAGTGTCTGAGAGAAGCGATGGATGACGAGAGGAAATAAGGCAGATCTGTGCCATAAGATGGCTTCCCTTACCATGGTGTGCCCTCCAATGGCGCTGGAAATTCCGCAGAGCCTCCCTCTCTTCCTCGGATCGATCCAGAGAGATCTTTGTCTCTGTTTTGGGCTTCTGCAGCCCTTTTGAGGACAGTAGCAGCTCCAGCAGACCTCGTGTGATGGCTGCAACCGACCAATCCATTCCAATGGCCCGACTTGCCGCCTGTCGTCTGGTGCTGTGTGTGGCGGCCCTGCTGATGCCCTTGGCGGCCTCCCAGCGGACCAGCTCTCATCTCTACGGCCATGGCATTGGCTATCAGCCTGACCATGGTGTGTGTCACAAGAAGGAGCCAGTGCACTATGAGTGCCCCCACGGCTACACATTCGATGACGACAGCCACAAGTGCATCAAACACGAGTACGGTGAACTGATCTACTACTGCCCAAAGGTGAGCGAGTCGACGCACACACACAGAATGATCGTGCTGCTGATGTATGTCCGTGTGTTGTGTGTGGTGCAGGGCACCAAGGAGGCCCATGACTGCTCGTGTGTCAAGTACGACTGCGCCCAAGACGCCCCACTGCAAGTACGGCACAGCTGGACGATGCCGCCCACAAGTGCATCGACCACCGGTACCATGATGTCGGCTACAAGTGCTCAGACGGCTACTCGTTCACTGCCGATAAGAACAAGTGCTACGCCGACAAGTACACTGCCAAAGTCTACAGGTGCCCTTACGGCTATGAGCTGACCGAGGACAAGAAGAAATTCATCAAACACATCTACGCCGACGTCGAGTGAACACATCACGCGCCCAAGAGTGATGCACTCATATATGTGCGTCTGTGTCTGTCTACGTGTCCATTCAGCATTCTGTGTTGACCCACAAGGGCTGCAAGTGGACCACATATGGGCACAAGACACCCTACCGCACACACGGCCATCTCTGGCCACAAGTGTGTCTTCAAGAAGCACCACGACATCCACTATGAGTGTCCCCACAGCTATCAGCTGACCAAGGACGGCACCAAGTGCTACGCCGAGACCCACTATGACCAGCTCTACAAGTGCCCGTCCGGCTACTATATGAGCTGACAAAGGAGGACACCAAGTGCGTCAGCTACCACTATGCTGCCGTGACCTACAACTGCCTCAAGGGCAAGCTGACGTATGTCGGCTCACAGCCCATTTGCTGCGTCGAGCACTATGGCCACGGCAGCAGTAGCAGCAACTTAAGGGGGGCCAACAGCTACCACTAGCCGAGTGACCGACAGACAGGGAGTCAGGGGTGGGATCTCTGTTCTACGGATGTGTCTGATGTGAATAGGTAAAAGTCTGGGGACGTCTTGTTCTGTAATTTATCATACCTTTTTTGCTGTATGTGTTCGGTATGTGGTCTGTTTTCGTCTTGTTGCTCCCTCCCATAGTGTGGGCGGGCGGGCGGGCCGCGAGAAGCGTGCGATGGACGTCTTGCGTGTGTGGGGTGTGCGGTGTTTGTTTCTCCATGTGCATCTTGCGTGAGTGCATTTGTGGACGTGCCACTTCGTGTGAATGGATGTCTATGAAGACACGTAAGCTTCAAGTGTGTGTGTCTGTCCAAAAGGTCGATTGAATCACCCGATCACGGATAAGCCTCCTACCCCCCCATCTATTCTACTGCAGCAGGGTAGCTCTGTCCGAGGGTCTGAACGGGAGAGAAAAAGACGGTATGATATCGATAGTATAAGCAAATGCCAGCGGCCATAGAGAGGGAGCCACACAGAACCTCCCACACTTTCACAAACACGCATCTGACCTGATTAACACTCATAGTCAGCATCAATGCACAGACAGACAGACAGACGGCAGCACAGAATACACCGATGGGACGCTCCATTTGGACGCCATCGCACCGCTGCTAAAACGATATTATGACATCCACACACAGATACGAACCTTTGACCCGCCCCCCCTTTTCCCTACCCCCATCCCCCCGCTCACACACACAGGACGGCTTCAGCGGCTTCAGAGCGGGAGTAGGGCCAGCAGGTTGTTCAGGAAGTGCTCCAAAGACCCGAGCAGACTGAACAAGACGCTGCTGATGTCGCCCTCAGCGTCCTTCAGAAAGCGTTCGATCTCGGCAATCAGCTCCTCGACCAGGTTGACGATGTCCGTCAGCTCACCTTCTGCCATTGGCTTGCGGGGCCTGTCTGCCTCGTTCGGTGCTGAGGTGGCATTGGCTTTGGCCCTGACGGCTTCGATGTGCTCCAGAGCCGCCATGATCTTCTCGCGGGGCTTCTTGCCGTCATCAATAACCAGAGGAGAAATACTTCCTGCACACACAGACACAACACAAGACGGCACACAAGCACACACACACAGAGAGAAAGGGTGCCGCTGCATCTATTGTTCTGGGTGTGTGTCTCTGCCGTACCGATCTTCTCCTCCATCCGGTTCAGGAATGTCTCAACTTGCTCGCCCAGGGCCCCGAAAAGGTCCGGTGACGAAGAATCGGCGACATCCGGGGCGGCCGTGACATCCGGGAGGGCTGCAGAGGGCGGCGCGAGGAGGAGGGCGGAGGCGACGAGAAGGAAGAGGGTGGCAGCCATGGCGTCTTTGTACTGGAGATGAGGTATATGTGTGGAGTGAGAGAGGAGAGCTGCTGGCCTGTTTTGGAAAAGGGTAGGCAGGGAGCAGCTGGAAGGCGAGGCGTCGATCTGCTCTTTTGTACGCTGTGCCTTCAACGGCCGCATGCACGGTGTACAGATTTCAACGGCTGCATTTTGGCCAACGCCAACCGAGTGGCCAGACTCAACAGGGAGGGCGGGGTGATAGCTGTTCTTCATGTGTATCTATACTGCTCGTGACTCGACTTTGCTCCAAATAGTTTGGGGTCTGTGGGAATGTGTTGTTCTGTCACGGACGTATTTTGCCCTTGTTTGCTCAATGTGTATGTCCAGTGTGTGTTCTGCTTTCGTCTTGTTTGCTCATAGTGTGGGCGGGCGTGGTCGCGTGGTGGATCTGTGGCTGTGTTTGTAGAAGGGCGGGCCGTGAGGGAGACTCAGTGTGGTGGACGTCTGGGGTGTATGTGTCGATAGACAGACATACAAGGAAGGGGCCCCAATCGTTTTCCACTGCAAGTACTGGCAAAATTCTCCCGCACGAGCACAGACAGGCCTAACATCCATCGCTCAATCAGTACACACCACGCCCTTAAGTTCTTGCAGCAGGCAGGCCACCTCGCCTGTGAGACCTGAAGCCGTCATCAACCGCCATAGATGCAAAAATCATGCGCACGGATAAAGGTGTCTAATTAATTAGACACGGAACGACATCATGTCTCTGCAGAAGAGCGCTCCTCCCCACTCTCGCCCTGCAGGTGGCCATCCGCCTCCCCATCGCACTCCCCATCGCTATCGCTATCGGTATCATCATCCGCCCCCACGTTTGTCTCCACCTCGGCGGCGTGCAACAGGGACTGCTGATAGAGGGAGTGCAGACGCTCCTCGTCTAGGCGGGCCCGGAAATGGAGCAACAGAAACCGCGCAACCTGAATGAATGAACAGCAGACAACACACTGACAGTGTCCCTCGTCGATGCTGAATGGTCACTTACATGTGCTGCGACTCTCAGGTCATTGTGTGTCTGTATCTCGGCTATCTTGTCCACACCGCCGGCCTGCAGGGTGCGCACAGCAGCCATGAGTGTCGGGTGCGGTGTCCCGTGTCTTCTCTCTATATCACCTGCTCCACAAGTGTGCAGTAAGGGTTGTCGGGCAGGCCTCGTTGGCCTGCTTCTGTTCACCCGCACTACACAAATGCCAGAAACAGCAGGCGAACCCTTTGTGTGTTCGTTCATTTGGCTGATGTTCGTTCATATCTTGTTGAGCACTTCGATCGCGGCCTCTCGATGGTCGTAAACGGAGTCGAGCAGGTCCGATAGTGTTTGCATGCCGCCACGCTCAGCCACATACTCAATCTGCAAAATTGGACAAATGGATACACCCTTTAAACCACGAGGTGCAGTGTTCAGCGGCCAGTCTCTGTACCTGTTGCTGTGAAGCTTCATGGGCTAGTCTTCCGATGGGCGCTGCTGCCATCACCTTCATGTCGGCATCGCTCTCCTCACTGCCCGCCAGCTCGATCAGCAGAGGCACCAGCTCGCCATCGATGACCGCCTGCTTGTGAGCGGTGCTGCCTGCATCCAAGTCACCCACGCCAAACAGCACAGCACCCTTCAGGTGACATTCTTGGTTTCACCTTCCGTCATGATGTGAAGCGTCAGACACGCGACACCATTCAACTCTGAGTCGGCTGTCTCGAGCAGCATCTTGATCGACGCCAAGGCGCCACACTCCAGCAGCGCGTCACGGTCAGCATCGGTGCCTGAGCCCATGGGCAGGGAAGACAAAGCGGACCATCACCTCTGGACGATCTTTCAGCCATTGATTAATGCTCACCATTGTCCTGGGTGCACAGACTCGCGAATCCCACCAACGCCCCTCGTGCGAAGTGCCGCACACGGTGGGCCTGAGCACGCCCTCCGATGAGGCCGACAAGCACGGGCAGGAAACGGCCACACTCTCCCAGTGCAACAGGAGGGGGGGAATTCTCGGAGAAACCCCACACGTTGCACAGCAGCCGGCAACCCGATGCCAGCACCTTGGTGCAGGTGCTCTCGCACATCGCCTTCAGCAGCGGCTGCAAGATGCCGGCCGCCAGCACGCCATCACGACGGGTGGCCGATCTGTAGGCGATGTTGATCAGCGCCCCGATGGCCGCTGCACGAGCATGGTCGTCAGGTGATGACACGAGCTGCACGAGGGGCGGGATCGCATCCGCATTGACCACCGCCGTGGCATGATTCCATGCCAGCACGCCGAGGACCTGTGCGGCTGCGGCCTGCAAGTCTTCGCACCCGCTCAGCTGCTCGACCAGCACAGGCACCACACCGATGTCCACAGCCTTCTGCTTCACGATGCCGAAAAGCGCACGATGGTCAGCAGCCGCATCAGCTCATATATCGCGCGGAGCCGATGTTGATCACCGGACATCGACGAGGCCATCAGGTTGCGGACGTCGGCTACGACGGCGGCAATGTCGGCCTCGACGGCCTCAAGCCCTTGCTGCCGCACTGTCTCGTCATATGCCTCTTGCGTGCCGATGGCATGGAACAGCTGACCCGCCTTGGACAGCACTGCTTGGGGTGAGGAATGGTCAGCTGGGGTGCCGCCCGCCGACGCCATCTCGTCACACTGCGAAGAACAACAAACACCCGCCCACATTGGCGAAGGACAACACATAGGGCAGAATGCTCTGACGCTCTCCGGCAGTCTTCTCACCTTGTCACACGCGGACTGCTCCCAGATGCCCTCCCTTGCAGCTGCCGCAAGGAAGGGCTGCTGCTCCTGGCAGGAAGAGGCGGGCGATATGCCACGCAGGTACTTTGGCAGTTTTTCAGTTTTTCGTGGGGAACGGTCTTTCGTTGTACTATTAATTCATCAATATTTGTCTATGCAATAATAATAGATTAGAAACGTCGGCAGGCCAAGTATCGACGGAAGCAATGAATACATGACATACTTGAATCCGACTGCACCGTCCTCTTAAATTCAAGTTCACGGCCGTCTGATCTGTACAAATGTGAACGTTACATACATATGTGTGTGTATGTGAATGTGTCTATATGTGTATGTCTCTTCCTCTGGCCATAGTCGCATCTGCGCACAGCTATTCATCCATACGTATATACATCAATCCATTGCCGCAACCAGGGACCTCGCCATTGGACGTGAGAACCGTCATAGATGCGTACACGCACCCAGACATATATAAATGTGTCTGTCTGTCTACCCCTCCGCACCCTCGTCCCCACCATCGCCCTCCAGCTGGCCGTCCACATCCCCATCCGCCTCGCCATCGCTGCCGATGTCATCATCTGCCCCCACATTTGTCTCCACCTCGTCGGCCTGCACCACCTGAATGACGCCCTCCTGAATGATAGCCTCCAACCGCTGTGCGTCGACGCGAGTGGGGAAATGGCTGATGAGAAACACGAGTGCCTGAATGAGCAGAGGACAGACAAGAAACTGACAGTGTGTATTCGCTACGCGTGCGATGCAGGTGACCCACCTGAATTGCGATCCCAACGTCATTGTGTGTCTGCAGCGCCGCTACCTTGTCCACGCCGCCGGCCTGCACGGTGGTCAGGGAAAGATAGGTGTGTGCACATTGGTCCTTCCCCGTTATGCTCTCTCTCTTGCCCACTCACCTGCTCGAATATCGTGGAGTAGGGGTTGTCGGGGAGGCCCTCGTTGGCCTGCTTCTGTTCACCCGCACTGACGCACCAGATGAAGGCTTTTTGTTATTTGGCTGGTGGACACAATTGTGTGTCTTCTGTTACCCCAATATCTTGTCCAGCGTGGAGATCGTGACCTCCCGATTGCTATCGTCTCCATCGAGCAGGTCGCAGAGGGGCTGGATTCCACCACACTCAACCACATACTCAATCTGCACAGACACCTGGGCGTGGGGCTGTTCAATGGTCAGTTTACGCACCTGTTGCTGTGAACCTTCACGGGCTATACTGCCGATGTTTCCTGCTGCTAACTCCTTCAGGCCCGGATCGCTCTCCGCGTTGGCCGCCACGTCGACCAGCAGCGGCACGAGCCCGCCATCGATCAACGCCTGCACGTGAGAAGTGGTGCCTGCATCCAATCAATCACTCCACACACAATAACGGCCCTGTGACGTCAAGTCAGTGAGTGTGTGTGATGGTTTGTCTCACCTGCAGTCATGAATCTCAAGATCGAAGCCGCGACTTCATGTGCACCAAGCTCTCCAGTCTCCAGCAGTGTCCTGATCGACGGCACGGCGCCATGCTCCATCAGAGCATCTCGATCGGCATCGGTACCTGAGCAGGAAGGAGAAAACGGGCCATGCAGCTCGTGACGACCTCTCGTGCACTCTTGCATACTGACCGTCTCTCCCAACAAACGAGCTCCCGAAGTGCGCCAGGGCTCCTCGTGCACCTCGCAGCACATGGTCGTCCTGCTCAGGCGCGGCGATGAGACCGACCACGACGGGCACAAAGGGCGCCAACTCGGCCACTGCGGCAGGGAGGGGTGCATTCTCGGGGACAATCCACAGATTGCGCAGCAGGAGGGCACTCCCCTTCAGCACGTCGACGTTGCTGGTCTCACGCATCACCTTCAGCAACGGCTCCACGATGCCCGCCGCCACCACGACATCGCGACGGGCCGCCAATCCGGACATGACGTGGCACAGCGCCATGATGGCCCACACACACACACGGTCGGTGTGTGACGACACGAGCTGCACGAGGGGCGGGACCGCATCCGCATTGGCCACCGCATCGCCATTCTGAATCGCCAGCATGCTGAGGGCCTGTCCTGCTGCGGCCTGCAAATCTTCGCACCCACTCAGCTGCTCCACCAAGAGCGGCACCACACCGATGTCCACAGCCTTCTGCCCGATGCCCTCTATGTGCTCGATGGACAGCAGCCCGATGAGATCACATATGGCACCGATGCGAAGCTGCGGATCACTGGCCGAGGCCATCAGGTTGCGGATGTCGGCCACGACAGGGGCAATGACGGCGGCAATGTCGGCCTCGACGGACTCCAGCCCTCGCTGCTGGACGGCGCGGTCGTAGGCCTCCTGTGTGCGGATGGCATCGAGGAGGGTGCTCGCCTCGTCCAGCACACGTTCCAGCACTGCTTGGAGCGACGGCTGGCCAGCTGGAGTGCGTACGGCCGCCGAGTCCATCTCGTCACACTGAGAAGACCTCACACACACACACACACACACACACACACACAGAGTGCAGAATGATCCACGGCCGCTCCTTTCGTCCTCCTGAGTCCTGACCTGGTGACGTGCGGGCCGCTGCTGAATGATGCCGCTGCCGCCCTATGCCAGGAGTGGTTGCATTCCGGTTCTCGCTCATGGCTGCTCACTCATCGACAGAGATCTCCTCGCCGTCGAGTGTCCACGAGATGGACACAGCCCGGCACCAGGAGGCATTCAACGCCTACCGTGAGGACCTTGCAGCTCGCATTGATTCGATCATCATCAGGAGGCGTTTTCGCCCTTTCAACGGTCGTGAGACCTTCCAGGGGGCAGCAGGAGTCCCGTCAGACGTGAGTTGATGGTTGGAATTTATCGTTGATGAATCAAGATGTTGCAATTGCTCGACCGCCGGAGCAGACAGGCCATGAGAAGCACACAGACTTTCTGAGTACTCGAACACACCAGCGCCCGTTCCGTGCAATATCCCTGGCCATGTCATCATTCATATGCACGCGTCGAGAGTAAGACAGCCAGGCGCACAAGAAAGAGGGGGCCTATTAGCACAAGCAGGCCTAGGTTGTGGTATCAATGAATGTACATGACATACTTGAATTCGAATGCATCGTCCTCTTAAATTCAAATACATTTGTACCGTCGACTGATCTGTACAAGTACATTTGTCCGTTACGCTTTGTTGTATGTGTTGTTTGCTCCCATTCATCCCTGTCTGTCGACAGACAGAATTGCCGACATTCATAAAAACACGTCGACCCGCAAACAGCGATTGGCCCATGATCAGTCGTTAACCACACACGAGAAGAAAACACATCCACCGACCAGGCAAGACGAGCAGGCGGGAAGACAGAAGGACACGGCATTCCGGGCAACACAGTGAGACGGCACACAGTCAGGGAGAAGTAGATTACACACACACATCTCTGTCTGTATAAACGTCCTACGGACACTCGATGCAAATCACACTGTGCCTATGCATACGAGTGTCTGTTAAGCATCTATCGTACCCAAACACGGCGGAAAAAGCTGAGCTATAGGAATAGCACACAGGGACACACTCAGACAGACAGACCCACACGGGCCACACACAGACCACACACACTCACACAGACACGGTGATGCGCAGCATGGGGCGGCCCAGAAGAAAGAGAAACACAGGCAGGATAAAGACCGTAATACAAGCCAGGAAGATATATATCTGTGTACACACAGCCGTGGAAAGCTGTATGCACCATACACACGCAACATGCACAACACATAGACGGTCCCCGACACGAGCGGATGAGCAAAGCGGACATGGGGGAAGATGCAAAATCCCCCGTGTCTCCTCCCACACGACAGCCACTGAGGTGCCACTAAGTCAAAAAGCCAAAAGGCCAACTGCTGTCTCGTGACACGCACACAAAGCACCACGTTAGCCGATCGCAGACGAAGCGAACTCGTCATCCTTCCCTGCTGCAGAGGGCTCCATGTCTCGAGCCTTCCGCCCATATGCATGGTAAGGGTCCTGAAGATTCGGCAAGCACACAGCATGTCAAGCCCTCGCCATGCCATCAAAACGCCGTCCCGTCTGCTTACGTGTGGATGCCCGCTCGGCCCATGGCTCCACTGCAGACATAATGCAGTCGATGAACGTGGCGTCCAGTGACCCTCTCATCCGCGTACCTGTCCAGCATTGGCGTGAACGGGGGACGGTCCATACAGGGGGATGAGGGGCGGAGGCGCCTGCATATGTCAGCGAGACACAGTGAGGGGGACAGCAGCAGGCTGGTTATGGTCACGCACCTCAGAATCTTGAGCAACCGTCGCATCGCCGCCGCCCCGACTTGGATTGAGCTTGTGTGCATCCTTCAGGTGCTTCGTGATGTCCTTCTGCCTGCCGAGCTTGCCACACAGCACCCCGCCCTCCTCGTGGATGCACACCGCTATCTCCTTCTCGTCCTCCTCAGTTGCGGTGCGGTCGACCGCCACAGGAAAGAAGCACTGTTGCATCCCATTGTGCTCAGCGAATATGTGGGGCTGGGAAGGGTCCGCATGGCTCAACACGTGCAGAGGCTTCCGAAGTGCCAGGACTCGGTACTTGTTTCCACAGCGTCCGTTCTTCCCCTTGCGCTCATCGATGGCGGAGGGCGTCATGGCGAAGCGCCAGCCTTGCCCCAGCCTCGCTGACGTTGCAAACCACAACAGGATGTTTTGAGCAGCGGCTTGCATCGGATCGACGTTCTTGCGTGAGCGTTTGCGGTCGACCTCCAACCTCAGCCAGTGCTTGTTGATGAACTCGCAGATCCGCTTCTGAGTTTCGCCAACCTCTTCAGCTGAGATATAGCATGCAGCAGAAGAAGGCAATGGTCACCTTCTTCTTGTGCGTGATGACTTACATGAGGGTGGTGGTGGCGTGGTGTGTGCCGCATCGGGATAAGAGGCTACTCGATAAGAGGGAGGCGTGCAGGGAGGCAGCAGGGGGTCGTGGAGTGAGTGTGATGGCGACGGAGAGGGCATGCTAGAGGGCAAACCGACGGTCACCGCATAGTGCTGCCAGTGTTGCTGCAGACCATCCTCTTGTGTGAACCCAGCTTCTTGCTCCGAGGGCAAAGAGCCGAAGTGAAGCTCATCTTGCTTTTCCGGGTCATCGGTGAACTGCAGTGACACCATTCACCCGTATGTGTGGCCTTGTGAGCCTTGTTTCCTCATCCTACCGAATTTGAATGTTGGCCAAGCATGAGCGCGTCGTGACATGGACTCATGCTCATGCTGGGACCATGTTGGCCAGGGTCATGGAGACCCTCTGGCATCATCCCGGGAAAGGGATGAAGGCAAACCAGCGAGCAAAAGCTCCTGCAGGAATATGAGGCAGGAATAGGCAGGACGTCCGTGTAACGTTGGTTTGATCTGAGAGGCACGAGTTCGAGCAGCCTTTTCATCCGTGACATGCATCGCAATCCTCAATCGCACCACACAACAGATACCAATACATATTACCACATGGACACGCAATTGCAAACACGATCACTGCACAGACACACAGACACACACGACACGAGAACCGAACGTGGTCGCCAGCTCACCGCACATCCAAGTGCCTAGCGTGGTGCTGCGAGCCGGCAACCATGACACACCTAATTACTGCTTCCTTACCATGAGGCGACATCGACCCAAACCCCACCCAAACACCTGCGCACACGTACACACATGTTGAGAAAATCGACGAAGCACACACAGCGCATGAGGGAGGCAACAGGCGGAAATGGACATCAGCTCACTGCGTATGCAAGCAGCTGACCGACAGTCGGACGGCCACACATGAGAGAAAGAGTCAACGCACCACAGGACACGCCGCATCACAAGACTCATCAATCACCAAGCAAGCAAGCAAGCAAGCTGGCCGACAGACTCCAGCAGACGAGAAGAAAATGAATTCACAGGAAAATGACCATGACGTCATGGCGCCAGCAGATAGCGCCCGTTCCGTGCAATATCCCTGGCCACGTCATCATTCATATGCATGCGTCGAGTGTAAGGCAGCCAGGCACACAGGAAAGAGGCGAAGGAAAGGGCCGGTACATAACGAAAGACCACGATGGCAGCCAGCACAAGTGCGACGGCACACACGCAGAAGAAACTCCGAGCAAAAAAGGGTTGACTTCTCGGCGAAGGACGACCTTGGGCGGGAGAAGGTGTGTCTTGGGCGGGACGGGGATTGTCTTGGCTGAGAGAGAGTGGGTCTTGCGTGTGGGCGGGAGTGTCTTGGCCGATAGGGGGGGTGTCTTGGGTGCGGGCGGGATTGTCTTGTCTGGCATTGTCTTGGGTACTGCGAACGTCTTCCTACTTCATATGCAGCACACAGAGGAGAAAAGAATGGGTCGATGGACACTGTGGATGTGTGTTGTGCACTACCTACCGCTGCGTCGTCTTCGGTGTCGTCTACTCCGTCGTCATCCTCATCTTCGGACTCGATGTCCTCGCCGTCAGAGTACTCCACTGCCTCTTGGTCGAGCAGCTTCCTGCAGCCGCCACACACACACACATTCACACACACCACGTGACATATACACAGAATGCGTGGCTTCCTGTCAAGTCGGTGTGCTGCTCGCTTACTCCCTGTTGCAGCGTTTGAGGTTGGTCATGACGAATGCAAACGGTCGCAGGATCACCAGGCTTTGGGCGGGGCTCAGCTGCGTCGATCTGGGCCGGCTGATCATCGGAAACACGTTGTAGCTCTCAACACTGAATGCACACCAACAGCACAGGTCGTTGGGTAGTGTGTGTACATGTTTGTGTTGCGTGCGTATCGCCCACCCCAGGGTCTCCGAGACCTCCTCGACTTTGTCTTCGATGTCCGGATGATCGATGATCGACAGGGGGTCATCCCTGACGGCCTTGCGCTCCTCGGGGCCCTCGATGATCTTGTCGCACTTGTTGAGGATGACCATGAGCTTCACCTTGTGTTCTACACACACACATACACACACACACACAGAGAGAGAGAGAGAGAGATGCGGGGGATGCAGGGCCGACATGTTGTCAAGGAGTGTGTGTCTGAGTGTCTGCGCGTGTATGTGTGTGTGTGTGTGTGATACTTACTGTTGATCACTCTGACGAACTCCTGATACTGGTCGAGGGATGTGTCGCCCGTGTTCGAAGCATCGAGGACCAGGAACACGGCCTTGGGAGGTAGTCCTCACACTCGGCCTCACTGCCAAGTCTGACACATGCAGACAGACAAACCCACAGACAGCGACGAGTTGTTGTGTGTGATCTGTGGCAATGCGTCCTGTGGTCCCTACCGCAGGAGCGAGATGATCTTCTCCTCTTCCTTGGTGAGATCAGCGGCGCCTCCCATGCCGTTCTTGGCCAGAACCTCCTTGATCTTGTCCATCGGAGTCGTCATGTCATACCCATTTCTCAGGCGGCCCGTGACGGCAAGCTCCAGCAGGTCGGTGTCACCATCCTCGAGACCTAAACACACACACACACACACACACAGAGAGAGAGAGAGAGAGGATCGCTATGATGAAGCGTGAGCGACCGTGCGCACCCTTGCCGTCTTGCAGAAGGACACGCTTGTTGCCGCCGAGTTCGTACGTCTCGAACGTCGATGTGACGCTGCCCTCATGGCTGCCCGGAGTCGTGCGAGTGAACTGCATGCAGCGCGGGACACGATCAATCACAACAGAATGACGAAGGCATGGTGCTGCCGCCGCGTGTCTCACCTGGACGAAACTGTCGCTCGGGCCCTTCGCCTTCAAAATGGAACGCACACGGTTCGAAAACGTCGACTTGCCGACCCTGAATGAGCAGGAGATCGATAGATAAGAAACAGAAGGATGGGCTGAGCCTGGCTGATTGCTCATCATACCCAGGCTCGCCAGCCAGGAGGACGCTGACAATACATGCCTTGTGCTCCTTGAGGGTCCGCTTGACTTCCACCAACCTGCAGCACCAAGAAAGGATAGAGACAGACCCTATCCATTCCCCCTTCTCCCCCTCCTCGCCCCTTCGCCCACACTCACTTCTTGTTGAACTTGTCGGGGTCGTCATCTTCCTGCGCGCGAGTGCCGCCAAACTCGGGAGGCAAGATGCCCCTGTAGTCGTAGCTGCCCGAGGACGCTCGACAGTTCTTCCTCTCTGTGGGTGGCTTCTTGGGGGCTTCTTCCTTCCTCTCCTTCGGTGGCTTCTTGCTTGCACCCGCGGGCGCGGTCGGCAGGAGCATGGCGATGGGTGGTGCGGGCGGCGGCGGCAGCGTATTGGTGGTGTGGGTGTGACCAGGTCCCTCGCTGAACGCCGCTCTCGCCTTGGCGGGTGCTGCTTCGTTGCTCATGCTGGATGAATCGCGCAATGATGCAAGAACGTGCACCGCAGACTGGATGATCCTGACACGCAGCGGCAAGCGAGTCGGACTCGGAAGCCGAAGTCGGAATCGGAAGTAGGAATCGGAAGTAGGAATCGGAAGCGGACTGGGAAGTCCACGTTTTCCGCCCATCGCTGCAGCCGTGAGAGTGGGAGATCTTCCAGCCATCTTCATGTGGCCGCAGTTATCCTCAGCAAATCAGCTATCTCCAGGGAAGCATGCGGAAGTGTGGTTCGCTGTGATTGGGGGGAACCTCAACAAAGACTCCCTCGTGAGTATTCACGGCAACTGCCCAGAGCTTGGTACCTCTCCCCGGCGTCTCTTGCAAGCTAAAAATGGCAAAGCGCAGGTGGAGATCTGTTCGTGTGTGAATGCAGGTAATTGGGATAAGCGCACAAAGGAGAACACCTTCACTTTCACTCCAGCCTCACGAACAAATGTATGCAACGGAGGAGGCGCAACGGAGGAGGCGCTATGTGTTCTCAAGTGAGAGAAGCTGCAGAGGATGTCAAAGATCTCAATGATCTTGACTTGTCTGTGTCCAGGGGCGGCGTTGTGTTCCAGAAGAAGATCACCATCACGGTGCCCGACAGCGGTGTTCTGCGTTACAAGTACAAGATCAAAGAGCAGTGGGAGCATGATGGCGATGACCGTGAGCAGCCGCTCGGCACAGCTGTGTGGCAGTACACCAACAAGTATGCAACCACGATAGGGATGGGACGTCGAGGGCCTCCAACTTTCCGGTTTATCGACATCCTTGGCGAGACCGCCGAGACCGGGTATTCGTTTGCGACGACGCTGAACTGGGACTTCACCCCAGATGATGGACGGGAGAAGCACAAGCAAGATGTGTCTGTCACTCGAGAGAGCCACGGGTGTGCGGGTGCACAGGACCAAGGTGCTGTGTCCAAGAGACCGTCGTCCACTTCTCAGGCCCCTGACAGAGTCGCTACGACACGATTCAATCGCCCAACAGTGCCGGCACTCAAGCCTCCAGTGACTACCGAGGAGACGCAGACGCCGCCGGTGCGATTGTTGCTGCACTACGCCAATGGACAGAAAACCGCGGTGGGTCTGTGGCGTTTTCTGTGTGTGTGTGTGTGTGTGTGTCACATTGTTTCTTGGTTGCTTCTCGTGTAGACGAAGAGTCAGCTTGCATTTGCCAAGGATGTTGGCGACTACATCTGTGAGGCGTTCGCGAAAAAGGGCATTCGTGTGGAGATTCTGAAGGACGATCCCGACCAGTTGGTCGGCATCATAATCTGTCGCGATCGCACGTCTCGCGCGAAGAACGAGGTGATAAGGGACGCTATCCTCTCAGGTAATCGAGCAAGTCAGCAGACCAGACAGGCTCAGGGAATCGTGTGACTCCTCTCTGTCTGTCCGTGTATCAGGGTTCAAAGCAAATAGTCAAGTGCTGGGTTTGAGTGATGCTGTGTCGCTTGAGTCTCTGAGAGAGTGTCCCCACGCGCGTCTCCCTGTGTGGCTGTTGAGCACGTTTAAGGATGCGCCTGGCAGCCAGCCGGGCATCCCGTACAACGTCGACATCAAGAAGGCCTGGTGGCACGGCACTGTCCACGATCACGTGGTCAGAATGTCCAAGGACGGGACGCTCCACAAGGCCGATGCGCCCCATGCTCTTTTCGATGAGATCGCCTTGGCGGCTATCAGCCAAAGGACAGCTGGCTAGACGGCAGTCTTTGTTGGGTGTCATACTCTTTTCTCCTCTGTGATGCGATTCGACTTGTATGTGGTGTGGTGCGGACATTCGTCTATCTGAATGAGCTTCTGTTACGCGTGGCAGTACACTTTACATGTTCACTGCATAACACCAGTGTCCAACATATTCACTTCACACGCACATACTCCCGAAGAGAAATCAGCGTAGCCATCTGTCTCTGGCTTTTCTATGTATGTACGCATGTGCGAATAAATGAATGTATGTATCGACCAACCAAAAATGAGATCCTCATGTCTCCCTGCCATAGCCAAACAAATCACAGGTGGCACGCACGTACGCCTGAGCATGATCCACCGATAAATGTCACATTACCCCGTCATCCACATCACATCTTCCCCATCACCGTTGCCAGCAGTGGTGGAATCTGACCCATACATAAGCCACATAATGGAGATGCGCGTCTGTGTCTCTGTTCGTGTGTACCATACACTCATTCACGTGTGTGTGCCCCCCTCCTTCGCTCTGTCCGTGCCATCAGAACTGTCGCCATCCTGCTGCTGGTCTTCTACCCGTTCGTCGAGTACGAATGGCGCCACTCCTGGCCCCAGCACCGCACGCGCCAAGGCGGTGGTTACGTGGAAGTGACGATGTGTGAGTTCATGTGAGTATGGCTGCGTCGAATTCCATTCAGATGAGACACCAAAAATGACTTGCACCATATTCGGTCAGAGTCGCTTATGCAATTGATCACTCACCCTTGTCCAGACATGCGGACAGAGAACTGCCCATGTACAGCACAGCACATTACATGAGGACAGCAGAGGGAGAGAGGAAAGGGCCGACCGCACAGCAGACACACGCCAGAACAAATGAGGGAGAGGCAAAAAGCGACCTCGTCGCTTGACGGACTCCCTCGCCCACTGACTGTCGATCCATGAGGGCAGTGTTCTGGAATGGCCATCAGCGACGTGTTCGGAATGTATGTATGTATGTATCTATCTATGTGGGGGTATGTGTGTATGGCGTAGAAGTGGAGAGACGCATTCGTCTCCTTACTCGTGCCGCCATAAAATTGGGCACACGTACCATAGATGCAGCCAATGAGAAAGCTACAGAGAAAGGAGACATCCACCCCACGCACATCAATAATGACAGCGACACATACACACGAGGGGGTAGAGACAAAACAGAGTAAGTCACGCAACACGAGACAGACTCATATCTTGTACATTTTGTCATGTATGGTTATCATTGTATTTCTGTACTCGCTCATGAACCACCCAGGGCAAACATGCGCAGGAAGCAGGCAAGAGCGACAACGAAGCCTACTTGTCTCATGTCGCACCTGTGTGTGTAAGCGGGAAGGGGAGAGAAGCAAAGCTCTGTCTATGCAGGTTCTACAGCCCCTTACTGTCACCGTAATGTCCAAGCAGATACATGGAAGGTCACCGTACTCACAAGCTCAGTGAACGCTTAAGCAGATACATGGAAGAGACGAGACACTGTGCGGGCCAGACACTCGCGAAGATCTGTTCGCGTGCAGCCACGCAGACAGGCACACACACACACACACACACACAGAGGAAGACGAGACAGGCGAGGGCAGCCAATCACGCAGAGGAGCGTACGAGGGAGAAGAAGGCAAGGCAGCTGGTCAACGCAGCCTCCTTAAACCGCCCAGTCAAGACGACAGACAGACAGGAAAGACGCAGGCAGGGCAAGCTGGCGTGGTCATTCAAAACCCGACGACACCCAAGAGACTTAGCATCTATCGTCCTAGACACGGCGGGAGAGACCCTGCACGCACGTCTGGCAAGCAGGGGGAGACGGAGGCCTACTCATGCCACACTGTGCCTACTTTGGGAAGGCCGGAATACAGACAGACAGCCAGAGAGCCAGAGAGACAGACAGACAGACAGACAGACAGCCAGACAGCCAGACAGCCAGACAGCCAGACAGACAGCCAGACAGCCAGACAGACAGACAGCCAGACAGCCAGACAGCCAGACAGCCAGACAGACAGACAGCCAGCCAGACAGACAGACAGATGACACATGGTACACATGACCCCCTGGAGATCCAAACGCACACAGGGGGTTGTGCACAGACGCAAACGCACACAGACATAGTCATGTACGCCACGTGTGCACGGCATATTCTTTCTCCGGGAGTTACAAATTACGTGTACGCCAAGCAAACGATGTTATTTCCCCCACGACTCTATATGCGTCAACTTGTCGAAATCATGTTACCCACGCGCACAGACAAGTGGCACACCGAAAAAACGCACGTCACTCCTCAGCTGCTGAGTGCCCCATCGCCTGGCCGTGTGCAGGGAAGGCACCAGAAGAGAAATCGCCAGTCACAGGTGGCCGCTGCCAGTAGCAGAAGTGGACTACCGTGGGTGTGCTTCTCACTGGCCGCTCGGCTGACTGCTCCCCTGCAGACGAATGCATGGGATGGACGGACAGAGACACAGCACATAAGGCAACCATGTGCTCGCCTACCTGTCCGGTGATGCTGCAGGCAGACGTGGGCGTGCTAGGCATCGCCTGTCTCACGAAAGACAGACGAGTACACCGGTTGCAGACGTGTAACTCGTCATGTCTGCTTACGAAGAGCTCCTTGTGTCTTTTCTTGATGTGCCTGGTAATGTCCTTCCTCCTCTCCACGTGGCCACACACCCTGCAGAAGGCCACGTTCATCTTGTCGTCTGGTGTCGGGCGGTCCACAGGGACGTATGGGATGACGCGAGGGGTTTCGTTGGGGACAGGTATACAGCACTGAGCCGGCTTGTCTGGGTCCCACCCTTGTGTCTGGTCCTCTGCAGGCTCCCACAGGCCCATCGGGTCGTAGTACGGTCGATAGACGTCCCTTCTCGATGCACCGAGCCTCCCTTCTTGATCAACAGGGCCCGACAGGGCAAGCTCCAGACAAGGCATGACATCGGATGTGTCGATCCACGCCCAGCGGCTCTGCAGATCCCCCTGGTCCTGTGAGTCGGGGTCCGTGTGTGAACGGTCATAGTCGACTCGCAGTTTGCTCCAGAACTGGCGTAGAATGGAGATGACACCGGTATCTGAAGAGAAGACAGCGTGTCGACCATGAAAGACATGCGATGGTTGTACTCACCAGAGAGTGACATGATAAAAGTGGGCCAGTCGGTAGCCACCTGAGGCGACCCCGCCCCAGAATAGACGGACTCTGTGTTCTGCAGACAGGGTACCAGAATCATGACACGTGACCGATGCAAAGCATGCAGCCCATACCTGCATCGCCGCCTGCTGCAGCAGTGCTTGGGGAGCCTGTCGACGTCGCCTGCTGCTACTCCTCCGACGACCGACGGATGATGGGGCCATCGACGTCTGATGGGAGGCTGTGGGCTCGGCTGTGGGTGTGGCCACTGTGGGAGCGATGGCCGATTGCTGGGCCACCGTCGAAGCCATGAACTGCATTTGGGCGTCTTCCTGCGGTAAGAAAATGACACGCACATACATACGGAAAATGGACTTCTTTCCCTCACCATCATATTCAGCCCTGCCAGCAGCCATGCATTGAACATCGGGTGCTGTTGCGACTGATGTCGGATCATCATCTGGTGTGGCCCGCCCCCCTGTTGAATCAGCTGGGACATCTCGGAGGCGTCCAGGCTCTGCAGCTGCAACGCATCGGCGTTGTCTAGGTTGGGGGGGTTCGTGTGCTGGGAGGCAGAGGGAGCGGAGGCGCCCATCTGTCCATCTGGCTCGTGTGGCCACTGATCCCCTCCGTACGACGACGTCTGCGGCTGCCCATTCGGGCCCTCCGCATTGACGACGAGCCCGGGGGGGACCGGGTGTCCGCCGCTCATCGTGGAGGGGGCTCCGCTCATCGTGGAGGCCTGTCACGCGCCATCCTGCGGGCCTGCCATCCGCACAAGCACAACAGCATTTGTGACATGCATGTACAGCACTGTGACGCCATTGCTTCTGCCCGCCCACGAGTCGGCGCCGTCGAAGTCGTCAGCGCGACCCTTCAAACTGTCTTCCGTGGCGAAGTCGGCGTACACTGTACCCGTAAACTTCGCCTGTGCGTAATTGATGTCTGAGGGGGGGGGGGGCCGCGAAATATTTGAGGCCTATGCTCCCTCGCTCCGTTCCTTGCCGCCGCACATCGAGCTGTCGCCCTCTCCGCGAGAGGCTGAGCAGCTGACACACGAGCAGCCGCGACAACAGCAGCTGCGGCAGAGTGCGCTCACACTCACAACACAGCCGCCGCCACTGGGGTTCGTCGGTCCCGGCACATCTGCGTTCACCAGGTGCAGCGCAGACACAGCCCATTTCCCGCCTGACAGTGTCGCTTCCTGTGCTTCCCGCAGGTCTCGTTATTGCGTTGCTCGTGGGAGGCAGCGTTACACACTGATGGAGAATGCTGCCTATCAGGAGGTCAGGCCGCCCGGCAGCGACGGCAGAGCCCCATCGTCGTCAGGCTATTCAGCACAGGTGACCACTACTGAGACAGAAAGGCAAATACATCGACGGTGATTGTCGGTCTCTGATGCCTGCCTGTCTGGTCTGTCTGTTCTGAATGGTGTGTCATTCAGGAGCCAGGCTTGCCCCCGAGAGTTGTTGGTTTGCTCGACGGCCATTTTGTCTATGGAGATGGCCATGGCGGGTATGCCGTGGAGATCAACGGCTTCCTCCGCCCGCTGCCGGTCGCTGCCAAAGACAAGATCATAGTTTTCGCTCACGTGCAGAAGTGGGTGGGATGAAGAGAGTGGCGAGATTAGCGATAATGTAGTGGGTGTGTGCTTATTTTTCTATGCAGTGGGCTAATGAATCATGTGTCTGATGGGGATGTGGCGATGGCGGAAGACTCCGACGACGATGCTCCTATGGTCGGCACATGTACATCACGAGTTCCACGACACTCAATCACTTCTGCACAATATCATCTCTTGTGTATGACTGGCTGGTGATGCAGGCACGTGACCCGCTGATATCCCCACCCATACGTCTCAGGTGATAGTGGCTCCCCCCCCCAGACGTATATGTTGGGCTTGTGTTCCTTTCTTTGGTGGCTGCAGGTTGAAGGAGAAAAAGCGCTCCATCAGGGACTACAAGGGCAAGCCTCTCAAAATTATAGTGACTGGCGAGCCAGGGTATGATGCATAAAGATGATTGCCTGGCGCACACATTTTGAAACACTGTTTGCTGTCTTCATTCAGCGTCGGCAAGACGACATTCTGCAACCACAGCCGATCCATCATGAGCGCCAAGGGCTCGCACGGCCGATATGTGGAAGTGAGCAACCAGTGCAAGCCCTCCACTTTCCTAGTGGCGTTGTGTGGGTGTGCAGTATTCCCACACGGCTCCCGGCAGCCACTCCGGCAGCGTCACTTCCCTGTTTGAGACGTACATGCTGGGCGGCAACGAGCGCGTATGTCTGCAGGACGGCAAAGGTACGTGACGTATATGGGTGTTACGCACCTCTCATATCATCACAATGCACGCATGTGTGCCTGCCTCTGTGTGTATACAGGGCTGGAGATCGGCGGTGGCGATGAGGGTTTGCTGAAGCTGGCCATGGAGGGCCGGATGAAAAACAGCTTCAACATGAAGCTCGGCTGTGAAGGAATCAAGGACATGTATTTCAACAAAGGCCTGGGAAAGAAGCTCACCAGGGAGGAGGAGAACGCGATGTCACTCTTGCGGTAGGGCAATGTGTGCGCAGTGTCATGTTCTCTCCGCTCACAGATCGCTGATGTGTGTCCGATGTGTGGTTTGGTTTCATCAGGTCGGGGGATGACGATGATCCCCAGTTGGAAGCCTACCGACCCAACGTTGTGTTCCTGGTCATCGATGCGGCTGCCACGAGTGAGAGTGGCCTCGAAAATTACCGCAAGATGGTTGAGGAGATCAATAGTAAGTAATCAAGTGCAGAGAGGCTGCTTCGTAGTCGTGGTTGTGATGTGCTCATCCCTGTGCTGCATCTGCCCGCTTCATGTCTCTGTTTCTCTCCCTCTTCTCTGTATGCGTGTATTTAGAGCACAAGGTAAAGCTTTGCATTATTCTCAACAAATGTGACAAGCTCATCGACGACCCCGAGGAGCGCAAGGCCCTCATGAACAACCCCATGGCGATCCTCAACAGACCAAAGGTCACGGAGGAGTGCGAGAAAGTGTCGGAGGCCCTGGGGTGAGAGGAAAGGAAAGGAAAGGGAGTGGCAGCATGAAAGGAAATACGTGCGACCGCGGCTCTGCGTGTGTATGCATTTGTGCAGTGTGGGGCTCTTGGACGTTTACGCGATGATTTCGAAGCCCATGAGGAAGGAGCTCAACCCCGACCACAGCCTGCTCGTCATCCGACCCTTCACATCCGTCCTCGACGACCTCAAGTGCCTGCACGAAGAGTGAGCATGCAGCAAAGCAGAGCCATGCACGCATCCAAGCACATGCACCTGTTCTTGGTTGGCCTCCGTGCAGGGAGCGGGTCGACATGGACGATGAGATGTCGTCTGGTGAAGAGGACGACCCCGAGTCGGACTACGACTCCTGCTGAGGAGGTAACTCGTCCCTTGTGCAGGACTCGTCCGCCATCGCCCGTGCCTTGCTGCAATGGGTAGACGACATGCGTAGCGAGCTGCACTGCCTGTGTGTGCCTGTCCCCCCGCTGGCGACTGACTGGGGGACACGACTCTGTCTGCCTGTGTGACCTGTGTCCATGTGACCTGCTCTCATGACATACATGGAGACTCTGTCTGTCTGTCTGTCTGTCTGCATGTTGTGTGCCAGCCAGCTGCATGTGATCGTGCCGGCACGTCCGTGACGTGACGTGTGTCGTGCTGGTGTGCGGTGTGATGATTCATTCCTTCAGCCAGCCTTCACGATTTATGGCCACAAAGAGGGCCTACTAAGAGGGCTTTTTGGTACATGTAGCATTGTCGTCGGTCGATGATTGTCGATTCATGACGGTCCATTTGATTGCATGTGTGCGCGCCGCCCCGAGGCGCAGGACGTGCATCAATCAATTAGCTGTCGCGAGTGTGTGTGTCAGTCGTCTCAGAGCCTTCCGATGTCGGCAAGTGTGACTCAGTGCTGCGTGTGACGACGTCAAGACACTGTTTTGTCTCCCGTGTGTGCGCGCCTGTCGATTGAATCGGTCGGTGTCTCCCATCAACAGGTGTCTGTAAAGCATTGAGTAAGCCCTATCTCTGGCGTGAACCACATTAGCCATTGGCTGTCCGTCAGTGGTACTTTCGTAGAGAGAAGCTCTCGTAGCGACTGACCGCGTTTGTGGCGCAGACTCCTGCCGCCAGTCGCAGTGACCGACAAAATTGTGGCGCGCACACACGTGTTCTGTCAGTCATGTATATCGGGAGCGGACAGGGGCGATTTTCGCCCACCGGGCAGCAAAAATCGCTCAGCAGGCAGCCAGGACACACACGCATCCATGTTTCTCGCCTGTCGTGTCCTCAGTTGCGCGTCCTATGTCCCTCGCCCCTCCCGAGAACCGTCTGATGTTTTTGCAACGGTAGATAGCAGTACAGGCGGAGGGCGATGGCAACGCCAGCACGATAGCAGAGAATACAAGCACTGCCGTGCACACGTCAACAAGGAGGCATGTGCCAGAGAAGACAACTTCTCCCTACTTGAGAGGCAACACACGTACAGAGAGAGAAGAATCCGTCCAAGACAGAGGACATGCGTGCATCCATGGGCGCGTGCGTGTGTCATGTCGCTTTACCTCCTCCTCGTCTGACTCGGGGTCCTCCACGTCCGAGTACGCTCCTGGTTCGTACAGCTCTCTGTGTACACACACATTCACACACATTCACGCGGATGATAAGACGAAAAGTGCATTCAATCGCAATGCCCGTAGGGTGTGGCTGTGCTGCGTGCTCACTCTCTGTAGCGTCGCCTGAGCTCGCTGAGGATGAAGCCAAACGGTCGAATGACGAGCAGGCTGTGTGCGGGGCTGAGTTCCTTCCTCTTGGGCTTAGCAAGCATCGGATACACGTCGAAAGGCTCCACGCTGCATGTCACGACACAGACATATGACAGACAGGTCGACTAAGCACTCACTCACGCCTCTTTTGTGCTCACTCACCCCAGGTCCTCCGAGACCTCCTCGATCAGCCTCTCCACCTCAGGTCTCTCCAGGATCGACATGGGGTCGTTCCAGATGGCGTCGCGCTCCTTGGGGTCGTCGATGAGCTTGTCACATTTGTTGAGAATGATGCAAAGCTTTACCTTGTGCTCTGCATACACACACATACACACACATACGCACACAAGGCAAGACACGAGACAGAAAGACACAGCAACGAGTTTCTCCACTGTGCCGTTACTAACTGTGGATGACTTCGATCATGTCACAATACTTGACCATGGTCACGCCGTCTCGGTCACCAATGGCCGTCGCATCGAGTACCACGAACACGGCACTGGGACGGAAACACTCCAACTCGGGATCATCGTCAGCACCCATCCTGAATGAAAAACAAGCACACACACACACACACAGAGTCGAATGACTAGATTTACAACGTGTGTAGACATTCAGCCTGGCCAGGCCTACCGCAGGTGATCGAGGGTCTTCTTTTCCTCCTCTGTGAGCGTCCTTCCCATGCCCTTCTTGGCCAGCACCTCCTTGATCTTGTCCATCGGAGTCGTCATGTCATACCCATTTCTCAGGCGGCCCGTGACGGCAAGATCCAGCAGGTCCGTGTCGCCTTCGTCAAGACCTGCACATGCACACACACACACAGAGAGAGAGACAGAGAGAGCGAGAGAGAGAAGATCGCGATGAAGGCGGCGAAAGGCATGATGACTGACTGAGCGACTACAACGATTGGACTGCATGCATACCTTTGCCGTCCTGCAGACAGACGCGCCCGTTGCCGCCCAGCATCCACGTCTCGAACAGGCCCGTGACGCTGCCTGAGTGGCTGCCGGGAGCCGTGCGGGAATACTGCAGCCGAAGGAGGATGTGACTGACAGGGTGAGCGAGCCGCTTACCGCGATATAGTTGTCGTACGGGCCCTTGGCGTTCATTATACTGCGGATGTGGTTGCACAGTGTCGTCTTGCCGACGCTGAATGAACAAAGGAAAGACCACCACAAGAAATAGGACGATGTCCTTCCTGTGTGCTACCCTGGCACTCCGGTCAACAGGATGATGACACGCTTGCCCTTGTACCCCCTGACGAATCGCCTGACATCCCTCAACCTGCGCCACCGAAACGACACTGTGTGCGTGTCTGTGTGTGTGTGTCCCTCGTTTTGTCCTCCCGAGGTCTCACAATGCGTTGTCCTGCTGAGTTATGGCATCGGTCGTGTCGCCCAGACCCCGAGAGCCTCCGGTCGTAGGCAGGATGCTGCTGAAGCCGATGCGTGTCGTGCGGGGGCCGCTCATTCTTGATCTGCGCAAACGGCAAGGGACAAATTTACGCCGCCCTTGATACACTGTACTGGAAGGGGACGAAAGCATGGGAGGCCAGCTTTCCGCCAACAAGGTGATGTTGAGGTTTCGCGTCTTCCTTCCCGGATTTGAGAATCACCTTACCGACCCTGACAAACGCCACAGGAACAGCACCCCCCTCCCCTCTGCATTCGCGGTAACTGCCCTGAGCTGGGTGCGACGAGAAGCTATGCCAAAATTCGGGAGAGGGGACAGGCGGAATGTGTGCTTTGTGTGCGGCTGTGTGCAGGCAACTGGGATGAGCAGACCAAGGAGGCCACCTTTACCGAGAAGGAGAAACATCGCTGCCTCAAGTAAGGACGACCTCACATCTACATTGCCCAATTATGTGTGTGTGTGTTGTTGTGCTACCAGTGGCTTCATGTGGCAGAAGGAGATCACGGTCACCCTACCTGACGATTGCATGCTGAAGTACAAGTACAAGTGTGGCGACAACTGGGAGTACAACGACAGGCTCCCGAGCCGCGAGCACTGCATCGACCGCTATGTGGGCCAGTACTACTTGAAGGGCAGGCAGGGGCCGCTCGCGATCGACATCCTCGACTTCCTCGGCAGCCCCAACAACTCAATTGCCATGCCCGTGGGCTTCGCCATCACACAAGTCCAGCCGGAGGCCGAGCCCAAGACGGGTGTGGCAATGGTAGGCTGGGCTCCTGCTTGGTTGCTGGCAACTGAATCTCTCTCGTGCTTGTCTGTGTGTGTGCTCAGGCTCCAGAGGAGAGCATCCCAGCGTCCTCTGCCAATGGTTCCCTGGCGGCGAGGCATGATGCGCATCTGGACAACTGCGGGAGGGCTCAGACGACGTGGCGACGTGATGCGCGGACCTTCACACCACTTGTGAGCATCAAGTACGTGTCCCTGCAGGACGGCAAAGGTACGTGACGTATATGGGTCTTACGCACCCCTCATATCATCACAATGCACGCATGTCTGCCTGCCTCTGTGTGTATGCAGGGCTGGAGATCGAGGATGGCGATTTGGGTTTGCTGAAGCTGAACTTGGAGGGCCGGATGAAAGACAACTTCAACATGAAGCTCGGCTGTGAAGGAATCAAGGACATGTATTTCAACAAAGGCCTGGGAAAGAAGCTCACCAGGGAGGAGGAGAACGCGATGTCACTCTTGCGGTAGGGCAATGTGTGCGCAGTGTGATGTTTTCTCTGTGCACAGATCGCTGATGTGTGTCCGATGTGTGGTTTCATCAGGTCCGGGGATGACGATGATCCCCAGTTGGAAGCCTACCGACCCAAGGTCGTGGCAACAAATCCCTCATGGGGACTGCGTCTCTCCTGCCTTGTGTGTCTGTGTGCGAAGGCCTCAGAGGAGAGCATTTCAGCTTTCCCATCGCCTGCTTCCCTCACGCTGCCCGAGAGAGACGGCGGCGAGAGGGTCGAAGGGGGAAGTCAGACGTGGCGATTGGGGCTGCACTATGCAAACGGAGCAAATGGGCCGGTCAGTGCATCGGCGCTATGTATGTGTGTATAGTCACACCTTTGCTTGTGCGTGTCGGTGAATATGTACGATTGTGCAGACCGAGTCCCAACTGACGTTTCTCGAGGCCCTGACGCCGCACCTCAAGGAGGCCTTTGTGAAGCAGGGCGTCTGTCTGGAAGTCCTGACGGACAATCCTGACCACTTGATGGGCATCGTCATCTGCCGGGACTATACGTCTCGTACAGAAATAAGGGCCTTCTCACAAGCAATCCTCTCAGGTCGGGTACTCTGAAAGACGCACCCACAAAGCCAGGCGGAGACACGAGTGTTCCTCGCTGCACGTCTGTGATGTGTCCGTGGATCAGGCTTCACGGCGCACGCGGAAGCCCTGGGTCTGTCGGATGGTGCGGTGGACACTGAGTCGTTGGCTCAGTGCCCCTACGCGTGCCTTCCCATCTGGTTCGTGACCGTGTGGACGACCAAGCCAGACAGCCAGCCGGGCATCCCACTCAACGTCGCGAAGGACATCAGCCGGGCGTGGCCACACGGCCCTGTCTACGATCACGTGATCAGGAGGAACAGGGATGGTACGCTCCACATGGCGGACTTGCCGCGTCACTTTTTTGATAGGATCGCGGAGACAGCCGTCAGTGAAGAGAGGCGCAGAAACCACCAGAAGGTCGGGGCCCGTTTGTGGTGTGCGGCTTGATGGCTGCCTGCGTGTGTGGGTGGGAGGGTGGGTGAGGGGGTGGGTAGGTAGGTGAGCCAATTGCTGGACAGATGGAGCTGGTTCATGACAAAGCCTCTCCCGTTGCGTAGCGTTGACTGCCCGGCGTACATGAGAGGGGATGGTCGACAGCTGCAAGACGCAAGAGGCTCACGATACGTGTGGGTTGGCGTGCCTGCAGTAATTTTCGGTAAAGTGCTTACACCAAGCCGAAAAGTGCTGACCTCATTTATATCTTGACGTGTTGCGTGTTTGACACTATGATGGCCATGTCCGATAACTCGATCTGCATGAAGCATAGCTCTCTCTCTCTCTGAGGATCGTCGACTCATGATCACGTGTGCACAAACCCGCGACACATCCACAGTGACTCGTTGTGGCGTCACGGCCGGCCAGCCCGAGAGCTGATTATGGCTGACGGGATGGATGGCGTGTGTGGTGGTTGATGCGGAATGTTGAATCATTTTTGTGCTGCGACTGACCACGGGAGTGTTACAAAATTCCATTGAGATAAGGCACACACATGGTATGAAAGTCCGCACACACATCTACTGCTCACGAAAAAGGACTGTCGTCACACTGCATGCACCCACCCACCCACATCTCTCTTGTCGCCCACGAAAAACGATTATTCTCGATTCTCGCGTTGCGTCGATCACTCACTCACTCACCACTGGCAGACAGACAGACAGACAGGAAGACCAACTCAGGCTGACGTACACATTAGTACAACCACACATCAGAAGGACCACGCACCAGCGATGATCGTGCAGGCATGAACACGGCAAGGACGGAAAAACACAAAAACGTATCTGTCCGACAGCACTCTCTGAGTCTCGTGTCGTCCGCCCATCCAGACAAGACACAATGGTGCCATCATCCCAAAAGCACACTCACACACATCCTCCTACCTAGCCTCCATTCATGATGGTGGCGCTGCCAGGTAGCGCCCATTGCGTGCTATCTCCCTTGCCGCATCCTCATCCAGTGCGTCCAAGGGATAAGTCACGCTGTGCATCGCGCTCGCCCGCCCCCCAGCACCATCATCACGGTTCATGTGCATCCAGCGGTAGACAGCAGCGCAGGAAAAGATCAGTGGCAATGCCAGCACGAAAGCAGAGAAGACAAGCACCACAGTGCACACGTCAATGAAACTGCGATGGTCAAAAATGCGTTGGTTGTCTTGGCCGCTCGCGTCTTTGGTCGGCTGATCAGACGAGACGACCTCTCCCTACTTGAGATGCAGCACACAGACATACATACGTGCAGAAAGTAGTGCGCACACGACGTGTGTCCCGAGTGTGCGTATCAGCTTACGTCCTCGTCGTCGGACTCGTCGTCGGCCACGGGGGCGCACTCCTGTGGGTCGTGCACGCTTCTGCATGGATTACATACGTTGTAGACAGCGGAGGCACATCCATTGCACCCCATATGCGTGTGTGTCTTATGCATGCTCACTCTCTAGCGCATTTCTTGAGCTCGCTGAGGATGAAGCCAAACGGTCGAATGACGAGCAGGCTGTGTGCGGGGCTGAGTTCCTTCCTCTTGGGCTTAGCAAGCATCGGATACACGTCGAAAGGCTCCACGCTGCATGTCACGACACAGACATATGACAGACAGGTCGACTAAGCACTCACTCACGCCTCTTTTGTGCTCACTCACCCCAGGTCCTCCGAGACCTCCTCGATCAGCCTCTCCACCTCAGGTCTGTCCAGGAGAGAGACGGGGTCGTTCCAGATGGCCCTGCGCTCCTCGAGGTCCCCGATGACCCCGTCGCACTTGTTGAGAATGATGCAGACCTTGATCTCGTGCTCTGCTCACACACACATACACACACACACGAGGAATGACACACAAGTACACGGGCGAGAAAGATGAGATGAGCAGACCACTCACATTCTCTTCCGCATGTGACCGACTTACCGTGGATCTTCTCGACCATGTCACGGTACCTGACCATGGCCTCGCCCTCTCGGTCGCCCAGGGCCGTCGCATCGAGCACCACGAACACGGCCTTGGGACGGAAACGCTCCAGCTCAGGATCATCGTCGTTCCCCGACCTGCGTGAAGAAAGAAAGCGACCCACACACCAACACACCCACCCACACATCAAGATGAACGTGCCAAATGAATGGGCCATCGTTTGTGGGTGCTACTCACCGCAGGCGGTCGAGGATTTTCTTGTCCTCTTCGGTGAGCCGCTTATTGGCCCCCCTCTTGGCCTGAGCCTCCTTGATGGCGTCCATGCTGACCGTCATGTCGAAGTTGTTCATCAGCCGACCCGTGATGGCCAGCTCCAGCAAACCCAAATCACCATCCTCCAGACCTACACTCACACGCACGGACACACACACAGACACACAGGAGAGCTGGAGGCATCAGTTCTTCGCAAGCACGCATCACATACCTTTGCCGTCCTGCAGACAGACGCGCTCATTGCCGCCGAGTGTGTACGTCTCGAACAGGGAAGTGACGCTGCCGGAGTGGCTACCGGGGCGCGTACGGGTATACTGCAGCCGAAGGAAGCGACGGACGCACAGCAGTAGGCAGACAGACAGACAGACAGACATACAACGATGTGTGTGGCTTGGCCGTGGGTGTACCGAGACATAGTTGTCACACGGGCCCTTGGCGTTCATGATACTACGCATGTGGTTGCACAGAGTCGACTTGCCCACGCTGAACAAACACATCAAAGGCCCACACTTGACAGAATGCCAAGTAGCCACTCGCTGCCTACCCTGGTGCTCCCGTCACGAGGATGATGGCGAGGTCTCCCTGGTACCCCTTGACAAAGGTCTTGACCTCCTTGACACTGCAGAAGGGAGGACGATTCAGCGTACAGCACCCAAAGCTCCCATCTCTCCCTCCCCCCTTACTCGGCGTGGTCCTCCTGCGTGATGACTTCGCTTGACTCGCCCAGACCCCGAGAGCCTTCGGTCGTAGGCAGGATGCTGCTGGAGCCGATGCGTGTGGTGCGGAGGCCGCTCATTCCGATTACTTGATCTCAATCAACGGACAAGGGACAAAATACTGCCGGATGAAGGCAGGGCTGGAGGAGGCCAAGAGAAAAGGCGCACACGAATGAAAAGGGGCGAGCAGATACGACTGCTTGCTGAGAGATCTCTGGCTGCCCTTCTGTGCGGAACAGCTGCGGACGCGGATCAGTTTGCGGATCAGCTGCGGATCAGTGCGGATCAGCTGCGGATGCGGATGCGGGCGCGAAGAGAGGCGCCCTGATAGTAGGCTGCCCATGGCACCAGCCATATGACGCGTGGAAGTGCGCAAAAGAGAGGAAACGACGCAAACATGGGCAATTTGCTACCTGCTATCATGCCTTCAAGTTGGACGCCAAAGACCAACAAAGTGACGTTGAGGTTCAGAGTCTTCCTGCCTGTGGGAGAGAAGCCCAGCACCACTTTCCCGTTGAGTGTGCACGGCAACTGCCCAGAGATCGGTAAGCGAGCTTAGCGTATGAGGAGGGGAAATCGTACCTTTCTGTGTGTGCGCTCAGGCCACTGGGATGAGGCACCAAGGCCGGAGGCGACCTTCAATGAGAAGGACGAAAGATGCTGCCTCAAGTAAGTGAGTGATGCGGCGGCATAATTTGAAGCTTCCTGTACGTCTCTCTGTTGTGCTTGCCCCAGGGGCGTCATGTATCAGAAGGAGATCCAGGTCACCCTGCGCAAGGATGGTGTTCTGCAGTACAAGTACAAGCGAGGGCCAGATTGGGAGTATACGGACAAGCCGAACCGTGAGCACTACGTCGATGGCGCCGTCGGGCAGTACATCCGTCTGGAGGGGAGGCAAACGATGCCCAGAATCGACATCATCGACTTCCTCGGCGACCCCAGGATCTCGAGTGCGGTGCCTGAGAACTGGGCCTTCACCCCTCCTCCAACTGAGGTTGCATCCCAGCTGGAAGTGGCTGAGGTTAGCAAGCGACACAAAAATGCCTCCACGGTGCCATGTGTGTGCATGTGTGTGCGTGTGCGTGTGCGTGTGCGTGTGTGTGTGTGTGTGTCTGTGCAGGCCCAAGAGGAGAGCGTTACGACATCGTCATCATCGCAGGGCTCATTGACGCCCCGGACGAGGGAGACCGAGACGCCGACGAGTGAAGTGCGGCTGCAGATCGGGACGTCAACAGCACCATCTCACGAGAAGCGTAAGACGGTGACACCGCCAAAGCCTCGGGGGGCTCAAGTGTGCCGATTGGGGCTGCATTACTCAAACGGAGCCTACAAGACGGTCAGTGCACTCACGCACGCGTATGCACGCACCTTCACGTCCGTGTGTGCGTGGTTTGTGCAGAGTGGAGCTCAGCAGGCGTTTCTCGGGGCGCTGAAGCCGTACCTCACGGAGGCCTTCTTGAAGAAGGGTATCCAGCTGGAGATTTTGACCGACAATCCCAACAATTTGATGGGCATGGTCATCTGCCGGGACAACTCGCCTCGCACAGAGATCGAGGCGTTCTCACAGGCCATCCTCTCAGGTACTCGTACTCAGCAAACACACAAAGGGAATCGTGTGAGTACTCAGCGTGTGCATGTGTCAGGTTTCGCGACACATGCAGACGTCCTTGGTCTGGTTGACGGTGCGTCCGACATCGAGTCGGTGGCTCAGTGCCCCTACATCTCCATCCCTGTGTGGTTCGTCACGGTATGGACGGCCCCTTCGGCGCCAAAGGAGAACCAGCCGGGCATCCCGCACCCCGTCATGAAGGACATCAAGAAGGCGTGGCCATACGGGAGTGTGTATGACCATGTAGTCAGAAAGAACAGGGACCGCGCATTCGATCTGGCAGATGTGCCGCACAAAGATTTTGACAAGATTGCCGAGATAGCCGTCAGTGAGCACAGTGAGAGGAATCGTTCGCAGTAACTCAGTAGTAACTCGCTAGCTCGTTTTTGGTCACGATGAGAATGGATGTGTCTGTGCCTGAGTCACCTCAGTATGGCTACTACTTTTTGCTGCAGGGGCCTGTCTGGTGTAGTGTGGTATGGTGTGGTTGTGGGAATGGATCGAGTCGTTTTTCCTCCTTTCCCGTGACTGCCTGTGTGTATGCATGCTTGGACTACCATCTGTATGCCTGAATGCGATTTTGTAACAAAAGCAGTGCGCACATGGCAATGTGATTGAGCCAACATCAATCAGGTCCGCTGGCACTGTGCGCCACTTTCTTTTGCATCGACGCGCGCGCCATCCGTCAGTCTCGGGCGGCGGGGGACCACACGGGCGGGGGATGGCCTACGAGCACAGACACACGCACATGCAGACGAGCTTTGCACTGATTATTTCTTCCCGACCGTTAGACAAGTTATACGACGAAAAATATGTGATATGGCAGCAGCCGAGGGATCCGAATATTCATCTGTGTTCACCAGGTGAGCAGACACAGCCCACTTCCCGCCTGACAGTGTCGCTTCCTGTGCGGTCGGTCCGCAGGTCTCGTCGTTGCGTTGATCGTGGGAGGCAGCCTTACACAGTGATGGAGAATGCTGCTTATCAGGAGGTCAGGCCGCCCGACAGCGATGGCAGAGTCCCGTCGTCGTCAGGCGAGGCGCCGTCGAATGGGGTGAGCGGAAATTTTAAGGATGGCAGCCCTCCTCTCTTCTGTCTGCTCTGAATGGTGTTTTGGTCAGGAGCCAGACGGGCCCCGCAGAGCCGTTGGTCTGCTCGACGGCCGTCCCGTCTTCGGAGATGGCCATGGTGGGTATGCCGTGGAGATCGACGACGAGCTCCGCCCGCTGTGCACAGAGGACTGCAGGGACAAGATCATATTTTTCGCTGACGTGCGGAATCTGCAGAGGTCGAGACCCAGATCAGCGACCACGCACCGATGGCTTCTCTGAGTGTTTCCTTTGCACACAGTGGTGGTCGAGAAGTCTTTGGTAACCGCGAGTCTTGCAGCTTGTTGCCGAGGTTCTCCGGCAACCGTGGGCTGGGCAACACGAGCGACCTCTGCAGGCAAGACAACATGGCGTGAGGGAAGAGAAGTCAGGGTTTCGTCCAGGGTGTGTCTGTGTTCCAGAGTGAAGCAGATCAAGGACTTCGTCAGGGAGTACAAGGGCAGGCCGGTCACCATTCTGTTTGCTGGGGAGCCGGGGTACGTATGCCACGCAGCACACTGCCCACCAGACTTCTTGTTCATGTGCTGCTGTTCAGCGTTGGCAAGACGACATTGTGCAACCACATCCGCAGTATCATGAATGCCATGGGCCCTTACGACAACTATGTCACGGTCAGACCCACGCTGACGCGCCCACATAGTGCGTGTTGCATATGTATGTGTGTGTGTTGTGTGTGTGTGTGTGTGTGTGCGTGTATATGTGTGTGTGCGACCTGCCTGCAGTACGGCCCGACGGCTCCCGGGGGCCACTATAGCAGCGTCACGTCCACATTGGAGACGTACATGCTCGGCGGCAACAAGTACCTCTGTCTGCAGGACGGCAAAGGTGTGCATACTGTCTCCCCACCTGTCTGCGTGTGTCTGCCTCTCTCTCTCTGTCTGTATGTATGTATGTGTGCGTGTGTGTGTCCGTGCGGTGTGTGCGTAGGTCTGGAGCATAGAAACTTGCGTCTGCTGCTGCTACTCGTCGAGGGGCGGATCAAAAACGGGTTCAACATGACCATCGACTATGACGAGATCAAGGACATACAGGCCAAGAAGTGCATGGGGCAAGAACTCACCAGGGAGGAGGAGCAAATCCTCTCCCTCCTGCGGTACGGGCCCACCCACCCTTTCACACAGATCATCAGTCAAGTCTCTGTCCTCTGTCCTTTGCGTGTCTCTCGTGTGTGTGTGGTTCCGCTGACCAGCGTTGGCACTACGGCCGAGTTGGAGCGCTACCGCCCCAAGGCCGTGTTCCTGGTCATGGACGCGACCGCCACGAGCCCGACTGGCCTCGAACACTACCGCAAGATGGCCAGGGTCGTCCGCTGTAAGCAGGAGCAACAAGCAACAACATCAACAACAACTAAGCTATCAACAAGCCAACGAAGATGTCCGTCTGTCTGCATCGGTCGATCTGTCTATTCGTTTGTGTGGTGTGTGTGCAGATCACGATGTGAAGGTCATCGTCATCCTCAACAAGTGCGACGAGATCATTGAGGACAATGACCGCCAGCACATCTACAGCGACCCGCTCCTCATACTTGAATCAGCTAAGGTCGACAAGACGGTCGAGAAGGTCTCTGCGGCCTTGGGGTAAGTGAAGGGAGTGATAAAGAGAGGAAGGTAGGTAGAAGGCATTTCTAGCATGCGACCTCTCACTGCTGTTTGTGGGTGTGTGCGTTGGTTTAGTGTCGAGGAGCATGATGTGTACCCAATGATCAGCAGGCCCATGAAGAAGAAGGAGCTCACTCCAGAGCACAGCCTACTCGTCATCCGGCCGTTTACCTTCATCCTCAACGACCTCATTCGATGCCACAGAGAGTCAGCCACACCCAATGGTCACAAACTTGATCGAACTCACCATTGTGCCTGTGTGGGCTGCAGGAGGATATTCGACGACGAACTCGAGTGGTCTGAGGAGGAGGTAATCGACGTCGAGTCGGACGAAGAGGAGGTAACCGACGGGACACAAACACACATAGGAAACATCCGTGGGAGTGACGTGTAGATTCGTGTCAAGTGACACCTAGCTCATTTCTACTGTAGCCGATGAGCTCTCGTCGCGTCTTATCTGGCGGTCGAGACGAGAGCTGAGCGTCTTCCTTTGGGATGCTGTGTCGGTTGTGGCCTGTGCGATTGTGAATGGATGATGCGCAGTAAGCGACTCATGAGATGGCTCACACATTGAGGGAGAGTCATGCGACGTAGCCATCAAAGCATGGTCTTGTGTGCATTCATGTCGATCTTGCTGCTGCGTGCGGACATTTTGCAACACGTTAATTCACCAAGCATCAACGAGTTCCACTGTACACTAACAATGCATTCTACACGTCTCTCGATCATCTGGTCCACTCATACAATCTATCCGTCTGTCTTGGGCGGCGGGGGACCACACGGCCGCGGGATGGCCTGAACGAGCACACACACACACAGAGGGCACAGGCATGCACGCAGCAGGGTGAACGCATCATGTAAGCTCTGCTTCGTTCTCTGGCTCTCAGGGACACACGCCCACCTGGAGGCATCTGAATCGTATCCTGGCAATGGGTTCGTTCTCAGCGACAGCAAGGTAGGCGAGGCGCGAATAGTGACCCACATGCGACGCCAAAGTGTCGCGATGGATGTTGGTTGTCCACTCCCTGCACACAAAACGCACAGAAGCCAGTCGACGACGAAGCCATCACTTTCCTTGCTCATGTGTCGTCTCATGTGTGACCATTTGGTGGTGTCAGCGTTGCCGGTGCCCTGGTACTTCATCTGCAGGTGCTCCAGCTGAGCGTGGATGTTGAACCGGTCATACACCGTCGACATGATGCCTCAACAACAGAGATCTTCAACAAGGCGGTAGATGCTGTCCACGGACAGCCTCAATGACCAGAGAAGCCTCAGATCCACTTCTTCCGTTCTGGCTTCAAGCTCGCAAGCTTAGCCCGCGCTTCGGGGCGTCCTTGTGCTTCACTGAGAAGAAGATGGCATCGTCAGAGACCGAGGAAGAGCGACAACAACGCATCGACGCCATCATTGCCAGAGGCAACGCTCCAATCAAGGCCGAATTCATCATCCCACGCCCACCGCGCCCCTCCACTGCTGATGCAGATGCATCCCGCCGTGATGATCCAGCCGCATGCACCGAGCAAGCAGCTGACGGCAAGCAAACGACGTTGCCTCAGAAGCGGAGTGCAGAGGACAAGGGCAGCCGCAAGCGAGTGCGAGGGCAGAACAAGAACAAGGAGAGGCGGGAGAACCGCCGGTTACACCAGGAGAACCGAGAGGAGCAGATGTGCGGCAGAGTGGCGGGGATGGGAGAGTGTGCGTTCGGCGATAAGTGCCGGTTCAAGCACGACCTGGCTGCATTCATGGAGGTACGCACACACGTGCATACGCAGAACCAATCGATGCCGATTGATCATGGATGTGTTGTATGTTGTCTGTCTGCAGGTCCGTCCACCTGATCTGGGCGGTGACTGTCCTGTGTTTGACAAGTTCGGCATGTGCATGGCGGGTGCCAACTGTCGATTCGGCGGCAAACATATCGACGCACAAGGTGACAGAAGCACAGGGACAGTCGAGCACACAATCGCCTTCATATACGCGTGTTTGCAGGCCGCAATTTGACGAAGGATGGTGAGATGGTGACGCCAGCCATGATGGATGGCCACCTCAAGAGCTGCGGTGTGACCAACCAGCTGACCGATGACATCAAGCACCGGCTTCGGAAGCAGCGGCACTCCTACCCCCGCTCACAGGCCTTTGTGCAGACATGGGAGGCCTACAGGACATCCCTGCAAGAGGCCAAGCAGACCAGCAGCCCCCTCCCCGACCCACCAAGCGCTCCCCTGCCGCCCGACCCGTCTATCGGGGCGGCCATTGTGTCCACATGGGAGGACAGAAGGCGCGAGGGCAGGTCGCTGGATCTGAGAGGGAAACTGGTGTTGGCTCCGCTGACGACCGTCGGCAACCTGCCGTTCAGGCGGCTGTGCAGGAGATTGGGGGCTGACGTGACGGTGGGTGGGATGAAATTTCCGTCCGTGAGTGAGGCCTGCATGGATTCTGTGTCTGTGTGTGCTGATGTGTGTGTGTGTGTGTGTGTGTGTCAGGTGGGTGAGATGGCGTTGGCTGATTCGCTGCTGCAGGGGAAGCCGTCAGAGTGGGCGCTGCTCAAGTAAGGCAACACGCACACCACGCCCTGCACCCAGCCAGCCGCTGCTTCATGTGTGTGCGTTGTGTCATGATCAGGCGTCACGAGGAAGAGAAGTGCTTTGGCGTGCAGGTGGCCAGCGGATGGCCCGACGTCATGACCAGGTACAGACATGCCGGCACTCCTGCACCAGCCAGATACACACATCATCGTATCGTTGTAATGTCTGCATGTGGTCAGGTGTGCCGAGATGCTTGACGAGCATGTGTCGTGCGACTTTGTGGACATCAACATGGGGTGCCCCCTGGACCAGGTGCACCGGTGGGGCGCGGGGACGGTACTCAGCACCAAACCACAAAGGTTGGAGGGCATCGTCAGAGGTCAGTCAGCCGACACACACATGTATGACCGACCAGAATATTGATGTGGATGCAAGACCCGCACACATGTGGATGTTACGGTGTGTTGGATTCTGCAGGTATGTCGTCGATTCTTGCGTGTCCGTTGACGATCAAGATGCGCAACGCCCACAACGAGCCCTCATACACCGCACACAACCTCATGCCGAAGTAGGCGTGTACACACAAACACACGATCGGTCCCTGCAGGGCAGGCAACAATGCGTCTCCATCTCTGTGGTGTGTCCTTGTGGCATCCATCCATCCGTCAGGCTGGAGGAGTGGGGCGTGTCGGCCATCTGTCTGCACGCGCGGACGGCCAAGCAGAGGTACGCACGTGGCTGGAGAGCCACACACAACACGCAATTGAGTCATGGGTGGCTTCTGTGTGTGTGTGGCTCAGATACACCAAGAAGGCCGATTGGGATTACATGCAAGTGTGCAAGCAGACCCTCAAGAAGGTGCCCCTCATCGGCTGTGGTGACATCATGAATTGGGAGGAGGCCGAGGACCATTTGCTGCACTCGGGCGCCGACTCTCTCATGGTGGCAAGAGGGGCCCTCATCAAGCCATGGATATTCACAGGTAGGTCAGATACCGCACACACGGAGGGATAGCAGCACTGACCTGTCTGTGACTCGCGTCGCCCTTGTGTTGATGCATTCAGAGATCCGTGAGAAGCGGCACTGGGACATTTCTGCGTCAGAGCGTCTGGACATCCTGCGAGACTACGCCAAGTTCGGCATGGAGAACTGGGGCTCAGATCCCAAAGGCGTCGCTACCACACGACGGTAAGCAGGTGACGCGACGACCAAACTCACTGCTCAGGCAGGCGAGTGTGCACCTGTTCTTCTGTCGTGTTGTGTTGTGTGGATACGTCAGGTTTATGTTGGAGTGGCTGTCATTCCTGTCTCGTTACATCCCCGTCGGTCTACTCGAGCGTGTGCCGTGCCACATCAACCTGCGCCCCGACCCCTTCGTGGGCCGCAACGACCTCGAGACCAAGATGGCGTCCACCAATGTCAAGGACTGGATCGAGATCAGCGAGATGCTGCTGGGGCCGGTGCCGAAGGACTTCACATTCATGCCCAAACACAAGAGCAGCGGATATGCCAATGCCAGCACCAATGGCGTCAGCACAGGGAGTGGGCCTGCGAGCACGACCACGGCTGATGCTGCTGCTGATGGTGCTGATGGTGCTGGTGGCTCGGATGAGCTGAGAGGGGGCGATTGGGGGTAAGGGAGATCGATGCATCCAGTAGGATGGATCGGTGCAGTCACAGTAGCTTTGATGGATTGGTTTATGCGCGTCGTGTACGGACAGCAATGCTCATGGTGATGCATGAATGTTTCTTGCAGTTGAAAGGATTCTGTCGTGCCCAATCTCTCTGTGAGAAACAACTACAGTGGTTGGCAATTGCACAGCACCGCATCACGCACACGGATCTTCCTCAGACACGCCCTCCGCCACAATTTGCTCCGGCTCGGCCCCCGCGGGCGGCTTCACTCCCGCGGCGGCGCCTGCTTGGGGCCTCAAATAAGTCGACTTCTGCTGGCCGCCGAGTATCTTGGGGATTTCCCCGACGTCCTTGAGCCAGCATGTGGGCCGATTCTGATGCAAGCACCTGGTTTGAGTAGTCCCACCATGGCATGTCTCTGTGAGTGGCACACCTCTTTGCAGAAGAACTTGGTGTCTTCGACAGAGTGGACGCCGGAAAGCACCAGGACGGTTTTGACGCCCAGCAGATTTCCCCCTGTGTGGTCAGACGCAATGCTGCGCACACACACACACGCAGCGAGGATACAGAAGCCCAGCAAATGGGTGATAGTCTCCCTGCCTCCCTGTCTCTCTTCTTCCTTTGCTCTGCTTACTTGTCTCCGACCATGGCCACCTGTTCGAGCTTCAGCTTGTCCGCCCCCGTCATGTTCCTGTGCTGCGCATCGACGATCCTGAGACATCATGTACTTGACGCCGACATGCCCGCCCTTGCCCACACATCCACCGTAGCCCATGGAAGCGGTCAGCTTGCCGCCCTTGTCAGGCCGTTTCCAGCCCTTGGGGTAGATGGCGTCCTTGATCCAGGCTGTCCAGGGGCCGATGCTGCCCGTGTGCATGGTGACGCCGTCTGGTGCCTTCTTCTCGGGCTCGAGTTGGTCGGGTGCAGTGTTGATGAAGGTAGCGCCGTTCTTGACGAAACGGATCATCATGTCCAGGACCGTATTGGACCATCCCATGTACCCTGAAGAGATGGACGAATAGATAGATGGGTGCATGGTACGTTACATGCGCACACGTGCGTACCGTCGGGTCTGTATTCGATTTTCTGGATGGAGCTGAAGCTGGGGTCGTCTGAGTGTCTGTCTTCGGGCTTCTCGGTGCACAGGGCAAAAAAGAACTTCTGGGGGGCATCGGGGCTGGCCTTGATGTAGTCATTGGCCTTCTTCAACCAATCATGGAACTCCTCTGAGCAAGAACCAGAAGCAGGCAAGAAGAGACAGATCGCCATCGCTTGTGTGTCTGTGTGTGCGTGGTCTCTGACCTTCTCTTGGGAAGAACGTCCTGACTTGCCACTTGCTGAACTTCTCCTGTCCGGCTGTGAGCTTGACCTGGTTGTAGCAGCTGTCGTAGATGGTGTCCTTGCCAATCTTGTACTTCGCTGTCCTTTGGATCAACCAGATGTAAGAACCTGAGACACGACTTCCACTCCGTGGAGCATGTTAATCATTTGCTCATTTGGGTGGGCCATGGTCACCGTCTGTGGCGTTCTCTTTAAGGAACAGCCCGAGAGCCTGGCCAGCCGTCCACACGTGATCGATGGGCACCTCAGGCTCCATCAAGTATTCCCGTTTCTTGAACTTGGCCTGCACGCCGATGGGGCCCTTGAATGCCGTGTTGCTGAGGAAGACGTAGGACTTCTTCGTGTCCCGCAGCCAGTGATAGAACTTCTGGGCGCCGTGCACCAACGAACCTGCACGACACAGAAGACTATTGCAAACCTAGTCATTCGGATTTGTTTTGTTGCCGAAAGTGCACCGACCGGGGATGTACATGCAGCCATCCAGATCAATCATCCAGGCCTTGATGTCCTTCAGGTCCTCCTTTGTGCACTGCTTGGACGGCTCCACGGGCTTTGCCAGCCAGTCGGCATTGAACGGCTGCGCTGTGGCGCCCTCAAACAGGGCACAAAGAAGGACAACAACACACCGGGACATAGTGATCATCATTGTCGCTGGCGCGTGAGACTGACGCGAGACTGGCCCCCAGCAAGCTTCCCGCCCCCACTTCCGCAGATCCCACGTCTGGAGAGCAGCGGTACAGCGATGATATACATTTGCCAGGGGTGCTCGTCATGCAGCCAGTGTTGTGGCAGCGCATGCAACAGCCTGTGCCAGGGGCTGTCGTCATGTTTGACCATGTGCGACAAGGTATTGCCACTACGTGGTGAAGCTGCCGACTTCGCTGAGCCTCTCCCATTATTGCTCCTTAATTGGCTTTCCGTGTGCAGCCATTGGGATGGTGCGTCTTCACGACTTTCGCCCTCCACATCCCTTTGTTCATCATTGCTGTACTGGGCCTCGTTGATGACCGCTCCTGCGACAGGCCGCTCAAGATGTGGGGATGCACGGCGCTGCATACGTGTACCGATGTGAGTCATCTTCATCTGCGTGCATTGCCTCAGATCCATTGGCGTCGAGGCTCTGTTGGGACTTCTGAACTGCGCGATGTCCGTTTATCTTTCATGTAAGGTCGCAAAGGGCACACAGACAGCCATTCACCTTGGCATCCGGCTCGGTCGTGCGTGCAGATCGGCTCAACAAGGGCATCAAAGAGGGCGCAAGGCAGGCCGCAGCGTCACCGGCACACGTGGCCTCTCAGCCAACATCGACAAACACTTACAAGGCGTGAGACACGAGCCACTCATCGATATGGAGACACATCAACCGACATGTGTGTGTTCGGCTGGCGCACATCAGCGCAATGGAGATCATTGTGTACGATGTGCCCTTCTGCCTGTACACAATCGGTGTCATTGGCTTCGGATTCGTCTTCAGCTGCATCGGAATCGAATGGGGCTCGAACGACAGCGAATGCGTAAGTGACACACACGCGACCCGACGAGGCTTCCCTTTTGTCTCAATCTGCTTGCTGTCTCATCTCCATCCTGATGCAGGCAAACACGACGGTGGGTTGGTCGGCTGTCGTGGTGGGCATCCTCTTCCTGGTCTACGTGGCTGTCACTGCGTGGCTTGGGATGTTCTGGATGCTCATCATGGAAGGCAGACACACACAGATCGGCAGATCGGCATATTGTGACCATTCTACTCTTCATTCGTGCGTGTCTCTCCCCCTTTCAGTGCTGTGAGGACTGCTGCTTTGTCACATTCACAGCGCGCTCAAGCACCCCAATCAATCCTCTACGTAATCCAAAAGACACACCACCAGCAGTGCGTGTCTCTCTCCCAAAGCCCGCTCTTCTTCTCCCCCTCTCAGGTCTGCTCCTTCCCGCAGCTTTCATTTTCTCCTCCAGCCGTCCTCGGCCGACCAGCTACAGCCAGCACCAGCCCGCGGCGACTCACGTTCAGCCGTCATACGTGCAGCCAACCGCTTATGCCCACGCTGGCCGTCCCATGCCCGGCCCCCTGATCATCACCACTGCACAGTCAGCTGCTCCGCCGGCATATCAGACACCGCCTCAGGCTTACCAGCCGCCCGGCGCACCAATATATCATTCACCGATTAGCCCTGCAGCACCAGCTGCTGGCTATGGTGCGGCAGATGAGCCAGACGCAGAGCCAAGTGGTTTCCCCGACCCTTCTGCGCCCCCTCCTCCGTACGGGGAGCCCGGTGCTCCAAGAGAACAGCAGAGTGCTGGTGAAAGGGCGAAAGAGAGGGTTATATATGCGGGCAGAGTGGTTGGGGAGAAGGTGAATGTCGTGGCGGCGCGTTTGTGGGGGAAAAGCGATGGACAGAGAGGGGCGGCGGGAGGGACAAAACAATGACGCCATGCATGCGTGACGCATGGCTGATAGGGATCGGTGCTGCAAAGCTGTGTGCGTGTTCTTGGCCAACAAACGAGCCACATGCATCAGGCGGGCGAAGCTAGCCGCCCCCAACAGCTCGCAACAAAAGCCGATAGAGGCTGAATAAACGCGTGTGTGAAGTGCCTTACCTTATCCTTGAACACCACAAGGTCAACAAGATTGAAGAGGCACCGTGACAACCCATTCTTTTCCGCCGTAAGGGAGTGACTGTCCCTTTCTCGTGGCAGTGGATATCTGAAACACCACAAACCCATCTCCACTGAAGTGGGTGTGGTCTTTTGGTAAGCCCTTGGCGACACCCAAGAATGGCCGCCCAGCTGGACACTGCAGATTCTGCAGTGTGTGTGCTCAGAGATGGGCAGAGAGTGACTGTCCTTCTCCTCTCCCTTTCTATGTGTGCAGGGACCGCCCGGAAATTGCTGGACTTGCTTACAATCAGAGGGGGCAAAAGAATCCGGTGGGGAGACGGCTGCAGAAAAACACAAGGGGTTTGGAGCCACGACTGACGAGCCGCATTGGCGGACACACACACACCTGACTGTCCCTATATGCCCTCTCCTCTTTTTCGCCTTGCTGCAGGTGTCTCGGTGTCGCGATGATCTCCCACACGCAAGCCTGTGTGATCGACGCAGAGACCACATGGCTGAGGGGCTGTGTCAAACACTCGTTCATTCACATACGAGAGGCGGTCCCAACCGAAGCCCGAAGACGGTCCCTCTCCCTCCCGGCCCTCAAGATCCCCCAAGTGCCCTTCCCCGACCCAGCCAACGTGCGACACCGCTCATGGCAGCGGAGACCCGCACGGAGAAACGACTCCTCCTACCAGCCGCCCGAGGGGCCGTCATCAGTGCACCTACAGACATATGACGCCTTTGCCCGGCAGCTGCACGTGCTCTTCTACCAGGTGGACCCGTTGTGGAAGCTGCTCGGCCTAAAACGACACAGGAGTGATAACCTGGGGTGCGAGCACCCGGGAATGGCTGTGCTGGACGTCAAGAGGCCGCTGGAGGTGGTGCTCGAGGAGGGGGAGGGGCGGGGGAGGGACGAGACAGAGGGGAATGGCAACGGGCAAGGCGGAGAGAGTGACGAGGGCAGGGTCATGAGTGGGGTGGGGTTCCGTCGTGTGCGCCGGCCGCCACCGTTGCTCATCCCCCAGATGCCCAGATCACCTGGTGATGACGAAAGAGGACGCACGATGCCTGAACAGCCATCCACAGAGCATGCCTCTTCATGTCTCCTTGTTCAGGGAGCCGCATAGCGTTACCGGTGATGCCCCGTGGTGATGATGGGTATGTCCCGTTCTCCCACTATGTGGTGCCTGGGACGGCCACGTGGCTGGAGGATGTTGCTGAAGACCTCTCCAAGATGGATCACAGAGACACCGGACACCCACTCAAGTGTCCAGGTCGAGAGAGCTCGTCCCTCGCGCTCTGTGTAAGTGTGTGCATTGGCATTGATGTCTCTTGCGTCTCTGTGCGACAGGGAGTTTGTTGCACAACGTTGGGGCCTGCAAGCCGTGTGTGTTTTATTGGGGCAAGGGGTGCCAGAACGGCCGCAGCTGTCAGTTCTGCCACGAGTGGCACCCGCCTGGCAAACGATCAAAGACCTCCAAAAAGAGAGGCGGCCGACTCTATCAGCGGTGCGTATCTCACCGACAGCCGTGCATCCACAAAACAAACACGTGTGTGTGTCATGTTCGTCCATCGTCAGCCCCTCTCTCTTATCAGAGGACATACCGATTGTCCGGAGCCGCGGCGGTGTGCTGAGCGACCTGCCTTTGTCACCGTCAGCCTCCCGCTCGCCCCTTTCCTCCCTCTCGCCAGACGAGTCACGCGTCTCCACCAAGGCCTTCCCCTCACCCACACACCACGACGGCCACCACCACCCGTCGATATCGGCCATGCTGCCGCAGCTGAGCCCCGGTTCTGGCTCTGGTGCTGACCAGGATGCCACACCGAGTGGGTATCGGTGGCAGCAGAGGCGAGACAAGGACATGATCGGGCCCTTCCGGAGTGTGGGGCGCGTCAGGCAACAGCAGCATCAGCATCAGCATGAGGAGCCGACGGTCGGCTTTCAGAGCTTGTTTGCCGTGCCACCGATCTGCCCTGGGGGTGTGACTAGCGGGATGCTGGGCAGCGCTCCACGAGAATGGTCGTTGAGCAACCGGTCCACCACGGCTGATGTGCCCATCATCCAGCAACAGCAGCAGCAGCACATGGCGTGTGGGAGCGGTGATGTCTCTCCTCTGGTGTTTGTGCTGGCGCAGCCGCCACCACCACCAATACGGCCGAGACACCATCATCTGCACCACCCGCAGCAGCAGCAGCAGCATTATGTGAGGCAGTGAAGTGCGTGTGGGTGGGTGGATGTGTGTGTAGGCTAGGCTGCTGGCGGCTAACAGACTACTCATGGGTTGAGTGCATGTGGTAGATCGGAGGACTGGCCGAGTGCTCTCCTGTGCTGCACGTTGAAATGCTTCGTACGCCTCCCGTCGGCTGGCTCACATCTGGCGTTAAAACTCATCGACACATGAACCATCTGCATGACGAGAAAGTGTCGCATCTCACGTACGAACAGGCATTGCTGGCAGTGTCCACAGGCGGGAAAAAGCCATCAGTCGCATGACACGACGCACCATGATCCCCTCCTCCCTCCCGTCCCATCCTCATCTTGACACAGTCAGTCAAAAAAACAACACGGGAAACATGTGGACTGAGTAAATGTGTGTGTGTGTGTGTGCGTGTGGATGTCCACTGCTGGCCAATCCGCCTCCTTCGTCTTGTCAGCAGATCTCTCTGGTGTGGAGACCTGCCAAACAGACGAAGAAGGCGGTGCTAGAAGCAGAGCAACCACCACGACACAGCACATGTGAAAAGACCGCCGAGGCACGCAGATGGACGTGGGTCAGACACGCTTTTCTTCCCTATGGCTCTGTGTGGTGGTGAGCGTCAGTCACGGCCAGTGTCGTCCTTGACTGTGAAGGGTCGATGCCACACAGCCAATGACGACACAAACTCTGACGACACTCACCACCATAAATCGCCAGAAACACAGATACAGCATTATGGTCTTCTCCCATGTCACAGCAAGTTCTCGGCATCAACGACGCAGAAGGAACAATACATGCAGAGGGAGAGAAGGAACGAACCGCAGAAAGCACTTACATGCGCAGCAAACTCCACCTGAACGAACAACAGACACGACACACCAGCACAACGACGAAAAATGTGCCTCCCGAACATAGCCCATCCGTACCTTCCCCATGCTCACCTTGTACACTCATCTCATTTGCCGGCCACCGCAGCTGTGGGTGACCCGGATGTGACCCTGGTGGTGTGGTCGCCCAGGAGGTTGACAAGGAGCGACTCACTGCCGAGCAGCAGCCGGTTGGCGCCCTTGGAGAGGATGTTGGACACCTCCTTGGCCGTCTCGATCCGACGCAGCTCGATGAACCCGGGGTTGTTGGCAATGGCGTTGCCGATCAGCTCCGCAGCACGCATCTCACCTAATCAATCACACACAGGGAGAGAAAGATATGTAAAGCCCACATGAGTCTGATTGTGTGTGTGTGTGTGCGTATGTGTGCATGTGTGTGACCTTGTGCTTTGATGATGGTAGATTTCTTCTCTTCCTGTGCCTTGAGGACCGTGAACCTCGCCCGCTCGGCCTGCTGCTGCGCCACCTGTTTGGACTCGACGGCCTGCTCAAATGTGGGCGAGAAGGACAGGTGGGTGATGGACACGTCATCCAGCAGCAGGTTGAAGTCCTTGGCCCGCTCCACCAGCAGGTTTCTGATGGTGCGGGACACCACCTCTCTCTGCGTGATCAGCTGGGAGGCGTTGTACTGCGCAACGACGCTCTTGAGCACCTCGTTGATGATCGACGGCAGCACCTTCTCGTCGTGGTCCTTGCCGAGAGTGCGGTAGATGGTCGTGAGCATGTGCTCGTCGGGACGCGACAGCACACGGCACGTGATGTTGACCATCTGCAGGTCGCGGGAGCCCGTCAGCGACACCAGCACCCTTGGCCGCGTCCGGACGTCATAGATAATGGGGCGGTCGAACCACGGCACCAGGAAATGAGTCCCCTCGCCATACACCTGACAAAAAAATCACGTCAATGCACACCGATCTGATACGTTGCGCACACGCCATGAGCAGCCTGTCTTGCGCCTCACCTTCTCTCCGAGTCCTGTGATGCGGTTGAAGAGGATGGCTCTGTGCCCTGCCTCCACGTTATAGAGACAGTTGCGCACCAGCCACAGCCCGCCGCCGACGACCGTCACTGCACCACCGATGCCCAGACCGACGCGGCCAAACGACTGCACAAACTGCCGAGGGTCGAAATTCATCGACATCTCGACGTGCGGAGGGGAGGCAGCACCGTCCCCCACACAGATCTATCGCTTTCCTTCCCCTTCTGCCGCGAGCTTAAGAGCTCGCAAAGGTTGTGGATCGCTTCAGCGCTGGGCTGTCGTCTGAAGTAGGGGTGAGGCATCGGTCACAGCAGACAGGCCTTGCTTGAGAGGTTTGCAGCGAAGTCATCTCATCTCCGACACCTCGTCATGCCGTTTCTGTTGCTCTCCTCCAGCCGGCACCCAGCAGTGAGCACAATGCTGTCGATATCTATCATGACGGCTTTCCCAGCAATCTCACACACCTTCGCGAGGCGAGGCTTCTCATCCCCACTCCGAGGCACAGGCACAGCATCCCGCGCCCTCACCAGCCTGCAGCCAATCAAGGAGCGCTCCTGTCTGCGGCCCTATGCACTCAACCGCATCGCGCGCATGTCTGCTGTGGCCGTCCCTGAGGTCGCTGCACCGACCACAGTGACGCCCGTGGAGCATCCGCAGTACGACCTGGTGCGGGCGGACTACGTCACCGAGTACAACTCGACCACTTATCTGTATCGGCACAAGAAGACGGGGGCGCAGGTGCTGTCGGTGGCCGCTGACGACCCCGTCAAGGTCTTCGGCATCTCCTTCAGGACGCCCCCCGACGACTCCAAGGGCGTGCCCCACATCCTGGAGCACGGCCTGCTGTGCGGGTCGCGCAAATTTCAGGCCAAGGACACGTTCAACCAGTTGCGGAAGGGGTCGTTGTGCTGCTTCATCAACGCCATGACCTACCCCGACCGCACCTGCTACCCCGTGGCATCGACCAACGAGAAGGACTTCTACAACCTGATGGATGTGTACCTGGACGCGGTGCTGTTCCCCCGAGCTGTGACGGACCCCAAGGTGCTGGCGCAGGAGGGGTGGCACGTGGAGGCAGAGAACAAATCAGATGACCTCAAATTCAACGGTGCGCGGCGGGCCCTTGTAGGGGGAGGATGTGATCTATGCTTTGTGAACGGGTTTGTTTCTTTGTTTGGGTGTTGCTCAGGTGTGGTGTACAATGAGATGAAGGGCGTCTACTCCCAGGTGGAGTCGCTCGTTTTTAGAAGAACCAAACAGGTCAGACAACCACACACATACACCACCACAGGCACACCCACGGACCACCCAGACGAACACGTGTTTCCCTCTGTCTGTCTTTGTGGCTGCTGCTGCGCTGCATCGCAGGAGTTGTTCCCCGACAACACGTACCGTGTTGACTCTGGCGGCGACCCCCGTGAGATCACTGACCTGACATTCGACCAGTTCAAGGAGTTCCACCAGCGATTCTACCACCCCGCAAACTCACGCACATTCATCTACGGGTCGGTCACACGGGACACGGGAAGGAAGACATCTTTGTGTGTGGTGTGTGTCTCTGTTGAATGCGTCTTGTGTTGTGTTGTGTTGCAGCAATGACGACCTCAAGAAGCGTCTGGATTTCCTGCACACCTACCTTGATGAGTTTGACGCGCCACCCGCCCCAGTAGACTCCGCCGTCACATGGCAGAAAAAGAAAAATGGTCAGTCAGTCAGGCAGCGAGAAAAGGAAAGCGAAACCCACAACAAATGCCCCTACATGTGTGTGTGTGTGTGTGTGTGTGTGTCAGAGCCGTGGCTGGTGCGTGAGACGTTCCCTGTCGCTCCCGGTGACACCAAGAACAAGGACATCGTGACGGTCAACTGGCTGCTCAACGACCAGGAGCTGACGCCCTACGAGAAGCTCTCGCTCACCATCATGAACGAGCTGCTGCTGGGCACCCCCAGCAGCTACCTCTACAAGGCGCTCATCGAGAGCGGCTACGGCGCACAGCTGGCCGGCTCGGGCGTCATGGGCTCGCTGCTGCAGTGGACGTTCGCCATCGGACTCAAAGACGTCATCTCTGAGGAAGGTACATGCGCACACAGGACGAAAGAGGGAGAGAGAGATACTGTGCAGACACGCGCAATGGATCGTCCTCTGTGTGTCGTGTGGTGTGTGCAGGGACGTACAAGAAGATAGAGGATCTGGTGCTGCGTACGCTGCAGGAGCGTGTGGACAAGGGGTTCGATGCGGACGCGATCGAGGCGGCCCTCAACTCGGTGGAGTTTGCGCTGCGCGAGTTCAACACGGGCAGCTTCCCCAAGGGCCTCTCGCTCACACTGGCCATGCTCGAGGAGTGGGTCTACGACCTGGTCGGTGCAAACACACACGCACACGCAAACGCGCAGCCGCCGATGGAGGCACGGACACGTTGTGCGTGCGTGTGTCGGGCTGTCAGGATCCGTCTGATGCCGTCAAGTTTGAGAAGCCCTTGGCGCAGCTCAAGGCGGACCTCAAAGAGGGCAAACCGGTCTTCCAAAACCTCATTAAAAAGTCAGCAAGCTCGCTGCTCAGAAACACAGCAGGAGCCGAGAGTCACCTTTTGTTGTGGGTATGTGTGTTTGGTGCAGGTATCTGCTGGACAACAACCACCGTATGACGCTGCACATGACGCCCGACGAGGGTTTGGAGAAGAAGTGGCTCGAGGAGGAGAAGCAGAGGCTGGAGCGCATCAAGGACAAACTGACTGACGCAGATATGGACAGGGTCATTAAGGAAACCAAAGAACTCAAAGAGTTCCAGGTGGGCACCTCACACACATCGATGGACGCTCCCCCACGTTGGTGTGCACCTACCTGCATCTGTGTGGTGTTTGCGTCATGGATCAGGCAGCAGAGGACTCTCCTGAGGTGTTGGCGGCCATCCCCAAGATGAACCTGGAGGACATCGAGCGCAAAGCCGAGGTCATCCCAACCACCGTCACGCAGGAGAAGGACGTCAAGATCCTGCGCCACCCCCTGCCCACCAGCGGCGTCCTCTACGCCACCCTCGGCATCGATCTCCGCGACATGCCGGTCGAGGACATCCCCTACCTGCCCCTCTTCACGCGCATGCTCACGGAGAGCGGCACGAGCAAATATGACGAGGTGGGGTTCAGCCGCCGGATTGGGAGCAAGACGGGGGGCGTCGGTGCGTCGAGCACCATCACCAGCAAGAGGGCGCCGGATGGCGTCGTGGGCAACCCCATGGACGTCCTCAGCTACCTATTCATCACTGGCAAGGTGGGCAGACATCGCACACACACACTTACGCACACTCACACACATTGTCTCTTGGTTCCATCCAACCATTTGTCAGAGCGTGCCGGACAAGGTGGGTGACATGTTTGACATCATGAAGGACGTCCTCTACGACGCCAGGCTCGACAACAAGAGGCGAGCCACAGAGATACTCAAGGAGAGGAAGACGGCGCTCGAGTCGAGCATCATCGGCGCGGGACACAGATACGCGCTCCAGCGGGCAGCGGCGCAGTACACCCTCGCCGGCCGCATCAACGACATGACCGGTGGGCTGGGGCAGCTGGAGTTCGTCAGGGACCTTATCAAGCAGGTCAGTGCGGGAGAGAGTTTGAGAAGATGGCCCTTCTGCATGAGGCTGTCTCCGGTGGGTGTTCGAGTGCAGGTGGAGAGCGACTGGCCGTCGGTGCAGGCGCGTCTCGAGTCGATCCGCAAGTCACTCTTGCGGCGGGACCGTATGCTGCTCGACATCACGGCTGGCGACAACATCCTCTCGGCCGCACAGCCAAGCATCGACACCTTCCTCGACGCACTCCCGCCCTCACAAGCGACCGCAGGCGACTCGTCCAGTAGTGAGAAGCACCCCTGGTCGACGGCCATGTCGTCGGCTCTCTTGCCTGTGCGTGGCGAGGGCATCGAGGTGCCGACTCAGGTCAACTACGTGGCCAAGCTGTGCAAGGTGTATGACGAGGGCGAGAGGGTCCCGGGGGCGGCGTCTGTCGTCATGGAGCATTTGGATGTCGGCTACCTGTGGGACAACGTGCGGGTGCTCAATGGCGCGTATGGGGCCATGGCGGGCCTCGGCCAGCAGTCGGGCATTGTGCAGTTCGCCAGCTACAGGGACCCGCAGCTCATCAAGTCGATAGAGGTCTACGATAATGCCGTCAAGCACTTGCGCGAGGTAACAGTCTAACAAACCAAGACCCACACAAATGGCCAAGGCTGCCTGCATCCCTTGTGCTTATATGTGTGTGTGTCACTAGAATCCGCCCGATAAGGACGACATCACTCGTGCGGTGCTGGGGATATTCCGCAGCCTGGACGCGCCCAAGCAGCCGGACCAGAAGGGCCGCCAGGCCATGATGCAGCACCTGCAGGGCGAGACACAGGAGGAGCGACAGCGATATAGAGATGAGGTGAGAAATGGCCACCCACACCACACACCGCACACCACACACACAGATGGACATCTGTTTGGCTGTGTGTGTGTGGGTGTCAATCAGGTGTTAGCAACATCGCCTGAAGACTTCGGCAAGCTTGCCGACCGGCTAGAGAAGGTCATCCACGACGCCACGCGCAGTTCGGTGACGGTAGTTGGCTCGGTCAAGGCCATCGAGGAGGCCAACCCACAGCTGCCGGACCAGGTGAAGCTCACCACACTCAAGGTCTTCAGCAGCAAGGAGGAGGACCAGAAGCAGGCGGCCGAGCAGCCGGGCGTGACGGTCGAGACGGCATGATGATAGTAATGCTCATGCATCTTGTATGTGACGTACACGCACACGTGCATGCTGTGGTGTGGATGTGGCTGTGGCGTTTACAGGGAGTAGTGCATGTGTGTGACAGAGAGATGTGTGTGTATCGATATCGATAAGGCCATCCATGATGAGAGCTATCTGAGTTTTTGGATCGATCCATTATGTGTCAATCTGGTTTTGACATGTCTGTGTGTGTGAGTGAGAGTGTGCCGTGAGTGGCCTCAGGCCGTCCATGCCCACGGACAAGCGGAGCAGCTCATTACTTAACTTAACGGCTTGTGTACCACAGCAGCAAGTTGAGATTGACGAATGAGCCGTACAGACACGTACACGTACGTCTGTATCGGTTCCACAGGTATCCAAAGTTCAACACATACACGTTCAACACACACACACACGAGATAAACACACGCATCCATCCATCCATCCAGCCATGCACACGTGCACATATGCAGCTACATGCATCTGCATGAAGGTAGGTAAAAGAGCTAGACCAAAAGGTGTGTGGATGTCCATCCAGCTACGGCTATATAGCTACATCACACCCCTCACCCCTCACCCCTCCCCCCTGTCCCTCTCCCCCGTGTTGCGCCATCTGTCACTATCCCTCCTCCTCGGGTGCCTCTTCGATGACGGTGTCGTGCAGTGACGACCGCCGGTCCTTGGCGTGCTTGACGGGCTTCGGCTCCAACCACGCCTTCTCAGCCTCACGCAACTGCATCCATCCATCCATCCGTCCATTCATCCATCCATTGAAACATACACACACACGCATCTGGGGTGGTGTGTGTGTGTGTGTGTGTGCGTGTGCGTGCGTGTACCTTTGGTGTGCCCTGTCCGCAGGGGGCGGTGAGTTCGCTATGCTGCAGCCGCTGGCCGACGAAGCTGCAGAAGGTCTCCATCAGGTTGACGTCCTCCTCGTCAAACACACCTACACAACCACACACACAGTAGCACAGTTGCAACGCTGACGTCTCGATTGGTGTTGTGTGTGGTGTACCTATGGTTTTGTTGTTTTCGCTGAGCCAGTGGAACGCGCCCAGGATGCCCTCCTCCTCACGGTTGATCATCTGGATCACACCCAACACCGCACCCCTGTCACACACAACACACACCACACACGTGAGACCAGCGCACAAATCCCCCGTCCGTCCCATCTCTTGCTGACCGCTCGTCCTTGATGGGCAGGCACAGCACCGACTTGGTGCGGAACCTGTCGCCTGATCGATGGACCGATGAATGGATAAGGAAGGCGATGGGTCAAGTGTGCGTCCATCCATATCTGTCAGCAGCAGTCTCACCGCCGCTCTTGTCGATGGATTGGTCGAACCGCTCGTCCTCGTACGCGTCGGGCACATTGACGATCTCACCACACTTGGCACACGCACCTGTCGATGGATGGGACACACACACATCACACGCGCACAAACCAAGATGGCGCACAATCAGTCGGTTGGCGCATTTTTCTCTCCTTACCTGCGAGTCCCTGCTCTCTGCCGATGCGGATCTCCTGCACATGTGTGTGAGAGAGAGATGAAAGACCGGCCCACAGATACGTATATGGGATGCAGGTGTGTCTGTTGCGAACCTGTCCGGTGTCTGTGGCGACCGTCCATAGGGCGTCGTTGGGCTGGTCAAGCAGATACACACTGCTGCGCTGCGCCTGGTGAATCGATGGGAGGGATGGATGGATGGATGGATGGATGGCACACAACACACACACACGCAGCAGAACACAATACGACGGTCAGCCCATGTGTGTTGTTGTGTGGTGCACTCTGACGTTGACGAGGCGTTTCGCGCATGTGGTGATGGAGATGATGACCGACTGAGTCCCTGCACACAACACAAGACAACACACATGGATCCATGTGTCCGTCTCCCCAGCACCACTGCATTCGGTGTGTGTGTACCTAGGTCAGGTTTGAGCGAGTTGATGACTTCGAGAAGGGCTCTGGACTGCAGCTCACGCTGCTCAACCACACGGTACATCTGCACCCAGCCACACAAAATGATATGACAACACGTCAGCGAATGAGATGTGTCAAGCTGACCTCGGCGTTGCGCACTTTGATTTGGAGCCACGACGCAACACAAACAACACAGCACGATGCACGTCGGTAGGGAATCTCTCTCTCGTGTGTGTGTGTGTGTGTGTGTGTGCACCAGCGATGCCGGCATATTGTGCGAGGTTCTCGAGTAGTAGTTCGTCGAGCGATGTGAAGGCCTGGTCCTCCCCCTCGCCGCCCAGCTTGTTGATGGCCTGCAGCACGCCGATCGTCTTGGCGTCGCCCTCGGTGGCAGAATACTCCATCACAGGCACTGCCAGGATGCTCTTGGTCTTGAAATCTACACAGTGGGGCCACGTAATGCAATGCGTATGTGAAAAATGAACACGTGAGCTTCCGGGGGCACAGCCGTGCAACTACCTGTTTCTTTGTCATGGCTCTGGTCGAATCGCGGGTCCTCGTATGCATCCCTACACACACTCAGGACACATAATGCGACATGCATCAAGACACACTGGCTGCGACTGTGTGCGATGTGTGCCTACGGTATGCGCAGCGGTTCCCCCTCTTTGAAGACTGTGCCGGCAATGCCCTCGCCAGGCACCACACGGATCAAACTCGACTGCACCAAACACATAAAAGGCACGTGGGCAAACAAAGGCCTCCCTCTGTGTGTGTGTGTGTACCTGTTTGCCGACGCTCTGAAGGACAAGAAGCGCGTTCAGCCGGCCATCAAAGGTGAAAAGGGTGGCTCTGTGTGTGGTGAGGCAACGACAGACATCATCATTAGGCAAACCTGGTCCGGCTCTCCCTTCTGTTTGCTGTTTGCTTACCGTTCGCATCTGAGTAGGCTGCAGGTCTCTCTGATGATGGCCTTGATGGTGTCCTGGGGCCTGATGTGCGAGTTGATCGCCTGCACCGCACACAGCCATGGTGGGGGGCATGGACACCACACGCCATGATAAGGATAAGTCCGTCGATTCACGTGTGGGTACCTTTGCTGAGTCGAAGAATGCTTTGAGGTACGCGGGCGGCACAGCCATGATCGAACGCGACTTGGACCCAGAGGACCTCCCCGCTGCATCCACACACACACACATGCAAGCCAACCGACGGATCAAGAGGAAAGAAAAAGTGCGCGTGAGCTGCATGTGATTTGTGTGTCTGTCCGCCTGAGCATTTGTGGCTGTGTCGCCCACCCTGCTTTTCATTCTCCAGTAGGTGGGCACAGTAGGAATGCGCGTGCTGCACGGGGTTGTCAGGCAACTCCCTGCAGGCAGGCAGGACACACAGGACGGACACACAGACGGACAGACGGATGCGTTGGTCATTCTGAATCTCGGTGCACAGGGGTGTGTGTGTGTGTGTTTACTTCAAGAGGGACTCGGTCAGCCCCTCCAGGAAGGCCGTCAGCTGAGCAACCGAATCAGCCGTGCAGCAACAACACACACATACACATGCATGCCAGCGGCTGCGATCGTTTGGCCTGTCTGTCTGCTCTGCCCACCACCTTCTGCTCGAGGTATCTTGCCTTTTCCTCTTCCATGGCTGCTCACTGACCGACAGACGCAGATCTCCTCCAGTCGAAACGCAGCCCGGCGGCGCGAGCGAGGCTGTCCGCCGGAAGAGAATACAACACGCCTCAGGCGGCTCACAAGAACGGTATCCTCATCGCGGGAGCGGGAGAACCCTTACTTTTCTCCTCTTCCAGCTCGCAACCGGTCGATCCCCCTTGAGCTTTTTCAACAGTTTGGGTGCTTGTGCGGCCTTCCAGAGGGCAGCAGGAGCCTCAGCAGACATAAACTGATGGTTGGAACTCATCGCTGAGGCCTTTCGAAAGGCCTCACGGCGGCTCTCACGGTGAGTCGAGCAGGACAATAAGAGAGCGGAAATGCCGGATGACTGATCAATCACGAGGTGTTCTGTGTTCGGTTTGTCTGACAAACAGGCCGGTAGCATGAAATGGCCGCAGCAGAGAGGTACGCCCGACTCCCACACACAACAGACAACAGATGCCCTCAAAGGTGTGCTGTGATGTCTGTGATGTGTTGCAGCCGTGTTGGTGGACGGCATGGTCAAGAGAGCAGCGTCGATGGGCTGCCGCGACGCGACCGTCATGCGGGCGGTGCGGCTGCTGGACGTCTGCCACGCAGACAGACTCATCGACCCGAACAACGCCACACAGGCAAAGAGATCTGAATGACAGACAGTGAGGACTCATGGGATGTGTGTGTCACTTGGCTGGCTGCTGACACACAGGTAGCAGATGCGTGTGTGGCCGCCTGCGTCGAGCGGCTGGAGCCACACCTGCTGATGGACGACATGCCGGATGACCCCACACACACACAGGCATTGAAACACAGACACAGACACACACCTGTGCAGCGCCGACCTGCCTGCCTGCCTGTCTGTCTGTCTGTCTGTCTGTCTGGCTCTGTGTGTGCAGGTGGTGGGTCGTGCGGTGGCTGATAGTTCTGTGTGCGGCATTGGGTGTGTAGAGAAGCTATTCACCGCTGCCGGCATGGACACCCACGGCCGCCTGTTCTCATTCGCCAAATACCTCATGGTCAGTGGGTCCGCCAGCCACACACAGACACCTCCAGCCATCGAATGACTTATCCCTCTCTGTCTGTGCCTTTCTGGTGTGTGCAGTTCTTGTCGCTGTATGACATCGATTTGGGCGGGTGCGATGTCCGTCTGCTGGCCGCCACGGCCGTCTACATCACACGCAAGACCAACCAGAAGCAGATAGCGGGCCGCATTTGGGTGAGCCAAAGCCACACATGTCCTGATGTGTCTATGGCCTGTGTGGCTTTGTTTGTCCGATTGTTCATTGTCAGAGTGCGGCCCTTGTGGCTGAGAGTTCGGTTAGGGAGTCGGCGCTGCAGTCGAGCATGACGACGTTGAGGATGCAGCGGCTCATGTGGGGCGACACACACACCACCAAAGGGGTGAGCATGGCAGAAGACCAGTAGAATCGCCAACAGAGCGCCGTGTTGATGTCGTTGTGCGTCGTTTGTGTGGTGTGCATGCAGGTAGTGACCGATGCAGTAGACGAGTTGTTCGCCTCGCCCGACCGCCACGGCGTCGCATCGACCCGCAGCCACGCACAACAAGAGCAGCAGCAGCATTGTCAGGTGGGTATGACACAACCGACCGCCATGTACCAGATGTGCCTTGTGTGTGTAACGATCTGCATTGTTACGTGTGTGTGCGGTCTGCAGGGGGGCAGCCAGGAGCACCCCCTCGCCCACCTCTTCGCCGAAGACCGCTGCCGCATCCCCGACATCAGCACCACACTGCAGCTGAGGGCAGCCGCACGAGACATCAGAGACGCCTTCTCGTCAGACCAGCTGCGCAGCCGACTGGACCACTCACTGAGCCGTGATGGCGACGGCATCAACACCCCACAGCTGCAGCTGCTGCGGTTCGACCCATCGCTGTGTGTGAGCGACCTCATGGCGGCGGCGTGCATAGCCGAGGAGCCAGGAGCGCGGCGGAAGTGGAAAGAGACGGGGGAGACCCTGCAGTGGGCCAGCCAGTGCCGCTACTGCACGCTGCCCCTCATGCTCACCAGTGCTGACATCAACACACACGCCAACAAGACGGTAGGGCACACACAGGGCGGAAGGGAGAGGACATAGAGGCCTCGTTCACTCTTCTCTCTCTCTGTGTGTGTGGCGTCGTGTAGGCGTATGCATCGTTCCCCCGTGTGTTGGCGCAGCTCATGGTGGTCGGCCGCCACGTGGACTTCGGTGAAAACGGCAGCTGCCTGCGGATCGTTCGCCACGGCAATGGTGAGGTGCGGGCCATCAAGGACGAGCCCGGCTTCCGACTCGACTTCAATCCGCCCCTCCCCCCCGGCAATCTGTATCAGCAGCACCGACAGCAGCATGACCCACCAGTGGTCAGCCGCATCTGCTACCGGGGCGGCATCAACTACCGGAGCGACATCAGCCAATGGGTGTCGGGCTTCCCGTCCACCGATGCGTCATTGTCGTCGTTCGCCAAGCGCACAATCCTCCAACACTTCAGCTCGACTCACCAGACCAATAGCACAGTGAATGTGCTCAACAGGTAATACACCAATGGCCCAAGTGGCGAGAGGGGTGCGTGTTTGATTGGGTGTCTGTGTGTTTATGTGTGTGTGATTGGTTCAGGTACGTCGGTGGCGGCCGTCTGGATGGCCTCCTTACCCAGTCGCCCCATACACCGGTGGCCGGCTGCACTACCACACTCAGCCGTGAAGATGGCCCCGGCTGGCACGGTAGCATTTGTCGTGTGCGGTTCCTGGTGCTCACCGACAGCAGCCACCCCTTCATCGCATGGATTAGCCTTTTGGAATGGACGGACGGCACCGGTGAGGCCGACAGACAGGCAGCTCCGCTGGTGTCACGTGTTGTTCTCTCTCGTCCGTCTGCAGTGGACGTTCGTGTCGCGACGACCGAGGCACCTGTGGCTGATGCTGGTGGCGCCTTCAAGCATTGCTTCCCCGTGACCACTCTGCTGGCCCGTGTGGCGCTGGGGCGAGTGGCGCCGTACGTCATCGACAGACAAGTAGATGATGACAATGACGATGATAGCGGTGCGGACAGGGGAAGGGAGGGGACACCTCTATATGGTGGCCATGGATGGATGGATGGATGGATGGGTGGCATTTACTTGTCTGTCTGTCTTTGTGTTTGGTGTAGATTCCGACGGCCATGGCGGCTGGTGGGATGATATGGACGGCGACAGCGACGGAGAGGACAGCGGAGGTACACACGAGGGGAAGGGGAAGACAGCCCAGCCCACCGCAGATGCCCTTATGCCAATCCGCATCAGCCGAGGAGGACAACGACGAGGGTGACGGCGACAAGCATGACGACAGCGATAGTGGCGGCGGCCAAGGGCACACACGCAGACACCCCAGCCTGAGTGGGGGCGGGAAGAAGGCCGGCGGAGAGGGTGGGCAGTTAGGCGAGGAGAGGAATGCGTAGGGCTGTGTGTTGTGTTGAGGAGAAAGAAAGCGTCGCAGCCCGATCATGCTGTTTGTTCGTGGTCGTTTTTCTGTGGTGTGCGTGCCAGCGGGTGGGGTGGAAGCGAATGCACGTATTGTATTGACCCACAGAAATGAGTGCGCACACTCAGTCAAAAAGTCAAAGACCAGGCACAGACACACACGCACGTCTGCAAGTTCATTCATCCATCCATCCATCTATCCATCCACACACATCGGCCCACCCACAGACACACGCAGGCAGATGTGAGGGCAGATGTGAGGGCTACACACGGAGGGGAGAGGGAGGGACTCACCCACCCACCCATTCATCCACACACCCATTACATCAGAGGCATGGCACCAGCCGGTCACATCACAGAAGGATTCAAGTGTGTCTGTGGCGCACCAGTGAGTATTGAGATCGGTGGGTCTGTGTGTCAGTCACTCGGGCGATGCAGCGCCCTCAGCGCCGTCTTCGTGCTCCTCCTCAGCCGACGCACCCTCACCTGCCATCGACACACACACACACGGATATGAGGCGGGAGTGATGTGAGGGCGTGAGTGTTGTGTGCGCCTCTCTTCCTTTGCTGGTACCTCCGCTGCCGTCATCCATGTCGTCAGCATCGCCCTCTACACCACACACAAATGGCAGGTCCACCATACACTCAACCCACGTGTGTGTGTGTCCCTTCCCTCTCTCTGTCCGTACCATCGTCATCACTATCGTCGAACCCGGACCGGACTGCATCTCGCCAGGGCACCAGAACAGATCCACACAGGCACACATGAATGCGGTGCGGGTCGACATCAGAGGGTGTCTGGTGTGCTGTGTGTGTCTGGCTTCCTCAGTACCTCCGCCGCCCTCTTCCTCGACGTCGTCACTCTCATCCATATCGTCACTCTCATCGATACCGTCACCGTCTACACCACACACACAAGAAGGCCCATTCTTCTCCACTGTGTGTATCCTCTGTCTGTCTGTCCGTACCACCATCATCCTCATCCGCTGATGGATCGTATCGATGTGCTTGTTCGTCGAAGGCGAGCGCAACGCCTGGCCCCAGCGGCACCACACGAGCCAGCCCAGTGGTGACTGGGAAGCGGTCCTTGAAGGGCGCATCCTCACTCACACCAGCCGCAGGTGGCTCGGTCGTCACGACAAACACATCCACTGCAGACAGACGAGAGAGAACAACACATGACATGCGGCCGGCCGGCAGGACTGCCTGTCTGTCTGCCTTACCGTCATCGTTGTATCCCATGAGAATTTCCCCAATGTGAATCAACGCGACGAAGGGGTGGCTGCTGTCGGTCAGCACCAGCACCCGTTGCTTCGAGCCCAGTAGGCTCCAGCTCAGTGTCGTCGAGCATCCGGCGACTGGTGTGTGGGGCGATTGGGTGAGGAGGCCATCCAGACGGCCGCCACCAACATACCTGAATCAACCAGATACACACACACACACATACACGTACGCACACCCCTCTCGTCACTTGGGCCATTGGTGTATTACCTGTTGAGATATGTCGATGTGCCATTGGTCTGGCGAGTCGCGTTGGAGTGGAAGAAGATCATTTTCTTGGCGAACGACGACACCGACGCATAGGGGATCGGGAAAGAGCCCGACACCCATCTACTGGTGCCGCCAGAGTAGTAGATGCGGCTGACCACTGGTGGGTCATGCTGCTGTCGGTGCTGCTGATACAGATTGCCGGGGGGGAGGGGCGGATTGAAGTCGAGTCGGAAGCCGGGCTCGTCCTTGATGGCCCGCACCTCACCATTGCCGTGGCGAACGATCCGCAGGCAGCTGCCGTTTTCACCGAAGTCCACGTGGCGGCCGACCACCATGAGCTGCGCCAACACACGGGGGAACGATGCATACGCCTACACGACGCCACACACACAGAGAGAGAGAAGAACAAATGAGGCCTCTCAGTTCTCACCCGCCCCTCTGTGTGTGTGCCTTACCGTCTTGTTGGCGTGTGTGTTGATGTCATCTGCCGTGAGGATGACGGGCAGCGTGCAGTAGCGGCACTGCCCCGCCAGCTCAATCACCTCGCCGATCTCCACCCATTCTCCCTCCTCCATCACACACACAGCCGCCAGCAGATCACACACGCCGAAGTGGTCGTCGTCGAAGCGCACCAGCGGCACCTGCTACCCATTGACCACCCGCCGCAGCCCCGCCTGTGCGCTGAGCGAATGCCTGAGTCTCTGCCGCAGCTCAGTCACTCCGAAGAAGTCCCTCACCCATTTGCACGTGGCCCGCAGACGCACGATGTCGTCGATCTGGAGAAGAAAGAAGCTGCGCCGGCTGGCCGGGGAGGCTGCTGGGGGGACGCAGACATACCACACCGGGTGCTGCTGCTGCTGCTGCTGGTGGCTGCTGTGCTGCATGGGGGCCGTGAGGTCTGCCGAGAGTGAGCTGACGCCCTCTTGCTGCTGCTGTGTCGCTGCCGCACCAATCGAATCACCTGCAGGTACCAATAGCAGCCGATGCTTTGCGTACCTCCACTATGTCCACCAGCAGCAGCACTAATGTCTACGCGTCTACGCTTCGCGGCGCCGTCATCAGCAGACACCTGACCAGCGATCGACAACAATGAGTTTCTCTCTCTCTCTCTCTCTCTCTCTCTGTGTGTGTGTGTGTGTGTGTGTGTGTGTGTAGGCGTGTGTGGGTGTGGACTTGTGCGTACCGCTTCGCTATGCTCTTTGTTGTCGTCGGTCTCATTCGGTCCAACCGCACTGCCCGCCTCGACATCGACTTCCATCCGCTGACATCGACACACACACACAGACACACACATGGGAGTGACCGGCTTGTCTGTGCCACCCATCGGTCAGTGGAGCCTTACGCGTTTGTCGTGATAAGTGGGCGTCTGCGCCAGCTCATTGCTGAGGGCCAAGTTGTGCTGAACATCAAACAGCCGGCGCACCAAACAGCCGGCGACCAGCCAGGCGGGCAGCACAGTAAATGGCGTGGCGGCTCGACCTCCATATGTGTGTGTGTGTGTGTGTGTGTGTGTGTGAGTCACCCACCGATTGGATCTCCCCTACGACATCTCGTAAGCTACCATTGCCCCGCCCACCTGCACCACACACACCATCACCACACACACGCATGACAACTGTGTGCTATATTGCATTGCGTGCGTCATCGCCCACCTCTCGAGGGAGCCGGGGCGTCGTGGCTGCTCGTGTCCATCGGACGAACGCGATCGACCATCTGCACGAAGGAACAAACCACACAACGAGGTGGGATCTGTTCATCAGTGTGCCTATGCTCTCAGTTTGCCGACTCACTGCTTAGTGTGTGCAGCTGGAACTGACGTCGCCTATCGAGAAGCAGCCCGATTGATGCCGCCAATGCTCTGCTGCCGCCGCGCACGCGCAAGACCTCTCAGAGTCGTCACCGTGGGATCTGGCAGCACACACACCACGCACAGCCCCGCACAGGGAAAAGAGTGTGTTTCCTGTCGTTTCTGTGCGTCATGCATGGCTGCCTGCCTCCCTGTTTGCCCCTCAACTGGCCTCAACCAAGTGGGAAACGCTCGGCTCAACGAAGTGAATGGGTTGAGGGGTCTCTTGGTCTTACCGATGGTGACAAGAGGAGGGCGGGAGATGTCACACGGTAATGTAAGGAGGAATCAGATGTAAAAAGCAGTCTTGCACCACGCGAGCTTTGGCGAGAATTCCTGGCCGAAGAATCCTGAGTGCCATGGCGCGATTTTTTTCAGGTGCATCAATCTCATCCATCTGTGTCATCCGTCCATTCAATCATCTACACACACCGCCTCCAAGAACAGCGCCCTTTCCTTTCTGCACTCCCTCTCCGCGATTCAACCACGACAGACAGACAGACAAGGTGCCGGCCTCACTATCAATCACATAATGTGCTTGTACACCCCTCTCTTGATGTGGATGGCCAAATGTGTCTCTTCTCACGACATACAGTACGTGCCGTGACATCCGTCACATCACGTGTAAGATAAACAAACACCATGTTGCCTGCACACGAAACGCCAACAACGTACACACAACACATACACAGAGGAAAACCGGCAGCTGGACGACAAAACTCCGGCTGCAATCAATGCAATGCAGCCTCGCGAAAAAGACCGCCCGTGCGTGCGACCCAGTACACATGATGCTTACAAACTGCTAGGCACGCCACGCCTGGCCAACTCACGAAGACAGACAGATGTCTTACTAGTAAAGACAGACCCAGCTTATTGTACACATACGAAGGGATATGGGCACACGCATATACACACACGTCTTAAACATGACAGCCGCCCGTCGTGCTGCATACTGCCTCTGAGTCTCACTGCTTGAGTGCATAGCACAGCTGCGGCTCGGCAATGGTCGGCGGGTACAGCACCTGTATCTCGCACAGAGTGCGCACCTCCACCCCTGTGCAGAAGGGCTCGTTGGTGATGGTCGAGATGGCCCCGTATTCCCTGTTGAACCTGTTGCAGTACTCGAAGCAGTACTCGGCCGTGATGTTGGTCTGGGGGACGTCGAACAGCGAGAAGAACTGACCGACGGTGACCTTCCCGTCGACCTCCACACGACAGGCGCCACTGCCAACATACTCATACGGCTCTGAGAACGATGCACACACGTCAGATGCACGTGTGCATTGAGCCTGGTTGAATGTGCTGCCCTTCCTCACCTTCTCCCCCGACGAATCTGTAGCACTTCGAGAAGTCCATCCCGTTCGAGGTGACCGGCACGGTGTCGACGATGAAGGTGCACGATTGACTCAAGGGCGAATACTGAAAACCTGATCACAGCAAAGTGCACGGATGTACAACTACAGTACACGGACACAAAACCAATGATGGTCGTGTCATCCGTAGATGCGCACCGTAGCAGTTCCCTTCTTCAGGCGCCATGGGGGGCCTCTCTGCGCCGGGGGCTATCTGACGGCACAGCCTGCCCTGAAAGCACACACAAATACACAAGAGAATGCCCGTCGGTCGTTGGTTCCTTCCTCCTTCCACGTACGCATTCATCGATGTCTATGCCGACAGATTGCGCCTGGTGCCGAACGCCTCCCAAGCCAACCACTACGCCATCCTCATCGATAATGGGCGTCTCGGTGCTGCTGTCCTTGCCACTCGTGTCATTGGTGGGGTAACACAGGCCGCCACCGATGTACACGAAACCTGCATGGACAGAAAGGACCATACACGGGCACCCGACTCGTGCATGCCATGCCTGCATGGATGAAAATCTCACCGTGAGGAGCGGGCGGGATGTCCTGATCTGACACAGCTGAAGAACACAAGACAAACACACGCCTCCCGCGTTGGATTTTGCCATTCTTCCATCCATCCAGGGGGTACAGATCTGCTGCGCGGCCTCTGCCACACGTTGTCTGAAATGCGTACCGCCGTCCTCTCCGCCACACGCGAATGGCAGCGCTGACAGGCAGGCAAGTAGGAGAGGGATGACAGTGTGCATCTTGTGGCTTGTCTGCAACGAACACGGGCGCGACGCACGGAAAAGAGAAGGCGAGCTCAAAACCATCCCTGGTTTAGCTCGCAGACGGGAGAAAAGGGGCGAAGGGAGGGGAGGAGGTACACAGCCCGTCACGCAGTTCATCAATTGAGTGAAAGATCTACCCATCTCTCCGCTCTGTGTGTGTTGCATGGTTGGTCGCAGATCACACGAAGGACTCATGCTATGAGGCTCCTTCTCCAGCTGCTGCTCCTATGTGACGCCGTTCGATGGGCCATCAGCTCCCAATGCGCCTTCTCGGCCGCCCCTGCACAGCTGCCAAAGGTAACAGGTTGCATCCTTACACACTGACAGGCATGGCATGGCAAGGGCTGCATATCGAAAAGAATTGTGTGTGCCTGCATTTTCAGGTGCTGATCACTGGTGCGTCTGGGCGGACAGGCCATCTGATCTTCAAGCGGCTGCAGCGGGAGCCTCACATCTTCCGCCCCGTCGCAATGGTGCGCTCCAAAGGGGCGGCGAGGCGGTTGAAGAAGGCTGGGGCGGCTGAAGACCAAGTCTTTGTGGCGGATGTGAGGGACCATGGGCAGGTCTATGAGTCCCTGGCGTCATCGCAGTGTCAGTACATGATTATCTGTTCGGGGGCGGTGATTGTGCCGACGAGGCGGTTTCTCCTGAGGCGGCTGGTGGCTCGGCTGTTCTCGAGGAGAGGGCAGAAGCCGCCGTCAGAGTGGAGATATAAAAGAGGACAGGCACCCAGGTGTGCGGGCGGCAGGGGCGGACGGAGGCGCTGCGTAGTGTCGTACATTTGTGAGGCGTGTTGTGTGTGTTGTGTGTGTTGTGTGTGTGTGTGTGTGTGTGTGTGCAGGGAGGTCGATTGGCTGGGGACAAAGAACCTTATTGACAGCGCCAAGAGAGTGGGTGTGGAGCATGTGGTTCTCTGCAGCACCATGGGAACCTCTTGCAGGTACGCCACATCCTCCTCCCAACACGCACACCATTCACCCCCTGTCTGTCCGTCTGTCTGTCTGTCTATCTGTTTGTTGGGGCCTCAGCGTCTACCTGAACGACCCCCAAAACGAGCTCAATCGCGTTGGCCGCAAGCGCGACGGCACAGGCGGCGACATACTGTGGTGGAAGAGGAAGGCCGAGGAGTACGTGATTGCGTCCGGCCTTACCTACACCATCTGCCACCCAGGCTCTCTTGTAGACTCACCCGGCGGCCGTCGTGAGCTGGTGTGGGGTGTGAATGATGACCTGTTGCGGCAGCGGAGAGCTGAGGGAGGGGGAGAGAGGGTGACTGTGTCGGTGTCCAGACCTGACCTTGCCGAGGTGGGTGGGTGGGCGACGAGGGCCAAATGGGTGATGTGCGCGTATGGTGCGTTCACTCAGGTGTTGGTTCAGAGCTTGGTATGTGATGCGGCCAAGAACCGGAATTTCGACCTCGGCAGCAGGGATGAGGGGCAGGGCACCCCAACCAATGACTTTGACGCGTTCTTCAGGCATACCCAAACACACCACACAACACAGCCGTGTGTCTGCACTTCTGACCTCTGCCTCGTGTGTGTGTGTGGTTTTGTTATCAGGTCTCATTCGAGTGACACAGACTATAGTGCTGGCCCTGTGGACGAAGCGAGAGCGCCCCCAGGGTACTATGCCGAGCAGACGGCAGTCGCTGCGTGAGGATGGATGGATGGATGGTGCGATAGTGTGGATGTTTGTTCGGGGTGACGGCCGTTGTGTACCATACATACGTGTGATGGCTGTATTGAATCGCCATGGATATCCCTTTGTCTCCGTGTGTCGCTTCTCTCCATGTAAATCGGTCCGCGTGTGTCGCCCCCACTCCCTCCCTCACTCCACATGCACACGAACACATAAACGTACTGCCTCTCTCCCCCCCTCTCAGTCGCGTCCCGTCAAAATCCCCCCACCCCCCCCACCCACCTCTCAACCAGTCAACCACTCACGCACAATACAAAACGGCCCTTCGCCCCGTGCAGACCCCTCCTGTGTGTAAGTGCGATGGTGCGATCTGTCAGCCACCCGTGAAGGTATCTATAGACCGGCAGTGTTTCTGCCACGGCTTGGTCGTGCTGTTGACGCCACGCACGCACACAACTCGCTCTGTCTGTCTGTCTGTCTGTCTATCTGTCTGCCCCACCCCCGGCGATCGGTATACATGTGTGTATGTATGTGTGAGTGTATGTATGTGTGAATTTGCGCATATATGAATTACCGCCCATCGATGGGGCAGACCTTCTTTCTCGGCAGGCCTAGCTACCAGCCTTGCTACCCTGCACCTGTCCTGTGCGCGCCACTTTCCCTTCCTCCTTCACCCCACCCCACCCCATCCCACCTCACCTGTCTGTCTGTCTGTCCACACCCACGTGCTGACAAGCACGCCAGAAAAATGGCTCACGTCCACAGACAGGCAGGCAGGCAGGCAGGCATGGCGACACGAATGTGTGTGTATGTGTGCATGAATCAGTGTTCGTGTTGGGTGGTTGGTTGGATTGCGTGTGTGGGTGTCATGTCATGTAGGCTGGATGGATCGATCACAGCGCAGCAAGGACGGCAGGCCAGGCCCACCAGGAACGGCAAAAAGGACGAGAAAGAGGGGGAGAAATAACCCTCATCACCCGCCCGTCCGACCGCACATGCACCAACACGCACCAACAACCCCAGTCACATCTCACACTGTCACTTCGACGTGCGTGCACAGTAGTGCATCAACACCAGGCAGGGTGAAAAAGCGACCTGTCGGGACAAAAACACTGAGTGCAAAAGGTCGAGTGGCCGCAACAGAACAAACACCAAACCAAACCGAACCAAGCCGAACCAAACCGAACCAGCCCAAAACACCGCCCCCGGCAACAGAAACAGAGACATGCACATGAGGACGTCCTACACACATGCTCACACATGAACAAACAATCCTCCTTCTCAAAGATAATTGAAGAAGCTGGCAGAACTTCATCAGAGTCGGGAAAAGGTCAGATCAGGGACAGACAGACAGACAGACAGTGAGGCAGGCAGACAGGCAGATGTGGGCAGAAAGCATCCACGGGGGGCACAAAACTCACGCCGAAAAAGTCTCCCTCTTTCCCTCTCTGTATGTATGTATCATACACACACAAAACAGGCATTCAGATCTACACCGCCTCATTCGGTCACTCACTCGCACGTCCTCTCTTGCAAAACACACAACACACACGCACACGGAAACACGCACACATGAATGATGCGACCCACCTTATCGGATCGGTCTCATCTTTCTCAGAAAAAGGCCCTACACGTCCCTCTCCCCTCCCAAACGCCTTAGTTGGTCATGCATCGTTAAAACACTCCCGCCCAATACCGCCCCCCCGCCCCCTCGGCCTCAGAGGTGTATGGCGGCCATGGCGACGGCCTGCTCGTCTGTGTGGGAGATGGACACCCTGATCTGCTTGGTGGGGTGTGTGACGCCCATCGTCTTGGCCACCTCGGCCGCACGGCCGTAGAGCGACACCAACGGTACGCCGTGGGACGCGCTGCTCAGAGACAGCACTTCGATGTCCACCAAACTCGCACCTGCAACACAGACAGACACACAGATGTTTGGGGCGCATTCTGATGATGTGTGTGGGGTTTGTGTGTACTTGGGTCGAGTGTGACATTCACAGGGGGTGATTTGGTTTCTCCGAGGTTGCCCATGGCCTTGACGATGGCCTCCTTGGCGCACCACCGACCCGCCAGACGAACAGCAGCCCGCACACTGTTGGTTGTCATTGATCCCTGCTGCTGCTGGGGCTGTCCGAAGGCCTCGGCCCTCTCCTTTGCCGTGAAGTTGCGCGTAATGAAGTCGCTGCGCTCTGAGTGCTGGGCGAAGGTCGAGACGGGCTCGACGTCCACACCCACATAGCAGCCCGTGGTGGCCAGCGCGCCACTGTGCGAGTCGACATGCAGACTGACCACACACACATGACACCGCAACAGCCCACAATGAGGGCCATCGTGTGTGTGGGCCGGGTGGATGGGTGAGGGTACCTGCTGTCTTGTTTGAGGAGCTGCTGTGCGTTGAAGACGTCTGTGGCGAGCTTCTTGATGGTCTGCTCGAGCGACGGCTGCCCTTCGGCGATGTGCGTGGGTGACGACTTGGCGGGGTCGATGGCATACCGATGCGTCAGGGGCTGGACACTCGCCCTGGCCGAGGGATTGAGGAGGGTCTCCATCGTCGCATCTGGCGAGTAGGGGGGCGATGTCTTGACTGCACATCCACACACAGACAGACACAGAGAGGGAGGGAGAAAGGTGTGTGTGTCTGTGCGTGGATGTGGGTGCGGGCGTAGGGCCTCCTGTTACCTTGAATGAGTTTCTGTCTGTCGGCGAGAGTCTCGTAAAGGAACTGCGAGGCCTTCTGCTGCCTGACTGCCCGCTTGGCCGAGTACGCCGTGCACTTGGACGTGCCCGCAGACGCCCACAGGTAGTCTGCACAACCACATGACCACATAAGCAGGCCAATTGTGTGTGTGTGGTGGGTGGTGTGTGCCCCTACCGGGGTGAATGATGAGTATCTCCGTGTTGGCCTGGCCAAAACCGAACGAGTGGGCCATGGCGGCCTTGAGCGGCCGCCCGACGTCGATGAGCCGATGGGAGTAGAGGATGCCGTCGTAGGCTTGGTCGCACAGGGCGCTGTCGACGTTGTCTGCGTTGCGCTGGGGGGGCAGCAGCCCGGTGTGCATGGCCTGGATGAGGCCGTTGACCATCCATCCACACGCCGCGCCCTTGGGGTGGCCCGTCAGCCACTTCTGCCAGATCGTGAAGAGCGGATGACCTATACCACACACACAGACAAAGGGAGAGGGAGAGAGAGAGAGTGAAGATGGCCGTCACCCAACACCCACACACACACGCACACGCCCCCACGCACCCTTCTTGCGTCCGAGGTGCTCCAGCTGTCTGTTGAGCACTTGGCTCTCGTTCTTGTCATTGAGCTGTGTGGACGTGCCGTGCATCGAACAGACGTCGAGGTCGTCGATGGTCAGGCCATAGGCGTGCAGGGCGCCCCTCAGCGGCGCGATGGCCTCCTCGCCCTTCCAGAATTCGCTGCCCCAGTACTGCCGCGCGCGCTGACACTTGGCCTCACACAAGCGGTCGATGACGCCTTCGGGTGCGGTGCCCTCTGACACCTTCCTCGCACGCCAATCGGCGATCTGAACACCCACCCACGCAGAGGAATTGGACCGCCTCTGAGTCTGTGTGTGGTTAAGTGAGGGAGTGGGCGCATGCCTGTTGCATTTCGTCTTTGAGTGCCTCCTTGCGGTAGTTGAGCTCAAGCAGTGGGTGTGGCACGTGGGAGCCCGACGGCGGGTGGTACTCCCGGGCGGTGCACAGGATGCCCTGGCCTGTACGAACGCACACATACACACACACACACACACACGCTCCACACACGCTCCGTTGTTTGCGGCCGACAACGGCGGCCGGAAGCAGGCACTCGAGGCACATCGTGTGGCCGCATGGCTGCAACGTGTACGGCAGGAGGTACCTGGCGCGGGCACCGACCGACCCTCCCTGTCTGTCGCCGTCTCAGCACCACCAACAACCGCTGATGTCACCACACGCACAGAGAGAGACAAAGAGAGTCCTCTGCGTGTATGTGTTTAGGTCTCGTCTGTCTCTCTCACCATAGATGGGTAGTCCCATTTTGATTGCGAGTTCGGCGGTGGTGATGATGTGTATGGCGGCGCCGCAGGACTCCACAAAGCCGCCGCGGGTCGAAGTGAACGGCCGCGACGCCTCTGACGGCCGCCTGCCGGCAGTAACCTCCAGCGTCGAGTCATTCGTCGCCTTCATGCTCGCAAACCTGTCCCAAGCCAAGACACACACACAGAAATGATGCAGCAAGATCAGGTGTATGGTGTTCGTTCCCCAGAGTGGGGCTTACTCGAAGGATCCCTCCTCGGTGAAGTCCTCAGTGCCTCCCGTGATCATGACCTGCGCCTTGCCGCTGCGGATGGTCTCCACGCCTAGCTCCACAGACAGGCCCGCCGTGGCGCACGCGGCAGCACATGGCTTGACGGGGCCGGCAGAGCTGACGAGCAGCATGTTGAGCCACGCCGCTGGGGTGTTGACAAAGGTCTCCTGGAGAGCATCGCCGTTCACCTGCCGACAGGACAACAGACATGAGGAGAGGGGGGTTGTGGTGGGCGTCTTCGAAGGGTCAGAGGATGAGGGGCGTACGTCGTTTTCAAGCCATCGCTCCCTGAAGATGTCCCTGAGGGACGCCTGGCCGCCCATGCCGCTGCCCAGGGATGTGCCCACCTCACTGATGCCAACGTGCTCGTACAACTCATACGGATCCAGCAGACCGGCGCTTGTGAGCGCCTCTGCGAATGCGACGCACGCCCACTGTGTGACGCGGTCGACACGGGTGCTGAGGTCCTTGGGGAAGCCGAAGGACACCGGGTCGAACCCATTGGGCAGCTGACCACCAACCTGAGAGACACACAGAGAAGGAAAGAGGCACGTGTGTGGCGCGTGTATGTGCTCAGTGGCGATGTGTGCCCCCGCACCCTTCGCGAGAAGGGCATCGCCTTTGGCACATAGATCTTGGCCCCCTCCTTGAGCTTCACCCGCACGCTGCCATCGGGCATGTCCACCACATCCACTCTGTGGCCATGGTACTTGCTGAACCACTCGGCCTCCTCCCTGCTGGTCACCTCAAACGGCTCCATCTCTCCCTCGAGCGCCCGCTCGCTGATGAACATCTTCTCGGTGGGGACGTAGGTGCCTCTGAACCACACCGGGTCGATAGGGCGGAGGCCGCAGTGCTGCAGCAGCTGGGAGTGGTAGGTGGGGAGGATGTCCTTCTCGCTAACGGGCTGGCTCGTCGACGAGTCAATCCACCCTGTGTAGGGCCGATTGGATAAAGTCGCCAGAGGCCCTGCACACACAGAGAAACGGTGTGTGGTGTGGTGTGGTGTGGTGTGGGTATGGTTGCTGGTGTGGCTGACCGGTGTGGTACTTGATGAGATTCATCCATCTGGCGAGTTCCAGCGCCCCCTCGATGGTCAGCTTCCCAAAGGCCTCCATCTCCCAGCGCGTCCGGGACGATCCCCACGGGCCCACCTCGCCGAAACCTACTATCACCACCTGATGACACACAACACAACACAAACCCAGCACACAGACAGACAGACAGACAGACAGATGACCGCACCGCATGTGTGCTCGTCTCGTCCGCTCTTCACGTGCCTGTGATTTCAGGTCAAGCATGCCGGTGAGGTCGGGGAGGCTCTGCAGGCGCCGCTTGGTGGGCAGCTCGGGGAAGTCCACACGGATGTCTGCCTGGCGGCCGTCGACCGCCACCATGGCTGCCTCCTTGCCGCTCTCCTGTGCAGTGACCTCCCTGTCCTTGATGGCGTCCTGGTGGATGGCCTTGCGGATGCCCGCGTCCTTCATGATGCGCGCACGGATCGCCGCGGCCTGCACACACACGCACACATAAAGACAGCGACAACACACACATAGGGAGGCAGTGGCGTGACTTTTTTTTGTGGTTTGTTCGTACGGGAATGCCTTTGGCGCCCATCCTGAAGCCGCCGGTGAGGTCGGCCCGCAGGGGGTGGGTGCGGGCGGCCTCGACGAGCCGGGGATGGCACAAAACCAGCAGAGTGAAACCCATCTCCATCTGGGCAAACGTCTGCACATATATACGCAGACAGACAAGACAGCAGCGCGTCACAGGAGTGTCCATGGCAAGGGGGAGAGGGGGCGGGTGACTGACCCTCATGCCAATGTCTTTTTCGATGTCGGGTGCGACCATGTCGTTGTGGGACATGACGCCCGTGCCGCGGACCCATCCCATCTCCGCACCCACTATCGACACGCGATCCTGCCAGCCCTCACTGCACACACACACACACACACGGACACACAAGGGAAAGATGGTAGGTAGGTGCAGGTGTGCGCCGCCGTGCCGTGTTCGTTCGTCGACCCTCACCTCTTCCACTTTGCAAACAGGGTCTCGAGGCCGATCTTGCTCTCGCCATACAGACCATCCCCACCAAACAGACCCTTGTTGGGACTGACAGACAGACAGCACACACCCCAACAGCAGATACATATCCATCCACACCATAGTTCCAAGCAGCTCACCTGAGTGGCAAGATGACATGGCAGGGCGGCACGCCCCTGGGGTTTTTCTCCATGATGCGGCCGATGCAGCGGTGGACGTTGGTGAGCATCAGGCGGTGGGCCGCCTCGGACCGGTCGTCGATCATCTGGATGGTCCGGCCCGTCTCGGGGATGGCCGCGAAGGGCACAAACAGGTCGAGGTGGGGGATGGACGGAGCCGAGGAAGCGTGATTCAGCTGACCAGTGAAGACAGGCACAGGAGAGGGAGGGACAGGGAGAGGGAGAGGTCACACACGCATGCATCGGCGTCAGTGTTTTGGTGCTGTGGGTTCTTACAGGGAGGGGTTGGAGGCTTGGCAGGACGGCGTCGAAGACGTGGTCGATGACGCGACTGCAGTCGATGGCCGACATCCCGTTCATCGGCACCACCACACAGCTGCTGCCGTTGCTTCCACACGACTGACCCAGACACACACACACACACACACACACGTGTGTGGACGTGGACAAATTCCCCAGCCATCAGACAGACACCCACTGACCTGATAAAGGTCCTTGAAGACTTCGTACGAGCAGATGGATCCCTCCTCAGGGAATGCGGTGCACACGATGACCCTGGCGCCGCCCATCAGCAGCCCTCTGATGACCTCAAAGGCGATGTTGCCCACGGCAGCACCCGTCACAAGCGCCACCTTGCCGTAGAAAGACAGCCCGTCGTCGGCCGTTGTGGTCATGGCCTCAGAGAATATGGCGTCCAGCTGGTGGTTCTCAGGCAGCCGCTGCCCGGGCAGGGCGCGGTTGAGGCCGAAGCAGCGGTTTCTAGTCTCTTCTGTCGACCTACATCCATCCATCCATCCATCCACATCAGCAGAATGACCGTCCGATGTCTCTCTCACCCATCCCCCCGCCCATTTGCTCACTCACTTGTTGAACATCTCAAGAGCGAATCCCGAGAAGCCCTCATGCTTGTCGTGCCTCTTCCTCGGGTTCTTGGCCAGCGACACCGTCCCGTCGTCCGTTATCTCGATGGCCGGCACACGAGGCTCGCGCGTCTCCAGCCACACCGGCGGCCGGTTCAGCCCCTTAATGGCAGCCTGGGCCAGAATGCGGGCCCTCTCAGCCTTGCCCTTGTCTGCCTTGTCTGTCTGCGCCAGGAGTGCGGCCTGCGTCTCGAGGAGGGTGCACAGGGAGGGGGAGGAGGTGTTGGCCACCTTCTGGGTGAGCAGGGTGAGGTCTGGGTCCTGGGGCGAGAGCAGCTTGGGGCAGTGGATGGCCGTCATGGCGTCCACACGAACCCACGCCCATGAGGAGTCGTATGTGCGGACCTGACAAACACCACACATACCAATTCCAGACAACATTGGACACATCCCTTCCTCTCTGGCTCACCTTCGGTGGCTTGAACATGGGTTTGATCATGCTCAGGTACCTCGGGCCGTGCTCGTCGAAGACGTACGATGGCGCGACTCCCTGCTCCAGCCTCTCCAGGTCGGTGAGTGCGCTGGTGATCAGCTGCTCCTCCTCGAAGGATGGCGACGGGTCGGTGTACTGCCGCAGGGCGTCGATGGACCTGCGCAGGGCCGACTTGAGGTCGTCGAGCGCCGCGGCATCAATCACGGCCACACTCGCAGACCCTAACACGACACGAGAAACACCAGTGCGCGTGGGTGAATTTGTCCTTTCGGTGTTCGGGTGTGTGCGTGCGGACTCTCCCACCCACCCACTTACCAGCGCCGGTCCCAGCCCCCATGGCGGCTCCGCCCGCAGGCATAGCAACTCCCCTAAGGTCTGCATACTTCTCAGCCATGCTCCGCAGCCACGACCGGCCCTCGCCCTCCCCGCCAAACTTGCTGCTTGGCTCGTGAGCCACGGCGTGCACCAGCACCCCATTCTGGAAGTTCTCGCCCAGACCCATTCCCGCCAGACAGGCCCTGGCCTTGGACACGGTCGAGAGCGGCGCCGGCATGATCTTGGTGAGCATGCGGGAGGTCAGGTTGGTAAGTATCTTGCCCGGCTGGGTGTAGCCCGCACCCAGGTCTCGCGCCAGCGTCTCGAGAGACTTGTCGGAGGCGCCCTCGGGCTCGCTGCCGAACTCGGTGGAGAGGTCGCCGACCACCTCGTTCTGCAGAGCCGACTTGCCGCCACAGAGGGCACGGATGGTGGCAGTGGGAGGCACCTCATCGAGCGTCAGATGCAGCCTTGTGGCCAGGAGGGACCGCAACGCGTGCAGCGCGTCCATGGGCACGTCAACCACCTCCCCGACAGGCATGATGCCCACCTGTGGAGCACTGGCCACAGGCGAGCCTTCGCCCCTCTGCGGGCTCTCCATCCTCTCACTCTCGCTCCCGCCACCGACGGTGGTGTCGATGGCCGACAGTTGTGCCGCCTCGCTGGGGCTCGGCCCGCCGTCATCGATGATCTCGTCCTCGTCGATGGACGTGTCGTGGCAGTAGATGGTGTCGCGGTCCTTGGTGATCCACAAGGTAGTCGCCAGGGGGTTGGCCTGCTGCAGGGGACGGGCCAGCCGCACCAGCACCGGGGCGGGGCCTATTTCGATGATCTGCAGAGGGCCGCTGGGCGAGTGCTCGCCTACGCCGGACATGGTCTTGATCCACTGACTGCAGGCAAGCAGCATAGGAGAGCCGAGAATGCGCACATATATGTTGGTCATCCATTTATCGGTTGCTGCTTACACAGGTGATGCGAACTGCCACGAGAGCAGGCAGATGAGCAGCTTCTTGGTCATGGCCCGCTCGTCCTCCTTCCACTCGTCGAATTTGTCCAGCAGGTCTTTGAGTGAGTTGGACTGGCCCTCAGTGGCCTTGAGCGCCGCCTCGATGAAGCCTTCGGTGAGGGAGAACGGACGGCCCACCAGATTGGGGAAATACTTGCCCACAAAGACGCTGGGAGGGAATTCCACGGCGGCGAGACCGTGCTCCAGCAGCCGCCTGAAAGTCCCCACGCCCTTGCGCAGCAACCTGAATCAAGAAGCCGCACACACAATCACCGAGCCATCCCACCGTCCTTCCATCTGCCCCTCACCGTGAATGGAAAGGGATGTCGATGCCCTTGAGTGGGATGGTGGCTGTGCCTCGCTGCAGCGGCACGAAGCCCCCGATGCCGCCCGTCTCGCCGCCTAGCGGGCCCGGCCCCTCCCTCTCGGCCGCACGCTGCTCGGTCTCGAGCGCATCCGCCCAGCACGAGCCGATCAGTGCCTCCACCGATGGCGGCAAGGACGACGCAGGACCCTTGGGAAGGTCGGTGGGCTGAGGAAAGCAGACATACACAGGGAACGAAAAAGGTCTGTGTGTGTAGGTGTGTGTGGTGGTCTGCCTGCTCACCGGCTCCTTAGCGAGTTTGTCGGCGGCGAGTCGTAGGGTCTCGAGGGCGGTGAGGTCGCCCGCGATGACGTACTGGGAGCCCTTGTGGTTGTAATTGACAACCTGTCACACATACACAGACACCCACACACACAATTCTCTCCATCCCCCCGTCCGTCCGTCAGCACCCTCCCGCCCAGACTATTTACCTGCAGCAGCCGTCCAGTGCGTTGATCGATGCCGGTCACGAGAGCCTCGAGCATGTCGTCAGTCACCCACTTGCCCACGCGCGACGGCGAGAAAGCCACCATGCCGTAGCGGGATCGAGAGAGGTGATCCCTGTCGACGACCGACTGCATGGTGAGCCCTCGGAGGAAGACCAGCTCGGCGATGGTCTCGATCGGGATGACGTTGGCCACGCTGCACAGGGCCGCATACTCGCCCAAAGAGTGCCCGGCGAAGAGAGCTGACGGCTGCACGCAACCCTGGGCACGGAGGTCCTCAAACCATGCCTTCTCGAACAGGAGAATCGCTGACAGAAGACAAGACCATTGCACACATATAGCTATAAGGGGTGCACATCCATGCACTCTTACCAGGCTGCGTGAACTGTGTGGCGAAGAGCAGCCCCTCGGATGCGTAGAACCTGATGCCAGGTGCGCTGCTGTCCTCTGCCTCCGGGAAGAGCGCCTCATCCTTGCCGTCCTTGCCGCTCTTGCGGATGGCGGCGTATGCCTGCCGCAGCTGGTCGCCGCCCTGTCCGAGGAACGAGACCCAGAGCTCCTTGGGGTTGCGCTTGACGATGTCGATGATGGAGAAGGCGTATTTCTGCTTGAAGAAGGCGTCCGCACGGTCCCACACCGCCTGGGCGGCGTGGCTCGTGTTGTAGAGGTCCATGCCCATGTTGGCCTCGGCAGATCCCTGACCTGTGAGAGGAAACACTCGTGGTTGCCTCTGTGTGCCTGGTTATGTGCTGTGAGGGGGAGTGGGTGTGTCGTGTACCTGTGAAGAGGTAAGTGATGGGTGGCTGTCCGACCTCGGCGGTCCCCTTGACGGCCAGCACCCAGTTGCCCCTTCGGTGGGGGTCCTCTGTCTTGAGCTCCCACTGCACCACACGAGACCCGTGACGCGTACCAATCAACGTGCCTGACGCACACACCCACACACAGAGAGAGCGAGTCACGCACATGTGTACCGGGGTGTGTGTGTGTGGGTGGGTGGGTGGGTGTGTGTTTACAGCTGGTCTTCAGTCTTGAAGCCGAGTGCACCATGCCGACGAACTCCGCCTTGATCATGACCACAGGCCCGCCCACGGCCGCCTCGATGGCCTGACGCGCCCTTGCCGCATTGAGCATACCGTGCACTATGGGGCGATCCAAACCGGCCAAAGCCGCCGCAAACGGACTCACCTGCAGAAACACACACCCCACACACCATGCCATGCCAACATGGCACTACCTCGCATGTGTCTCTCGGTGTCAGCGTACATGGAGTGGGTTTGTGTCCCTGGAGGCGAACGCGTATGGCACGTCGCTGTGGTGCGCCCTGTCGAGCTGAGTGCGGTAGGTGCATGGCGGTGCCGGGGCCATCTTGTCATGGGGCGTGCCGTGGCGGTCGAGGAAGGCCAGCACGGGGCAGTTGGTGGCCGACGGGGTCGTCAGGGAGATGCTACCGATCTGCACACCAGAACGGGTTATCGTGCCTGAGAAAGAGTCGCAGACAACACCCACACACACACATGGTTATCATTGAGGCATCAATCCCTTTGGTCTGTGTGTCCCGCTCGCCTACCTTTAGTCTCGAATTTGCTCATTCCGTTTCCGATTCGCTCCTCCCTGCTCTCGACCTTAAGGCTCAGCGCCACCCCCACCAGCACGTCGGTGGCCTTGAGGTCGTGCCACATGTCCTTGCTCATAAGGACGCCCTTGACGGCGTCGTCGGCCACAAAGACGTCGACATCCCTCTCGATGACGGTGAAGCCTTTCTCCTCCTCAAGAAGGGGGCCGCGGAAGAGGAAAGATGAGTCGATGCGCACCAGGGGCGACTGGCCTTTGCGCGACACCAGCGCACGAACCGTGACGATCCGGCCTTCGTCGCGGTCGGCGAGGCTGGTCGGCATCGCACTCACGTCAACATTGTCGCCCACCTGATCACAGAACAGAAGAAGAGAGAGAGAGTGTGTGTGTGTGTGTGTGTCTGTGGGTGTGGTCTCACTTTGAATGGCTTTTGGTTGAGGTCGAGGAGCTTGAATTGATTTGAGAGGTGGACGAGTCGGAAGAGGTCACCCAGGGGCCGGTCGCCGATGAGCGACGTCAGGATGGCGTCCCACGCCAGCACGATGGCATACTCCAGAGGCGCCTGCGCAACACACCACACCACATATACACACATCCATATTTAGCCGCATATTGCCCCTCGCCCACCCCCTCACCGTGTCAAGGTCTTCGTATCCCTGGGTCTGCTCCGAGATAGAGTGTCTGAACCGCCGCACACCCAGCGAGTCGATGACCTCCTCGCCCTTCCTGCAGCCCTCGGGCATCCACACCGCCGTGTAAAACGCAGCTATCTTGCGGCAGCGGTCCTCGTAGCTCTCCTCGACGATCGGCGCCCACGGCCGGTCGGCGTAGAAGCGGTACTCGAGACACAGCTCCGCATGGGGGTCTTCCTTGCCTTTGCCCTTCCCCCCTCCCCCGCCCCCATTCTCACAACAAATGATGGGGTGGCGCAGCACGACCCGCACAGTGGGCGCATCGGCGGACTTGCCGGCGACGAGCGTGGCCTCAAGTGATGGCAGGGACGGGTCGAGGCCCAGGCGGGTGATGTCTGGGTCGAAGATGAGGATGGATGTGTCGCTGCACTTGAAGGTCTGCGAGGCGCGGGGGTAGAACAGCCGTGCCAGGTCGTTGGCCACCCAGCGCTTATCGCGCACGATGTGCGGCGCAGTGAGCAGCGCCCTGACACACACAGACATGGACACACACACGTAGGCAGGCCTCCACCATTGCTCATTCCTTCGGCTCTCTACTCCCACCTCTTCCATGAGATCCTCTCCGGCCCTGCAAGCCTCTCCAGCCAGTGAGAGGCCTTGACCTTGGAAATTGCGCCAGGCTCGCTCGGCAGTGTCATGCTCCAGTTGCCCTCGCCAGAGGGGTCGCCGACCGGCGGGGGGGCGTCCTGGCCCACGGGGGGGCCGGCCTGCTCGATGAGGTCCTTGTGGATGTTGGTGAGGATGTCTGAGATGGGCTCGTTGGCCTTGTGCGTGTACCCGGCGGCTATCGGGCCGTGGATCGTCTGACCCACACAGACAGGCAGACAGTGGCGGGGAGTAGGTGTTTCTTTGTTTTGTCCATTCGGTGCTTTCGGTCCGTTCGGTGTTGTATGTTGCTTACGATGACTCTCTGCGGGTCTCTGTCTTTGACGAATCGGATGTCGTCTTCGGAGTAGCTGAGGCTGTCCTTCTTGAGCCATGTTTTAAGCGACGGGTCGATGACAGGAATGAAGTTGGGCGGCTTCATCCACACAATCCTGCACATCTGTTCAAAAAGAACCACAAACATGCACACAACCATCACCACTCTGACCCATCCGACCACCCATCCTCTCATCCACCCTCTCACCTCGATGAAGTAGTCTTCATCCGCCGCGCACACCAATCGGGTGGCGATCTCGGGCACCTTCTCCACCAGCCTCTGCACCACACCCTCAGGATCGTCCTCGAGCTCATGTGTGGCGAACAGCTTCCCGCCGGCCTGCCGAATCTCGTTGTTCGCCAGCCGCTCGGCCGCGCGCAGCAGCCACCTCTCGAGGCGTTCCTTGAAGTGGGGAGTGAGCCACCTGGGCGGGGAGGGCGTGGTGGATCGTGAGATGTTGATCAGACGGAGGGCGACCTCTTCGTAGGTCATGTGGGACAGGCTGCGCACGATGGTGCCGTCCTTCTTCTCACAAAAATACAGCTGCAAGCCAGAGAGGGGGCAAAGAAAAAGATTGTGGAGACGTGGTCTGGTAGTGTTTTGGTGTGTCTCTATCTGCACACACGGACCTTTTGGTAGTCGTCGTTGAATCGCTGGGCGATCTTGAGCCAATCGCGATCGAGAGCCGCGGTGAGCTGGTCATCGGGCAACCTGCCAAACACATAGGCACACACAAGCATGGGGACGATAGTTTGTTGTTTCCGTGGCTGTCTCCTTCCCCCATCTCTCCAACTCACTTGTTGAAGTACTGATCGTCCAGCTCCCGCCAGAGCTTTGCCGCCCGGTTGCAGACCAGATGGATGGGCTCGCCCAGCTCGCTTGTCACCGTCAGCACCCCGCCACACCCCTTCGTCCCATAGCTCTGCTCCCACTCCTTCTCCCTATCCAGAGGCAGCCCCTCGACCTTGGCAATCATCTCCTTGACCTCGTCTGCCGTCCACGACTCCTCGCAGGCCATGACGCGCGAGCCCATGAGGATGGCGTCGAAGGGCATCGGGGGGCGGTTGTAGGGGAGAGACCACTGGCCGCTCAGGTACTTCCACGCAGAGAGGCCGTCGCCGATGCCGCCGCCGGCAACGAGGATGGTGTTGGGCAGAGCACGGATCTCGTGATACGTGGTCAGAATCGGCGCACTGGTTGAGGGGACACACAGGGATCCATGCGTGCTGTGTGAGAGCGGGCGGGGCGTTGCCTACTGTTGGTCTTCGAATGAGTGGTGCCCGCCAGCGCGGCCGCCCGTCCACTGCACAACGATCTGCGTGTCAGGGTTGCGGTCAGCTATCTCCAGGACCGCTCGGATGGCCGGCACCGACCCAGGCTTGAACGCAACACAATGACTGCCACACACACACACGCACACACACACGTGTTTCTTTGTCCACAGAGTGAGATGACTTGGTGGTTGGTGTGTTGCTTACATTCCGACGCTTCTGAAGTTGGCGAGTATCTCGTCGGCCTTGGCGGGGCTGGGGACGCCTGCCGCCACAGTGACGCCGAGGATGGGCCAGCCGTCGCGCCTGAGCTGGAGTATGAGGGGGTACTGCATCTTCCACAGGAAGGGATTCAAAAACAGCAGATTCAACCACACGCCCTCGCCGTCACTACAGACACATGGGAGAGGAGGAAGAGGGTGTTGAGTGTGTCTGTCTGTCTGTCTGCCAGGCACTGACGCGATGCTCTGCACAACGTCGTTGACGGTTTTCTTGAATATCTCGGGGGTGTGCTGCCCGCCGCCAGCGATCTCGGCGTGGAAACCCGCCTTGAGCGCTGCCTTGACAATGCGCGGCTGACAAAAGAAAAGAACACAATCACGCGCACACACACACACACACACATCCATCCATCCACTCATGTGCACACGTGGGATGGCTTTTGTGTCACCTTGACGGTAGTTGGTGTCATGCCGGCGACCATGACGGGCGGCCTTCCGAGCAATCGGCGGAACTTGGTGTCGACATACGGTCGGCCGTGCACGTCTAGCCGCACACGGGGACCAAACTCATCGAGCCAGTTCACTGCTGGCTGCAAACTGAACGAACAAAACCGCCACCACCACACACACACACAGACACGTGTAGTTGCATCCACGAGTGCGTGCGCCTGCTCACCTCATGACTTTGATCTCGAGTGCACGTGTGGGTGCGAATTCCACCCCGATGCCCGAGCCCCTGAGGTTCCTCGCCGTCAGCCCCCCGATGGACGCACCCGCCTTACCGGGGCCGAAGTCCAGCACGTGCGTGACGCTGGCCGTCATGGCGGCCACATTCCGACACACCGACAGCCAGTCGTTGATCACCACCGATTGCAGGCGAACCAACTCCATGGCAACCTGAACAGGGAGCGAGGGAGATGTGAGAAAGTGGTATCTGTGTGTGGGTGGGTGGGGGGGTGCTCACGTCGTTCCAGGTGCTGCATTTGTCGCTGAGGGGTGTGCCGTCTTCATTCGACAGGCAGGAAATGGTCAGGGGGCTGGCCTGGCTGCAGTCGGCAAACAGGCCCAAACGACCGATGTCGTCGGCAACCTTGGCCACAGCAGACTCAGACAAACTGACAACCACACACACACACACAAAGCCACACATTGATGCCGATACATCACGGTGGTACGTGTGCAATCTCAAAGCCCACCTGCAGTGGAACGGCGTGGAAACGTCCAGGAACTGAAAGGCCACCGGGTGCTTCCTCTGGCTGAACGGCACCCTGGTCTGGTCCTCGGATGGAGCGGCCTGCATGGGTTTGATGGCCTCGATGACCTGCACGAGGGCCGAGGGGTCCCCTGCGACGACGGTGAAGTCGGGGCCGTTCTTGAGGGCGATGTGGACGTGGTGCGTCGGCGGCAGGTACGCATTCACCTTTGCCAGACTCGCCGTCAGCAAAGGCACGGGCAATCCTCTGCAGACACAAACAGAGAAAGTGGCCGTCGGTGTGCGTGAGCATGCCCATGTGTGAGTGTATGGAGCTGGTGGGCGTGTGTACCTGATTGACAGCATGGGTGTGGGTTTGCCCGCTCCCGCCTCGACGGCGGCGTTCAAAACGTTAGGCGCCACCCTCCTGGGGTGGCCATAGGCGTACTGCAGCCGCAGCCCATTCCAGAACATCATACGAAGGGCCTACACACACACACACACACACACACAGACAGGCACAGACATGGATGCATGTCGACCCACGTCTGTCGCTCGTGTCACGTACGTTTCCAGCGACTTTCTGGAGTCCCTCGACAGTGTGTGCGTCCCGGTGTGCGATGCATGCGGCGGCCACAAGCCCCTGTGAGTGGCCGATGGCGGCGTGCAGCAGGCCGCGGAACTCGCCAGGGGTCATGCCCATGTCCTCGAGCGTCTGCACACACGAAGCACATCCACGATGACGTACACACAGGTGTGCTTGTCTGGCGTGTGTGTGTGTTGGCCGCGTACGCATAGGTATTGAGTCATCTGGACGAAGAAGATCATAGGGAAACTGATGGGCGCGAACGACAGGTAACTCTGCAAACAACACAGACACACACAGGACCCTCAATGGATCTCCTGTCTGTCTGCATGACAGCCTGCCCTTCTGTCTGGTAGTAGGGTGACCTGTGGCGGTGTGGTTTCTGGTTTGCGTATCCACTCCATGACGTCGAAGCCATACTTGTGGAAGCCCAGTCGCTGCACGATGCCCACAGCCTCGTCCTCGACCTCGTGGTACAGCTGCTGCGACAGGTGCTCCACAAACGGACGGATGCTCGGGTACTCCTCATACAAAGCCCGCAGGTCAGCGATGTAGTCCCCTACCGCCTGCATGATACACACACACAGGGAGGGATGCGAGTGTCTGCTGCTTGGTGCCGGTGCGTCTGGCGTAGTGAGTGCTGTCGTGCGCTGCGTGGAGAGCGTCTCTCTGTGATGCTTCACACCTCTGCGCACGCGCGTGTGTGTCCGCGTGTGTCCCCGTGTGTGTGTCCCCCCTCCCGCCCATTACCTGTCCAGCGAAGCAGGCCACATACGGGCTGCCGTTCTGCTTGGCCGTCGTCCCTCCAGACATGGCGTCTTCGTTCGGGGACTGGGTGCGCGTTGGTGTTGTCGGCGGAGGCACGTGAGCCATCAAAGATCTCCTCAATGCGTCAGCAGATCTCCACTGCCTCACTCACTCACTCCTCCATACAGCGTTTGCTCTTTTTCGAACCTTTGCTTCACATGCGGTTACGGATACCTGTCCCAATACATAAGCTCGCATTCCTGGCCGTAACGAAACCGGCGATTTTTCTGGGTTTCTCCATCCCGCCTACCGTCTCTCTGGCTTGGCTCACAGATCTGCCCCTCAGCAACGTGCAGGAGCATGTGCAGCAGCTGCGTATGACGTCTGTGTTGAAACGAACCGCTCAGGCACCAGTGCATGCGTGCATCTGTGCTCAGCAATACAGTTGTCGGAACACCACAATTGGTCCTGTGCGGTTGGGCGACTCCTCGAGCCCCGTCAGAAATAATAGTACGTCCCCCTCCTGCTAGATAATTCGTCCTCCTCTCCATGGTCATCATTTCCGGATGCCTGTTACTGTATATATTGCCTTATCTGGTCCTGGCCAGGGCCTCACCGGACTTCATCGGCGAGTGAGCAGCATCAGGATGACCGTGTGCTGATGTCTGCACGAGCTACTTTGACGGAATTCGCGGTCCTGTGGCCGAAGGCGAAGGTCAGTAAGGGTGTACGAAACATCGTCATTACCTTGATCGCTCTGTCGTGCTACCGCCCTTGGTTGTGTGCTGCCTGCCGCGCCGCAGGTACCGATGCGATAGCCGCTCGCTGTGGACAGAGCTACCTACATCCAATCAGTGCCCAGTCCAGTGTACCTGGCGTCGCGTAGACCGTCTTGTGCAAAGCGGGGAGGGGAGGGCTTCACTGTGTGTTGGAAGGACAGCAAATAGGGGGACAGTGATGGGCACACTTGAGAGTGAGAGAGTGAGCCAAGAGGGAGGGAGGGAGGCAGGTATGGAACGGCTGGCTGGCGTGTTGGTAGGGAGAGGTGTGAATGTCGTGGTTGTGTTCTGGGCCCCCACTCCTTGGTCTGTCTGTGTCAAAATGTCCGTGTGGAGCGCTTCATGGAAAAGACAAAGGAAACGGTCCGTCGGTCCATCCGTGAAATGAGTGCAACATTCATCGCAGCCACGCCATGGGCATGGTGGGCGGCCAACACCACTGATGCCAGACAGAGGAACAGACAGCCAGCCAGCCAACACACACTCACACACACACTCACACACATCCAGACAATACTGCACAGGTCCACTGCCGCCTGGGCCGATGTGGGGTACTTGAGCCCCACCAGACAAGTGGTGCTGTCGTGGCCGCTGCCCGGCATGTTGGAGGCGATGTGGCCTGACCCATCAGCACCCACACGACACATGTCCATGTCCTTTGTGTGGTGGAGAGCGAGCGTATGTCTTCGTCGATTACTGACCGTCCGGCCCGATTGGCGCCCAGCGACCGCACCCGCGCGCAGAACTCATCCACACGCTTCAGCACGACAGCACACTCCTTCTCCACCTCGCTGACGGAGTCGCGCGACTTACAGGAGTGAGATGTCGGCTTTGTCGTCGGGGAAGAGACGGTGAAGCCGCGATGAGGTCTATGTGGATGAAGCGTGACTCGGAAATGCCGAGGAGGGGCAGCTACCGCTTTCGCACCATGAGGTGGGGTAGAATGGGGAAAAACTTGTCCTGATCAGTACACACGGACACCACAACACGACAGACACAATCAATCGGCTGGGTGAAGCTGCGCCCGATGCTCATCTCTGCCCAGGTCATATATGTCGACATCATCACGCAACATCCGCGGGCGGATGGACACTGATGAGGTGTAGTCCACCACGACAGCCACAAGCACACTCACGCGTATGTTGCAACACGTGGGAGTGTCTCTCTCTGTCCAGTCGTACCGTCCGGGCTGCTTGACCTCCCAGGTGGGCCCTGCCGCGGTGTCCCTTCTGGCCCGCTCAACCTGCACACATGCACCACACCACACTAGACACACATAGAAAGATGTGCGCATGTGTGTGCTTGCGAGACGACTGACCAGGTTGCCTTGGTATCGAAAGTCTGACAGACATGACATCCATCGATGCGGAAATTCCGAACAAGAGACGGCAGAATATAAAATGTAGGCACTGCCATCGAACTCCCGTCGCAGGAGCCGTCGAACAGAGGTGCTGGGAGGAAGGCGTCAGGGGCATTCAGGAGCACACCATGAGGTGGCTAACACACACCTGCAACCACACACCAGTACAGGAAGACAACCAAGCCAGCCAGCCAGCCAGCCAGCCACATGTGTTTGTCCTTGACACGTACCTCCGCGACTAGTCGCAGCTGCAGGATGAGGCACGTCAGTGTGGTGGCCAGGTCCCTCTGTCCCCTCTCCAGCCACGCGGCCAACACACGCATCGCCGCGCCGGGAAGGTCCCACCAGACCGCATCGACGTCAAGCCACTCGGCCGAATACCCGTGACGCACATAGTCGTCGAAAGGCGCCCTCTGAGTGGCCCTCACTCCCGGTCGTCAGCAACCTCACATTAGCTACAGATGGATGGTGCCACAGGACCGACTCCAGCGTGCTGAAGAAAATCTGCGGAAGACGCCTGCCGCCTCCCATCCTGGAATGACAACGTTTCAGCCGTCCCTTCTTTTGCTGCGGGGCCCTCTGCGGCCGACTTGAAGATGGAAGCGTCGCCGTGTCGTTCGGCAGCTGCGGCATCTTCATCTGGGCCGTTTGTGGACGCGGGATGAGTCCATCGGATGGCAGACGGAGGGGCGAAGATGCGGGAGTCGTCTGAGCCCGGACGAAGACGAGATGATCCAGCAGCACTGCCACAGCAAAGGACAGACAATGAAAGGCCACCATTTTCCCAGATCTCTTTAATCTCTTTCGCCACACAATGCGAGCTACGCATTCAAGCTCGCAACTGAAGAGGAGGGAAAAGGCGACAATTTCGCCATGTGGTATCGCGTGTGACAGCCGCAACCGCCAGCGACGCATGCTGAGCCAGTGAGCGATTGATAATGATGCTCAAGCGGAGGGACACTCTCCTCGGTACGGAGGAGGAGGGGGAGAAGCGCCTGTCGAGAGACAGCCAAGACGTACGCGCACGCGAAGCGCACAACAGCGGCACCACCAGAGGACGTAAGTGCGATGGTGCCGCTGGGGAATAGGCAGGCATGCAGGCATAATTGTGCAGGCAGCCAGGGGAGGCATGAAACAAATGTGCATTCAATGGGATCGTTCACCTTGTTTGTGCTCAGGTGGTCCGCAAGAGGGCAGGCAGCACCCTCGGCCACCACTCGCGCCTCATGGCGCTCCCCCAAGCCGTACACCCCGACCATCGCATCGCGCCACCCCCAAGCCGTACACGGGGCCTTGCTTCGACTCTCGTGAGGCTGTCATACCGGCGCATCAGGAACAACTCGCGGCCAAGGAGACCTCGCAGCAGAAGAGCGACCGGCGGCCGAGCCGCCTCCCCCCCTGCATCCCGCAGCCAGAAGCGCGTCCACCGGGGCGCGACGAGGGGGGGCTGGCTGACGTTCACAGGCTGGGAGGGCAGCTGGCGGGGGCCATGGGGAGGGACCAGCAGCTGCAGCTGGTCAGTAGATGGCTCAGCGAGCTGCCAGACGACAGCCCACACAAGGCCAAGCTGACAGAGCGTTGGGAGGAGATCATGCTGGAGCTAGTGCTGGAGGGCAGTACCAGGGCAGCTGGGGGCGAGGCGGTGCAGCATCTGTTCAAATGGGCGTTTGAGGCCGTACTCCTTGCCATGGGCCCTGGTGAGTATATTGGGTATATATGTGTACATCCGCACACCATAAAGGCCAAGGGCTTAGGCCTTCAGTGTACGGAGACCTAAGGGAGAATGGGGCGAAGGTGAGGCGTGAGAGTCATGACGTTCGCACTCGCCGGCGTCAGGAAGCTGGGCGTGGCGGCGGCGGGCGCGCCCAGGGACTCCGCGAGGAAGCGGCCCCTGCAGCTGCAGCAGCGAGTGTGGGTGGCGGACACAGGCCGCGCGAGAGGATGCTCATTGACGACGACGCTGCCCGACCCAAATCGCTGGCAGACGACCCTCACGACGCAGAGGACCAGGAGGCGGAGGGGGATGGAGATGCCCGCAGTGAGCCCGCTGCTGCAGCGGCCGCGGCGGCTGGTGGTGGTGGTGGGATGGGCAAGGACGAGTCGATGAAGTGTGATGATGATGAATCGGAGGAGGACATACTGCCCAGACGGCTCGGATCGAAATGTAAGCCGGGAGAGGGGGAAGGGGGCAGGGGTGGGGGGATTGAGGGAAAGGAAAATGTACGCCGGGGTGCTGACATTCATTTGCACTGTCCTTCTCTGTCTGTGTGCGGTGTGTCCGCGTGCAGCCAAGTTGCGGCGTCGGCGTGGTTTACTCGACGATGACGATGACGATGAGCAGGAGGACGACCTCGCCCGCGAGGCGGCCTTCACCAAGAAGCGCAAAGCCACAGCCGACGACGCAAGGGACGACAATGACGATCCGCGTGAGTGTGCCGACGGGCGGGAGAGGGCTATGGCCGCGTGTGGTGCCGGTGGTGGTCGTCGTGTCGACTGGGGAGATCGTGGCGATGGGATGGATATTGGTGAGCGGACGGACAGACCATCCAAAACCTCGAGCTATGCATGCATCCCCTAATCTCTCCGTGTGATGTGTTGTGGTGTTTGCTTATCCATGCAGACCTAGAAGGCCCTGCAGCAGCGGCAGCAGCTGCAGCAGGAGTTGCTGAAGACGTCCTGGTGCCATCACCAGATGGCGGCGAAGTCGCCGGGTGAGTAATGTACCTCACGCACCCACACGCCGAGACAGGCACACAGACATTGAGCCAAACGACTCTCTCTGTCTGTCTGTCTGTCTGTCTTCAGCTTCCCTCCGCCCATATTGCAGCAGCCTGACGGCGACATCGATGACGATGTGCCACTGGCTGCCCGCCGCAAGCGCCGACACCGAGAGCCGGCCGCCACCATAGATGGAGATCGCCAGGACGGCCGTCCATCACCGCCCAAGAGGGCCCGACGGGAGGCTGCCCGTGGTGCTGGGGCTAGTGCTGCTGGTGTTGAGTGGACCCGTGACGAGAACGGGCGACTAAAGCGCCGGAAGTAGACAGCCAAGTCATCATGGCTGGGGTGTGTGTGTGGCTGATGGATGCGATGGATGGATGGGAACACGGGGCCGGGAGGATGGATGACATCCATGCACACACGCAATTGTATAGCTTGAGTGTTGGTCGAGTGGTGGAAAGGTGGGAGACCGGGAGAGTGTACAGTATCCGGCAGATAGATGTGGTGGGTGGTGGATGGATGGACGGATGGATGGATGGACGATCCGTCATTCATCAGCCAGGTGGTACGCACTATAAGGAGGGGCGCGCCAAGTGTCAATCCCGCCCCGACACGATAGAGACAGATAGCCCACGTACCCGAGGTGTTCTGCTGCGGTGTGTGTGTGTGAATGGGCGTCGGTCTGGCTTTGGTGTTATCGTTCATGGTCTGGTGTGCACATGTGAGGCTGTGCTGCTCATGCTTGATGTTGTGCTCTATCTCAGTGAATACATAATGTGCTTTCCTTTGATGGCCGGCCATTTAGCCAATTGATAGGAGCCATCTAATGTCGTGTGTTTTGTTGGGGGGCAGAACAGACAGACAAACAGCGGACAGAGAGACAGAGGCTTCCCGCCCACCCACCCACACACGCACACTCCTAGTAGATATACACACACCTGCCTGGCTGGCTGTCTGTCTGCCTTTCTTCCTCTCCCCGTGTGTGCCCCAGAGTGCCTCTCTGTGTGAATGGCGGCTCTGCGTGTGTGCCGATCGTGTGTTGTACGTACGTACATGCGCATTAATGGACGGCTGGCTGCGTTTGAGCGGGTATGTATGTGTGGATATATGTGGACACTCGTTGGTTGGGCGAGGCCAGGCTGCGTTCGTTGAGTTTTTGTTTGGCTGGCTGTGCAATTCGACCGCACACCACCCCACCTCTGCCAGCACTAGTTGCCCCATTGCCGCTCTGACCTTTGGCCGCTCTTTGACTGAGCTTGAGGAGAGGGGCAGTGATGGGATAACTAGTGGATAACTAGTGCTGGGAGGGGGAGGGGTGGTGTGTGTGGCCTGGGATGTGTGTGAGTGGACGGACTAACCGACAAGAGAGACAGACAGACAGACAACGGCTCGACTGACTCGCTCAAGTGAACGGAGTGGGTGGGCGGTGAGTGGATGGATCCACGTACTCTATAATATCATCCATAACGCACACACACTCACACACACGAGAGAGAAAAAGAGAGCCCCTCTACTGATCGTGCTGCCGTGTGTGTGAATGGTGGGTGAATGGTGTGTTAATGGGTGTGAGTCTGGCTTTCGCCTGGTGTTTGTCGTGCATGGTCTGGTGTGCACATGTGAGGCTGTTCATCACTGCCCATGCTTAACATTTGTGCTCTATCTCAGTGGATATATAATGTGCTTTCCTTTGATGGCCGGCCATTTAGCCAATTGATAGGAGCCATCCAATGTCTGTCGTGTGTTTTCTTTGTAAGTAGATCCACTGCTGCCTGGCTGTCTGTCTGCCTTTCTTCCATTCCCCGTGTGTACCCCAGAGCGGCTGTGTGTGACTGGCGGCTCTGCGTGTGTGCCGATTGTGTGTACGCGCATGCGAATTAATGGACGGCTGGGCGTCCGTTGATATGGACACTCATTGGTTGGGCGAGGCTGCGTTCGTTGATTGATGTGTAGGTGGGCGGGTTGTGTAAAAATACATGGGATGGCTGGGTGGGTGCCGGCTGACACGGACGTGTAAAATGGATTGGTGGGCTGACATGACACAGCCATTTGAGGTACGCACGTGAGACGCCCTCGCTCCTTGCCTGCCGTTCAGCAGCAGCGCACCAAACCATTTTCCACTGGAAGAAAGGCACGTGTTTCTTTCAGTTTGCTTTCAGATGACGCTGCACGCAACGAATGAATGGAGGACTGCCTTGAAGTTGACGTCGAGAAAAGAGACGGCCGAGACGCGCGGTATTTTTTTCCCTCATTTTTACGCGCAGGATGCCAGAGCTGCCCGCACACGTGATGGATACCCCGCCTGGAGCCGATTCTGGCTGTGAACAGTGTGTTCGTTGACGATGGTTGGGCATGGTTGCGCAGATGAGTGAGTGAGCAGGAATGGATGGAATGGATGGACGAGGGGTGGTGACTCGTCCTGCAGCTCCATCACGCCCTCCGCCCATCGTCCTCGAGCTCCATCCCACTCGACGAGTATCGCCTTCCCCCGCCCAAGGCCGTGCACTATCGCTTTTCTTTGTCTGGTGTATCCTTCCTGTGTACGGTAGGTATGCCTTCACCTACCGGACACCTCTTTCTCTCCCCGTGGGTCCGTGCTGACCGATGTGCTGTGTGTGTGTGTGTGTGCTTCACCGGTGGTGCGTGTGCGGCGTGATGATATATATCGGCGGCGAGTGCTGGTGTAGATTGAGTGGCGGGGTGGATTTGGCAGGCAGGCAGACAAACAGACAGACAGAGCGCTTACACCCGACGGGAGGTAAGCGGGACGATGGGCGGGAATACAGATGGATGGATGGATCTCTGTGGACACATACAGGGTTCTGAAGGACGTGTGGTCCAAGGAGACAGCCGGCTTGAGGCGTGAGGGCCCGCATCGCCACGAGACTCCTCGCCACGTACACGACTGCCGACTACGAATAAGGACACACAAGTAGGATGACACACGCAAATGGATGGATGGATCACTGATGGTGTGGTGCGTGTGGATGAATGCAGCAGCACCAGCAGCCCTTCCCAGCCATCCTGTCGGGCCACGGCCACCATGCCGCCATTTTGGGTGCCCATGGCGGTGCAGCTGCTCCATCTATCGCACACAGGACGGCCTGTAAGCCGGGCGATGGATGGATGGACACATGGATGGGATAGGCGACTATGACATGGATGGATGGTGTGCAGAGTCCCGGAGAACGTGCTCGTCGAGAAGCGAGGACCTACCTCGGTGAGGTCAAGGTGGGCGTCCTCTCGCCCCGAATGGCGCAGTACGGCAAATACACCACCGCCAACCACGAGTAAGACGGCGGACAAGAGCGATGATGCGCACGCAAACGGACGGATGGGTCATTGATGAAGTGATCTGTCTGGAGTGCAGCGTGCTTGACAACCATGAGCCGAGCCTCGCTGGTGAATTTGGACGGCACCACCAAGTCCATCGCAGCAGCAGCGACAGTACAGTAGCAGTAGCAGCATCGACATGGCCGCCATCGTCTGTTCGGCCCGCGTCCAGTACCTCCTCCCCCGTCAACCACCACCACCTAGGCCCCCTACACGACACAGAAGGCTCTGGTGGGTGCCCCTCCTCTGCCTCACCGTCTACCTCCTGGGACTCCCAATATACCTTGCCCTCACGTAAGATACACACACACACACACACACACACACAGAGAGAGAGAGAGACAGACAGACAGACAGAGAGAGAGGAGGGCCGCTCTGTATGTTTGTGTTGTTGCTTGTGTGTGCATTCAGGGGCTGAGGCGGATCCTTCGTGTTGCTGGTGGCTGGCTGTCGATTCAGTCAACCGTTTTCCACCGAGCACCACCCACACATGGCCTCACACACCACACGTGTTTCCATTTCTGTCTGGCTGATCGATGTTGCCCTTTGACGTCTCTGTGCTACGTGTGCAGTGTGTGTGAGGGAGTGGTACCTTTTTGGCCATCGTTGTCTCCATTTTATATTCTGATGTCTCTGCTTGGAAGAATCAAGGTGGCACGTAAGTGAGACGGTGGGTGGGGAAGTGGATGGATGGATGGATGGTTTGTGTCTGTCTATGTGCAGGAGTGTGCAGAAGAAGTTGACGAGGGAGCGGACCTACCTCGGCAAGCTGAAGGGGCGCCTCCCACCACCACCACCACGACCTACGCCCCATACACGGCAAACGGGCCGTAAGTGGGACGATGGGTGCGAGAAAGGATGATGGATGGATGGGCTGGGCAATGATGGATGGATGGATGGATGGATCTCTGTCTGTGTGCAGCACTGTGCCGAAGGCGACGGTCCACGAGCGGACCTACCTGGGCGACGTCAAGGGGCGGTTCCTGACGCCCACTTTCACCCACTACGGCGAATACACGACGTCGAACCACGAGTAAGGCGGCAGGCGAGAGGGATGATGGGCACACAACAAACGGAGGGAGGGATGGCTCATTCATTCGGTGTGACCTGTGTGTGTGAATAAGTGCAGCGTGTTCGACAAAGTCGTGCTCGAGTCCCGGTACCGACTCGCCTGCAGGACGGTGCGCTCCTGGTACAGCGGCCGCACCTGGACCTTCACCGTCCCCAAGCCACCCACCACCGTCACCCCACCATCACCCCCTACTTTGCCATCCCCGCACCCTTCATCGAGGCCCTCAAGCTCCGAGTCGACGCCAAGGAGGCCAAGCCAGGCCCTCCCGCTGTCCGCCCGTCTGCCTCGACTCTCTTTGAGTCGGGGCAGACGGACATGCCCGAGAGCCCAGCCAGCGGCTCACGCCGCCCGAGCGTCACCAACGGCACAGGAGTGGCGTCGCCCGTGGCGCCCCGGCGCGCCAGTCAGCCGCAGCTTCCGCCAGTCCGGGAGCAGCAGCAGCAGGAGGAGGAGGGACAGGGTGGGGGAGAGGCCGAGGGGGCGAAGGCGGGGGCGAGCGATGGTGAAGGAGAGGCCGAGGCCGCGGCTGGGGGCGAGGCGGCGGCTGCGACGTGTGAGCCTCAGGCTGCCCGTGCGTCGCGTTGGGAGGCGGTGAGCGACAACCCACTGGACGGCTGGTGGTTCAGGGTGGTTGGGGACTGGGAGATCTACGTCCCCCACCCGCTGCCACCTGTCCTGTACCTGGCGGCCAATGGCCTGTTTGCGGCACTCTTGGCACCATTCCTCTTATGGTAAGCCGCACACACAGACAGACGCACCTGTGTATGTTCATTCTCTGTCGTGTTTGTTGTGTGTGGCTGTGCAGAGGGGACCTGAATGTGTCACAGCAAGGAGGAAGGCCAGATAGACGCAAACACAGACTAAGTCACGCGGGTGTGCGTGCGTATGGGGAGGGGGGAAGGGTTCGACTGACTGACTGACTTTCCTGCTGTCGCTCTGTCTGGCTGTGTATTGTTTGGAAAGGGTGAACGGCTCGGCTGTTTTCTCTCCTCTGTGACACACACAGAGAGCGCGGCCGAGCGACCGGCAGATTCCCATCCCCTCTCCTTTTGCTCATCGTTGCCTACATTTTATATTGTGGTGTCTCTTCGTATATTGTTCCCACGTCAGCACAGGACAATGTATTGGACCCACCCAAGTGTCCGTCATGTCACTGACAGCTCAAATCTGCTCACTGTACACTGACCGAAGGCACCCACAATGAAAGCGAATGGGATCACACGAGCATCATATCAATCACGCCCCGATGCAGAGCTGCTGCTGCTGCTGCTGTGGCTCAGGGGCGTGAGGGATGGCTCTTGCCTCCTCGCCAGCTCGATCAGCTCCTCAGACCGAGACAGGAAGTTGGGCGAAGCGAAGAAGGAGAAGTCCTCCAGACATGCCAGCAGACCTGCCTTGCTGAAGGCGTCAGCCTCGCCTGAGAGATGAACAGAGGCACAAGGTAATGAAGAGAAGAGAGGTGAGACACGGGACACGTGGCGTACCGTAGTCGATGGATGTGACGTAGATGGACTCGATGGTGCTCTCGGAGACGTTGCTGTCGAGGTGCCGCATGAAAGCAGAAAACTCATCCAGCTGCAACAGGCCGTCACCTGCTCGCCACATCACATCACATCGACAGACACCACAAGCATAGAGGACCGTATTCATGTCTCTCCCTCTTTGTCTCTGTAACCTTACCAGAGGTGGCGAATTGGTCGAATATGGTGTTGATGACGTCGGCTTTGTGATAGTGCTCCTGCACCGCCGCGATGACTATGCACCACATGGCAGACGCGTCGGACACGACACACGCATAATCGGCTGTCATGGTCTTCCTGACACCATTCCACACACACGCGCACACAGACACCGTCCAGACACTCTCATCTGTCTGCCCGTGCAGTCTCTCATTACATGAAAAGTCTCCTGAACGCGGGTCCGCTGACGGTCGCATTTGCCCCGTCCGCGGCACTGTCCTTGTCGACGAGACCTTCCCGAGCAAACACGGCAGATATCTCACTCTGACATGCACACGTAAGGTGTCCAAGTAATCGGTTGGATAAGAGACGGCCAGTGCGCTCACCCGGTTGAAGTGCACTTTGGCCTTGTGTCTCAGCCACTTGTAGACACTCTCAAATGAGGCATTCTCTTCGCCTGACGCCCGCAGACACACACATCCAAGGAATGCACACAAGCACCCTTTACTCCTCTTCCCGCTCTTCAGCCCACCCTTGGCAATGAGCTGCCATGAGTCCACTGGCCAGGTGCCGGCGACGACTGTGTGCGGCTTTGCCTTCTTCATGTAGCTGACGATGCACATCCCCACCAACGCAGCCAGGCGCACCAGAGGATCGCCAGACGACGTGCGACTGCCCTGCATAGAGACAGCAAGCAGGACACACAAGCACGGTGGGATGTGGCTCTTCCTTGTTATCTTTTGTGCCTACGTCGCCATTTGGAGTGGCGGCGGCTTCTGACTCCATGTGGGCAAAGTCTGCCAGACATCGGTGGAACTCATGTGTCAGCACAGGCGATGCATCCTTCAAAAGCCTGACGTTTTGAAAAGAGCCAACACACATTTCATTCGCCTTGCACGCAATGGTCCCTCACGCATTCGCCGCTTGCAGGCACACATCCACGCCCTGCACTTCGCCCGTTGGCCCGCTCCGCCTCTTTGTCTTCTTGCTGTCCTTGTCGCCCTTCCAAATGGTGTCCATTTCGTGCAGCAGCCGCACAGCGAGAGACGTCTGCTGAGCTGCCAGCCTCCCCAACTTGCGAAATTTCAGGCGCAGGAATCCTTCGTTGGCAAAGTCTGTCGAGCCGTTAGTGTGTGAGTGGCCCTTGTTGATGAACTGGTGCTGCATCTTGGACTCGAGAAAGTCCGGCAAGGGGTATGAGTCGGCGTCGTCAGTCTCGTCGCACAACATCCTGACGGTCGATTCATCACCCCACGTGAGACAAGGAGGTGTCAATGCTTGTGTGTCATGTGAGTTGTGCGTGCCTGATGATTAGCTGTGCGAAGTGGTTGCTGCTCAGCTGCCCGGTGACGGCGCTGCTGAAGTTCTGTTTGGCCGCATTGGTGAGGGAGACGAGGCCGTATTTCCGCAGGTAGTAGGTGGTGAGGTGCTGCGTCAGCCGATAGCGATTAACACCGGACAGCGGACCCTCTTGCTCCTGAAAAGCCGATTAGCAGCAGAGACAGGACATTGCATGGGCGTCCATCTATGTGTCTGCATGGGCTCGCTTGCTTTGAGCAGTCGGCTGGCCCATGTGACGAGGATGTCTCTGCCCTCAGCGGCAAACTGATCCATCAACCAGATGTCTGCGGGCTCTTCTAGATCGTAGGATTGTGTATGTGCGGGATACCTGTTCTTTGGTGAGTGTGGATGGCTTTGTGCCGGTGTCTTTGAGGAAGTCCTCCTGACTCATGCGACGCACACGCTTGGCCACAGTCGCCTTGAGAGACTGACACACAAGCAGACAGACAGGATGACACACAGCGACGCGCACACAGGTGGGCCCCTCCTCCTTGTCTCACCGCATCTGTTTGCGTCTCCTTGTTCGATCTGAGTGGCGAGACCTCCTCACTCAGACCCACAATGGACTTCTCTTGCTGCTCCATAGAAAAGGAGAATAGCAAACGCATCCGAAAGTGTCGGCCCACGCAACGGGCGGGGGCACCTAAACCCACCTGCAGCTTCTTGAGTGAGGCGGACAGTGCCTTGTATTCGCCCTCGTACAGCTCATATGACTGATCCAGCCGATCCACGAGAGAACGATACCTGCATATTCGCACGCACACACGCTTCGAACAGGGGTGTTCGATATCACATGTGGATGGCGTACCTAGCGTCTGCCTGGTCGGTGAGTGCTTGTTGGATGGCTTTGCGTGAGTCACCCAGGGACGGCCCAGCCTTTTGGGCAATGCTATCCATCTGAGCTTGGCAGAGTGCCGTGAGCGTCTTCTTCACTTTGTCCCTGCACAAAAAAGAGATGCAGCCATACGCCTCTTTGAAAGAAATGTGCAGAGTGGTAATCGACTACCTTTGTTTCGACATCACGTCTAGTCCCTCCTCCTGCCAGCAGACATCAGGGACGAGACATGACACAACATTGCCACCGATCGTCGTGAGGCTCGTACCGCTGCGGCCCTTCTCTTGTATCTCCTCTTCACGGGATCATACAGAAAGTCTGCCGTCCTATCCTACAGACACACACACACGCACACACACGCATCAAAATAAACAGACGATCTTGGATTAAGTGAGACATGACTTGTGCTGTGTGTAGCATGCACCCACCTGAAAAAAACTGAGGCCGTCGAAGAGGCTATGGATCTCCCGCTGGTCGTCGTGCTCACTCAGGTCGCCCGTCTGTGTGGCTGCCGGCATGCGCATGACCATCTTCTGCATGATGTACATCATCGACTTGCGCCTGCTGATCCCATCGGCTGGCGGCACAGCACCAGGTATCTTAGGGCTCTGTAGCGTGCCCGTCGATGGCTCGGCGGGAGGCTCATCCATTCCTGCCAGTGCGTGTAGCAGCCATCCATCACCGCCATTTCCACCACTCCACTCATTTGTACCTTCCTGGGAGGCTTTGATGATCCTTTCCATCTCTTCCACCCGGTCGTGCAGCTCCTCATTCTCCACCTCCAAGTCATTCTTCTGCCGCAACAAGTCAGACCTGCAACACACCCACAAAGGGTCGCTCGATCCAAGTGCAAGTGCAGCCTGCCTGACTGCCTGTGTGTGTGCGTGGCGTGCTCACCACATGTCTTCCTGTTTCTGCATCTCCTCCTTGAGCTCTCGGTACTTTTCCTTCAGCTTCATGTAGGCAGACCCCGCCCCTTCGTTCTGCTTCTGGCGCTCCAGGAGGTCGTCGATCTCTCTGTCCTTCTCACTCAGCGCCCGCCTGTGCCCATCGCTGTCCTAACACAGACGTACACACACACACATACGTACGTTGTCGATGCCATCGATCCATGGGCGTCTGTGGCTTGGGCTGTGGGTGCACCTCTTCCATTTGGTTCTCGTATGTGTCGATGACGTCATCCATTATCCGCAGCACGCCGAGAGATATCAAGTCTACACAGCCAGGGGCCCCCTGAGACAGACAGACACAAGCGCACAACAGTGCCCCATGCGATCCCACGCATAGAGGAGACACAGACACCCACCTGCAGGAACGGTCCCACGACCTTAGCAAATCGGCTCAGCTGCCCCATGAGCAAGTCCAGCAGCTCCCCCATCCCTTTTCCCAACCCAATGCGCCTTCCCTCTTCCCTCCCGCCCTCGCTCTTGTGGCCGTGCGGCGCGAGTGTTGACTTCTTTGCCGAAGACCTTGACGCAACATCCGCTGCTGTCGGCTGCCGCCACTCAGTCACGCTGGTGTCTGGGAGAAGGGAGGAGGGGGCGCGGGAGGCGTCCTTGGCCGCCTGTCGATGAGACCTGTCTGTTGGAGCGATCAGTGGAGATCTGACACAGATAAGAAGGATAGCAGCTCTCTTGTGTGTGCTAGTGTGTGGCTGCGCACCTCCTGCACAGGTCTGCGACAGCATGTTTGATGAGGGCACACTGCGCCTCGCCGTCGGAGAACTTCTTGCGCAGCCGCCTCTCAAAGGATGCCTCAGGTTGCGCCAGATGTCCCACCAACGTCCTGACCAACCACAGATACACACCGAGTGACAGTTTTGGGCGGCTTCGTATGCTGTCTCACTTGATCAGTTGGTTGTGCGAGATGGTGAATCTGAGGTGCCGCACCGTCCCCGGCTCAAAGTCACATCTGGCCACAAACACGCCGCTCGACAGCTCGTTGCTCGTGATGGACTTCTTGGACGGATCGACAGGGTCCCAAATGGCCGTCGGCAGCCGCGTGGTCACCTGTACACTCACAAACCCCGGCCGCTTCGCCGTTTCGCGAAAGGGATACTCGACTTTTTCCAAATCGATTGTCAGCGCATCAGCCAGCACATTGACGAGCCCCTCCTCCCCCCGGCTGTCCATTGATGGGGGCGGGATGCCTTTCTGTGCGCACTCGATCATCGTCTGCTCGTGGATGTGCCTCAGCATGGACTCTGGAGGCCTGCGTGTGCCGAAGTGGGTGTGGACGAGAGCCGAAAGGGCAGGCTCGGTGAAGCTGGCCTGAAGTTTCTTGGTGACGTCGTTGTCTGTTGTAGACACGGCATGCGCATCCTCCGTGACCAGGAAGGCTGCCGCCTCGTCGTGTGTGAGGCCTTTCCCAGTTTGACTTTCGCCCTGTGTGAGCGCCTTGGTCGCCTCCTTCGCAACTCCTTTCTCAAGATACGACTGGTGGTCACACAGACACAAACGGCAATCGAATAGCTGGTGATGGATTGGTCCATAACGTGCTGTGGTACCTTCAGGCCGCCAGGCCCCCATCGATTTGTCGGGGCGAGTGCTGCAAGTGTCGCCTCCTGCAGAAACTTCCTCTGCTTGGCTCCTGACGACCATCCGGCACTCGGCAACACATTCGCCCGCTTCTTGAGCACCCTGCACACACAAATACATGCACACACAAGCACGTACAGCCATGAACACAGGAGCCCCACGTGAGCTGACCTTACCTTTTCAGCGCCCCATCGAAGGGGATGCCGTGTATGTGTGTCTGCGCATAGCATATGACGGCCAACCGACTGGAGAGTGGCCCCCCCGATCCCCCTCCCTTCGGCAGCCCTGCCCCGGCTGTATACTGCAGTTCCACCTGTTTGTCCGTGAGGTGGCTGATGGCGTTGGCCACATCTCTCTGACGCGGCACCTCTTTCTGCAGTGCAAGGATGCCTCGGTGGATGTCGTCCAGCTCCTGATAGGCATCTCTAGGCTCCATTTCGCTTACCTCCCACCTTCAAGCTCGCCAATTCTAAGCGCGCAGATCCCGGCAAAATGGGGAAACGAAGGCCTCGGAAGAAGCGGCCTCTGGAGAGCAACGACAGTGAGTCACAAACGCGCGAAGATCTGAAGACCCGACGCAGCAGACTTGACAAGAGGCGGGTGGCCAATCCGTACTTCGATGCCTACTACCGGGCGCAGAACATCTTCCCTGCGGATGAGTGGCCGCTGTTCTATGAGGCGTGTCGCGTGGCTTTGCCGACGGTGGTGCGGATCAACGCGTCGAGGCCGCTGTGGCGGGAGAGGGTGCGGCGGCTGATGGGGGATTACAGATGGAAGCCGAGGCTGTGGGACGGCACAGAGGGGGTGAGTGCATGCCTGCATGTATCACAAGAAGGCCATGTCTGTGTCCTGTTGTGTGTGCCATGATTGTTGTTCAGCTGCCATTGGTGTGGGAGTGTTCTTGTGAGGACTACAACGCCAATTCGGACATCAGAGAGGTACAGTAAGTGGAGCGCAGCGTGGGACACATCAGACACAACACGCATGTCGTTGTCTGTCTGTGTGGTGGGATGGATGTCCAATCAGTGGTGCGAGTTGCTGAATCGTCGAGGTGATGTGACGTTCCAGGAGCTGGCCTCCATGCTGCCCCCGCTCATCCTCGACATCGAGCCGTCCCATCTCGTGCTGGACATGTGCGCTGCGCCTGGGTCCAAGACCACACAGGCCATCGAGCACCAGCTGTCCCGCCACCGCACATTCGCTACCGAGGAGGAAGACGCAGCAAGTGCAAGCGACGCTGATGGTGCCGCCATGCCCACAGGTGAGCCATCTGTGAGAGGGGGTAAAGGTGGACGTATGGATGTGTATGCCATGTGTGCATGTTGGCGTGTGGATGTAGGTGGTGTGATATCCAACGACAAGGACGTGCACCGCTGCTGCATGATATTGCAAAGGCAGATCAGGAAGACCGCTTCGCCAGGCGGTAAGGCCACATAGCACACACGCACGCCGTACACACACACGAATGCATCAATGGACATCGCATTCATTCAGTGGCCGTGTTTCTCGGTGACGGCAACAAGCTGCCCTTCGTGCGCGACGAGCCCAACTCAGTTGACTGGACGAGGCGGCCCAACGATCCCTTCGACCACCCCCCGTGTGTCATGTTCGACCGCATCATGGCCGACGTGCCCTGCTCTGGTGACGGTACCTTGCGCAAGAACCACCAGATATGGCAGAACTGGCACGGCAAAAACGGCGTGGAGATGCACCCTATGTGAGCCACTAGGGCGGCTGTGTGTGGGTGTGTGGATGGATTGATATTGGTGTGTGTTTGTGTGTCACAGCCAGGTGAAACTGCTGGTGAAGGGGCTGCGTCACCTGAAAGTCGGCGGCAAGCTCGTCTACTCGACCTGTTCTCTGAACCCGATCGAGAACGAAGCCGTAAGTGACCGCACACAACTCCGCTCTTTACCATCCGCATGTCAATCTGTCAGACATCTGTCAATCCATCCATCCATCCATCCATCAGGTGCTGCTGGCCGCCATTCGCTCCTACACCCAAGACAACCCTCACGAGTCCATCGCCATCCTCCCCATCCCTGCGGTCATCCCCGAGCTGCGTGTGCTGCCCGGCCTCACCACATGGCGCGTGCCGCAGTGGGTGGACAGGAAGGTCGTCTCGGAGACCGCACGCAGGATGGGCGCAGAGGCCGACAAGACAGAGGGAGATAGAAATGGTGATGACGCTGAGATGGCCACTGAAGACGCTCAAGCAGAGGTGAAGATGGACGGAGGAGAGGCCGGGGCCGAGACCGTGAACAACGAGACGGTGACGTATCCCTTTTTCGACTCATGGGACAGCGTGCCAGAGAGGGAGCGTGCGCCAAAAGGCCTCATCTGGCGGTCGATGTTCCCCCCCTCCCCACCTCCACCCACACCCGCCCCTCGCCCACCATCACAGCCCCTCCCCCTTCCCCTTCCGGCCACTCCCTCTCAGAACACAAACACCGAAGACGACCGGCTGGTCGCGTCGCTCACGCAATGCCTCCGTGTCCCCCCGCACCACAACAACGCTGGAGGCTTCTTCGTTGCTCTGCTGACCAAGACAGAGAGGCCGGGCGGCAGGTCAAGGCGAGAAATGGAAACGGACAGAGAGGGGAGGGCGTACGAGTTCCGGGAGCTGAGTGAGGAGGAGAAGCGAGAGGAGGAGAAGTCCTTCCTGGCGCTGACCCACGCGCACCAGACGGGCCGGTACAAGACATTCATCAGCTTCCGCTACCAGCCTGTGAGGCACCACGATCCCGAGTGGCAGGCCATCAGGCGGTGCTGGGGGCTGCATGGGGCAGAGACAGAGGGAGAGGCTGGTGGTGGTGGGGGTATGGATGATGGTGTGGATGGTGATGGTGATCTGTGTCGGTCGGCCGATGTGTCCATTGGTGGGTATCCGCTCTACTGGTGGATCGACTGCTACGGAGCGCCCAAAAGGGTGAGACAGAGGGAGGGAGGGAGGGAGGGTGGATGGGTGATCCGCACGTATGTTTCTGTTTGTCTGTGCATACAGCTGGTTGCCGTGTCGCCCCGTCTGAGCGACTACCTGCTCTCACGTCTTGCCTTCAAAAGGCGGAAGCTGGCCATTCCGGCAATTGTCACGGTACCAATCAGAAGAAGACCACGAGCACCTAACATGACTCATCTGTCTTGCTGCGTGTGGTTGGTGGGTGTGCGCATATATCTCAGTTGGGCCTACGTGTCCTGGAGCGCTTCCCTGAAGGGTTTCTGGTCGATTGTGAGTGCCGCTGGCGGGCGGCGCAGGAGAGCACCCACCTCCTGGCCTCGTGAGGGATCAGACACACACACGCCAGCGCACACTTGTGTCCATATCGTCTGTGCGGGTTGCAGGCATTCATCGCACCGGAAGGTCCGGATGACCCCCAGGCTGCTCATCAAGGTGAGACCCACGACACACCGAACACACACACATACCAACGCACATCACGTGCCCCTTGTCTCTCTCCTTCTCTATCTCTCTCGTCAGCTGCTGCGCGAGAGGCACATTCTGGCGTCTGAACTGCCCGCGCTTGAGGAATCTGGTGAGGTGGAGGGCACGGACAAAGGGGAGCTGCCGATAGGTGCGGTGCTGGTGGGTCTCATGATGCCTGCTGAGGGTCGTCATGAGCTGAGGCGGGTGTGGGTGGTGGGGATGCTCACACTGAGATCCATACAGGTCAGGAGGGAGGGAGGGAAGGAGTGGAGGGGGGGTGCATGGGTGCATCGATGTGTGTTGTGGTGTGTGCACCCGTGTCTGTGTCTGTGTCTGTGTCTGTGTGTGGGTGTAGGTGTATTCTGAGAAGGAGGAGGCGGCGAGCATCCTGCAGATGCTCGAGCACTTCTTCCCCGAGCATTCATCTGACCAACAGCAGCAGATGGCCAACGGTCCTTCGGAGACACATGAATAGCGAACTAACAGGTGGGCAGCCCCACACTGCACGCACACACACACGTGGGTGGGTGGGTTGCATGATGACATTCCCAAGGCCGAGTCGACCCATCTAGTAGCTTGGCTAGGGGGGCTGACATAACAGATAGCCAAGGTAAGTTCGGCGGCCGTCCCGTCTGTCTGTCGCTTGTTTGCCGCTCTCTCAATGCGTTTATTGAGAGTGAGTGATATGCTGACGATTGATGGGCGGCTGGCTGATGAGGCTGAGACCCACTCCCTGTGTGCATGTGTGTGTGTCTGTCTGTGTGTGTGCGTGAGGATACGTTTTCACCTTTTCATGACTGTTTTGGCACTGTGCTTGGCTGTGGATGGATGCCGTCAGGTCGCTTAGTGGGGTGAGAGGGCGCTGTCTGTTGTCGACCAGCAAAAAGACGCTATGCTATGCTATGATGGACGAACTAAGGGAGGCCCTTCAGCGTTAATTCATGACGTGTGCAGAGTCGGTCACCACAGCAAAAAAGAACCCTCGGCCCTTTCCTCATTCATTCATTCATTCATTGATTCAGCCATCCAGCCATCCATCCATCCATATGCACAGCCACACACCGGCCATACGACAAAATTGCCAGGCGACCACGTGCGAATCACCAGCACCGTCCACGTCACGTCATTCAGGCCCACAGCACCCACGCAGTCATCCAGCCATGCTGTCAGTGGACACAGGTGGAAAAAGAAACTCATGTGGTGCCACCGTACAGAGGACACAGCAGCACGTCGGGTAGCAACGATTAGAGGACACTGGCCAGCCGTCCCACACTGCACACGAACGGGCAGAATTGCTGAAAAACAGAGGCGAGCGCACGGCATCTCCCCATCACCCACACTCCCTGTCTGCCATGCAGCATCACACATGTGTCTGCCTGGCCTCTGCTGTGTGTTGTGGTCCGTGTCGTGGCACAGCCGAACACACACACACGCAGACAGCGGGGGGGCCAAGGGGCATGTAAGGCGCATGGAGGCGGAGCGGGGCGGCATCCATCCATCCATCCATCTGCAACGCATTGGCAAAGTAGAGAAAGAAGATGTACGTGTGTGTCTGTCTGGGTGACCACACGCATCAGAAGTGGGGAAAAAACAGCAAGTCGCATGCCCTCAGGCACACACAGCGACGCACGCGACATCTCTCTCTCTCTCTACCACCACACTCTTTCCTTGCTATGTCTCGCTCACACACGTGCAGGCACACGAAACCATCCATCCATCCATCCAGGCTCAGCAGCGCAACCAATCGACCCACAAACACACATAGCACCACAGGCAGCGACCAGCCAGCCAACAGACGACGGACAGGGAGGGAGGGACACAGGGACACAGGGAGGGAGGGAGGGAGGGCATTGCTTAAAGCAGCTACCTAGCTCATCGGAGACTCTCTCTTTGGGTCACAAGATGAGTGTGTCGTTCTTCCTGCCCTTATCCCTCCCTCCCTGCCTGCCTGCCTCCCTCCTCGTGTGTGCGTGTGTGTGTGTCTGTTGTGTGTCGGTGCAGTCTCTCTAGAGAGATCGATGATTCACTCACACGACGAAACACAAATCACCATCAGTGCTGAATAGATATTGACTGACCCCAACCGAGAGAGAGAGAGAGGGAGAGGGAGAGAGAGAGAGAGGGGAGGGACGGAGGGAGACCCTCTGTCCAAAAGGAGATAGCAGATAGATAACCGACAGGACACTCGACACGCCAGGCAGCTCAGCTGCTGAGCCCATCCCTTCATCTGTCTGTCTGCCTGCCTGGCTGTGTGTGGGTGGGCATCAGACATAGGCAGACTCCCAAATGAGTTCACTTGAAAGCAGAAGAATGAAGGCCGTCAGTCACCAATGTACAAACGACACGCTTATGTGGACTTACGTGTCTTTCCGACAAAACGCGCGACGTGTGTGACGCGCTTATGTTACATAACAGCCCCGCCCACACACACACACCACACGAGCCCCTCGCCTTCCCCGGCACACACCACACGAGCCCGCCCATTCACAAATGGACACATCCCGCCCGCCACACTCACACCACGGAGAGGGAGAGAGAAAGGGAGAGAGGGAGAGGGGGAGATGGCAGTCGGCCAATCGCCCGGCCGTCTCCTCTCGTACGTGACAAGTGGAGAGGAAACAGCCGGGGGACGGGCGGCGCCACACAGAGTCAGCAAACCACCTCTCACGGGCCACACAGCCGTAAAAGGGAGGCGGTGATGCCCACGCACCCCACACACACACCGTCTGTGTGTGTGTCTGTCTGTCTCTCTGTCTGAGTAGGCACACAAACATGAAATGGGCCGCGTGAGTGAGTGAGTGAGTGGGCACTAGGTGAGCGTGGCATCACAACTGGTGCACAGCTGCGTACGTGTAGCAAATCCATCCATCCATCCATCCAGGCTCAGCAGCGCAACCAATCGACCCACAAACACACATAGCACCACAGGCAGCGACCAGCCAGCCAACAGACGACGGACAGGGAGGGGGGGAGAGAGGTAGAGAGAGGAGTCTGGTCCACTTGCACCTCCCCTCCCCTCTGCACAGCCACACACAACAGACAGACACCACAGAGAACGAACATACACACAACAGGTGCGTCCGCCCACAGTGTGCTGTACGTCTGTCTGTCTGTGTGCGGCTTGCTTTGCTTACCACAGGAGGAAGGGTGCCAGGAGTGCCGCAAACAGGTAATTGGCCGCCACGTAGAGGACAGGTGGCAGGGGGTGGGGGACGTAGATCTCCCAGTCCCCAACCACCCTGAACCACCAGCCGTCCAGCGGGTTGTCGCTCACGGCCTCCCAGCGTGACGGACGGGCAGCCTGAGGCTCACACGTCGCAGCCGCCGCCTCGCCCCCAGCCGCCGCCTCGGCCTCTCCTTCACCATCGCTCGCCCCCGCTCCCGCGCCCTCTCGCTCTCCCTCTCCCTCTGGCTGCTGCTGGGGGGGCGTGATGGCCGCCGACGGCACCGCGAGAGCCTGCTCCGGGACGGGCGGCAGCTGCGGCTGACTGGCGCGCCGGGGCGCCACGGGCGATCCTGGGCCGCTGACGCTGGGGCGGCGTGAGCCGCTGGCTGGGCTCTCGGGCATGTCCGTCTGCCCCGACTCAAAGAGAGTCGAGGCAGACGGGCCGACAGCGGGGGGGCCTGGCTTGGCCTCCTTGCTGTCCGCGGTGCCGCGCTTGACGGCCTCTATGACGGGGGCGGGGATGGCGCAGGGTGGCGATGTGGGGGTGACGGTGGTGGGTGGCTTGGGGACGGTGAAGGTCCAGGTCCGGCCGGTGTACCATGACCGCACCGTTCTGCAGCCGAGCCGGAACGACTCGTGTACGACCACCTTGTCGAACTCGCTGCACTCACACACACAGATCAACCACACCAGCAATGACCCATCCATCCATTCATCAGTTTGTGTGCCCATCATCCTCTTGTCCATCGCCTTACTCGTAGTCGGCAGTCGTGTAATTGTCGTAACGAACCAGTCGGGGCGAAAGGACGCGCACCTTAACGTCGCCCAGGTAGGTCCTCTGAAGGACAGTGGCCTTGGGCACAATCCTGTATCCAGACAGAGATCCATCCATCATTGCTCGGCCCATCGATCCATCATCCCTTTCCGCATCCATCGTCCCACTTACGTGCCGTCGGGTGTCATGTAGGGCGCGTAGGTCGTGGTGGTCGGCGGGGGGACGAGGTAGCTCACCATGAACGGCTCCATGATGCTGCGACTGCTGCTACTGCTGCTACTGTTGCTGTTGTTGCTGCTGCTGCGATGCTGGTGGTGCCGTCAGATGGACCAGCGACTGGTGGGGTTGTGTGGGGTTAAAAGCGAAGGGTTTTATGGGCAGGGTTTCTTGCGGCAGGGTTTCATCGGGAGGGACCCTCGGGTCTGCTGGCATGTCTGGAGGACTTTTCCTTTTTCGCTTCGCCCAACCTTTTGTCTCGGTCTGAGGAGCTGATCGAGCTGGCGATCAGCAGCTGGGGCATTAGTGTCTGTCTGTCTGTATGTTCTTGAGAGAGATACGGGCCGAGCCGGGCTCAGGATGGATTGAGACACAAATATGTACCTTCAGATATTCGTCCATTGTGTTTCGTTGCATGCATCGCTTTCGCAGCAGAGACATGAGAATATAAAATGTAGACAGCGATAGGCCTGCCTCTCCTCACTTCGTTGTCAGAAGTGCGCAGATTCTGCTGCTGCCCCTGCATACGGGCGGCAGCTGCAGACTGGCTGGCGCGACGGGGGAAGGCCGCACCATGGTCGGGGCTCACACTCCCGCGGCGTGAGCCACTGGCTGGGCTGTCAGGCGCATGTGTCTGCCCCGACTCAAACAGAGTGGAGGCAGACGCGCCGGCAGCGAGAGGGGCAGCCGTGGCCTCCTTGCCGTCCTTGGTGCCCCGCTTCACGGCCTCGATGAGGGGTGCTGGGATGGCGGGTGTGGCGGTGGATGGTGGGGTAGTGATGGTGGATGGTGAGAGGACCGTCGTCTTGGGCGCAATCCTGTATAAAGACAGAGATCCATCCATCCATCCAGCATTGCCCAACCCATGTATCGATCCATCATCCTTTCTCGCACCCATCGTCCCACTTACGTCCCGTCGTGTGTTGTGCAGGGGGGTAGGTGGTGGTTCTGGTGGCGGCGGGAGGCGCCCCTTCAGCTTGCCGAGGTAGGTCCGCTCCCTCGCCAGCGCTTCTGCACACTCCTGCACATAGAGAGACACAATCCATCCATCCATTTATCCATTTCCCCACCCACCATTCTCACTTACGTGACGCGTTGATTCTTCCAAGCAGAGACATCAGAATATAAAATGTAGACAACGATGCCCACAAAGGTGCCTGCCCCTCCTGACAAGAAAGACACGGATTCTGCTCGCCCTCAGCTCATGCTCCTCTCTCTTTCCCTCACCTCCGCCCGCCCCCATGGTGGCTGGCTTAAGGGCTGCTGCTGCTGCTGCTGCGGCTATGTCGCCTCCCCCTCCCCACCCTGCCCCACGCACACCACCTCCGCCCACACCTTCAACCAATTGCCTTCAACCTCCCCCTCTCCCTCTCCCTGCTGCCCTTCAGTGCCCTCAGCCGCGCCCTCAGTCGTGCCCTCTCCCTCAGGCTGCTCCTGGACGGGCGGCAGTTGCGGCTGACTGCCGCGACGGGGGGAGGCCGCACCATGGTCGGGGCTCACACTGCCGCGGCGTGAGCCACTGGCTGGGCTGTCAGGCGCATGTGTCTGCCCTGACTCAAACAGAGTCGAGGCAGACGCGCCGGCAGCGAGAGGGGCAGCCGTGGCCTCCTTGGTGCCTAGCTTCACGGCTTCTATGATGGTGGGTGGCGGCTTGAGGGCAGTGAAGGTGCGGCCGCTGTACCAGGACCGCACCTTCACGCACCCCAGTCGGTAGGACTCGTACACCAGCACATCCTCTAGTTCACTGCATTCATTCATTCATCCACACATACAGACCACACCATTAACAACACGCAGTTTGTATGCCCGTCATCGCTCTTGTCTGTCGCCGTCTTACTCGTGGTCGGCGGTGGTGTAGGTGTCGTACTGCACCAGTCGGGGGGAGAGGACGCGCACCTTGACGTCACCGAGGTAGGTCCTCGTCGTGACCAGCGCCTTCTTCACGAGTCTGCACACAGGAGGGGCGGCAGCAGATCCCGGCCCATCCATGGATCCATTTTCGAGTCCATCTTCCCACTTATCGTCACTTACTTGCCCTTCTGTGTCCTGTAGCGGGCGTGGCGGGGGATGAAGGTACCACCACCGCACCTTGACGCACCCGAGTCGCCACCGGGACTCGAGCACGACCTTGTCGAACACGCTGCACTCATCCACACACACAGATCACACCGAATGACTGAGCCATGCATCCCTCCGTTTGTTGTGTGCCCATCATCCCTCTCGTCTGCCGCCCGTCTTACTCGTGGTTCGACGTCGTGTACTCGTCGTAGTGGGTCAAGGTGGGCGTCAGGAACCGGCCCTTGACCTCGCCCAGGTAGGTCCTCTCGTGGACCGTCGCCCTGGGCACAGTCCTGTATAAAGACAGAGATCCATGCATCTCAGCATCGCCCAGCCCATGTGTCCATCCATCCATCGCCCGCTTACCGGTCATCCTGTGTGCGATTGGTGGAGTGGAAGGGGTGGCCTTGTGCGGGGTTGTGGTGGTGAGGGAAGCGGCTGGCGTTGGGGCGAGGGGGTGCTGACGAAGGTGCGGCCCCTGTAGCACTGCACCTTGACCACCTGTCCCATGTAGAGGCGCTCCTCCACCCACACGCCTCCTTCCACTTTGAGTGTACTGCACTCATTCATCCACACCATCAACAACCCATCCATCCATCCATCCGTAGTACGTGCGTCATCCCTCTGGTGTGTGTGGTGGCTGGCGGCTTACTCGCCATCAGCCTTGACGTAGGTGTCATAGTGGACCATCTTGGGCGGTGATGGACGGCCGTCCTGGCGATCTCCATCTATGGTGGCGGCCGGCTCTCGATGTCGGCGCTTGCGGCGGGCAGCCAGTGGCACATCGTCATCGATGTCGCCGTCAGGCTGCTGCAATATGGGCGGAGGGAAGCTGGTGACAGACAGACAGACAGACAGATAGCGAGAGTCGTTTGGCTCAATGTCTGTGTGCCTGTCTCGGCGTGTGGGTGCGTGAGGTACATTACCCACCCGGCGACTTCGCCGCCATCTGGTGATGGCACCAGGACGTCTTCAGCAACTCCTGCTGCAGCTGCTGCCGCTGCTGCAGGGCCTTCTAGGTCTGCATGGATAAGCAAACACCACACAAGAAAGACACAGATTCTGCTCGCCCTCAGCTCATGCTCCCCTCTCTCTCACCCATTGAGTGCCTCCATTCTGGTGTGGGGTTGTGGTGGTGAGGAAAGTGGTTGGGGCGAGGGGGGTGCTGACGAAGGTACGGCCCCTGTAGCACTGTTGACCACCTGTCCCATGTAGAGGCGCTCCTCCACCCATACGCCTCCTTCCACTTTGAGTATACTGCACTCATTCATCCACACCATCAACAACCCATCCATCCATCCATCCGTTGCACGTGCGTCACGTTAGTCATCCCTCTGGTGTGTTGGTGGCTGTCGTCTTACTCGCCATCAGCCTTGACGTAGGTGTCATAGTGGACCATCTTGGGCGGGGGGAGGAGTCCCGTGGCGATGCAGACCCTCACCTCGGGCCGTCTCCTTGACCCGAAGGTCCGTCAGAACCTGCGTTTATCAACAAAGATCCACCCATCCATGCATGAGTCCAATTCGTCTCTTTTCCCCCCATGATGATCTATCCTCGACGCCTGGCCCAAGGACGCTCTCGACAATCGGTTGGGCGGCAGGCGCCAATGCGCACCTGAAAGACATGAAGTCAGAATTGTCATGTTTTTCATGTCGTCTGACACCCTGGGAGTGCTCCTGCTGTGACGGTTTCTCACATGCGGACGAATCTTGGCGTGAGTGGCTTGGTTGGCGGTGTCGCACAGCATGGCCTTGAGCTCGAAGAAGCAGCGTTGCCCGACCATTCTGAAGTGCCACTGCACATAATACACCACAGCCATCAGCAGAGGAACGCGCATCTATCTGCACCACCCGCCGCACGTGCGCACCTTCAAATGGCTGTGCCGCACCTCTCCTTGTGGTTTTGCCAGCGCGTTTGTCGTCGTTCTGGAGGCAGGGCTTCATCGGTGAAGCGCGTCGTCTCCTGCAAACACTTCTCCCATCGCCACGACGCGGCGGCAATCGTAAGCAGGGCCACGGAACGGGAAGAGGCGAAAGGCGGAGAGCTCCATGGCCGCAGACTCGTGCACGAGGGCGTGATGGAGCTGAAGGTCCGGTGGGGATGCCGTGCAGGACGAAATCCTGCGCTGCAAAAATAAACGGAAAAAATAAGACGCGTCTCTGCTGGCCTGCGTCGATCTCTTTTCTCGACGTCAACTTCAATTAAGGCGACGCATTCATTCGTTAATTGCGTGCAGCGTCATGGAGATGAACGGCTGGCGCAGGGAGGCGAAGAGAGCAAGCAGGAGAGGATGGCCTCGTGGTGCATGGTTGAAGATGCGGCATACTGCCAGTGGGGAGAAAGAATGTGTCTGTACACTCACGCAGCAGGTCATGCGGTCAGCCACGCGTGTCCCTCCCTCCCTCTGGCTAGCTAACACACGGGGTATATCCATGAAAACACCCATCTCTCCCTCCACATGGCGTGATCTGCCTATCTCTCCCCCTATTGCTGCCGTTGCTGTTGTCGCTCACGTGAGTGGAGGGGAAAAGTCTGTCTGTACACACACACGGCAGGTCGGTCATGCAGCGTGTCTCCCACTGCCTCCGTCTGGCCAGCTGGCTACACACACGAGGCATTGTCATGCACACACACATCTATCCATCCATCCATCCACATGGAGTGATCTGTCTATCCCTCCGCCCTCCTGCCGATCACCCTCTCAATCGCTACTGCTACCGTTGCTGTCGTCTGTCGCCTCAATTGCGGATGCTGCCGTAAAAGGCCGCCAGAGTCGCGGCCGCCAGCAGCACCTGCGCGTCGGCGTGAGCCGGGAAATAGTGCGCGAGGACTACCACAGCCTGAACATAAGATAAGACATGATGTGTGTTCTGGCCCTTGGGGTGCAGGCAGGCACCTGCAGGGCAATTTGAGCATCATCGTGCGCCTGCAGCGTCACTATCTTGTCCACACCGCCGGCCTGCACGGAATGTAGAGCAAGAAAGCCGTGTGTGTCGGGTTCTGGTGCTTTCTGCTCCTCTCTTGTCCACTAACCTGGTGTACTAGTTGTTGGTAGGGGTTGTCGGGGAGGCCCTCGTTGGCCTGCTTCTCCTCACCCGCACTGCACACACGCAGCAGACATGGGCAAGACACATGGGCAACACACGATGGCATGGGTGCGGACTTACATGAGTATCTTTTGCAGCACTACGAGCGTCATCTTTACGAGCAAATCGTGATTGTCGGCCTCGAGCATGCCGCAGGGACGCTGAAAATGCCCCCGCACTCAGCCACCTGCTCCATCTGCATAAAAAAATGGACGAAAAACACGGTCCAATGAGTGAATGAATGAGCACACATACGTTGATTCACACCTGTTGCTGCGATCCATCGGCTACAATGTTCATGATGGCCTTCCCCGCCATCTGCTTCAGACCGGCATGCACTTGCCCGCCGGTGACCTCGCTGGCCGCCACGTCGACGAGCACAGGCACCAGCCCGCCATCGATGATCGCCTGCCGGTGAGCAGTGCTACCTGCATCCATGGACCAGAAGGCACGCTACGCGTGACGTGAGAGATGGTGTGTGTGTGTGTGATGGTACTCTCCTTCACCTGCAGTCACGAAGTACACTATCATGCACGCGGTGCCCTTCATTTCAACTGTATCGGCACTCTGCAGGAGGGTCTTGATCGGGGCCACGGCGCCACACTGGACCAACGCGTCACGAGCAGCATCGTCACCTGGGGCAGTACGACACAGTGAGCCATGAATGAGCGATCAATGCACCCTCACTGACCTTCGCCCCCGACACACAACCCCGCGAATTCCGCCAAGGCTGCTCGTGACGACATCAGCACACGGTCGTCTTCATGCTGCTCAAACTCACCAACGAAGTCCCCAACGAGGCTGGCCAGCACCGGTACGAACCGGGCAAACTCGGCCAGGGGGACCGACAGAGGCCGGATACGCGACATACTGTGCACCAGGTGGGCACCGCAGGCGAGCGCATCGGCGCTATCACTCTCATGCATCACTGTCAGCAGGGGCTGCAGGACACCGGCGGCCAGCACGGCATCGCGACGGGTGGCCGAATCGTGTGTGATGAAGCACAGCGCCAGAATCGCCTCTCCACACACACGTTCATTGGGTGATGGCACGAGCTGCACCAGGGGCGGAACGGCCCCCGCACTGGCCACCACTGCCGCATGATGGAACGCCAGTATCCTAAGGGCCGTGGCTGCCTGAAGCTGCACCTCCTCGCATCCGCTCAGCTCCTCCACCAAGACAGGCACCACACCCGCAGCTATGGCTCTCTCGGGGATGCCATTGATGTGCTCGTCCACAGCTGTCTGCCCCATGGTGACAGCCACTTGGAGAATGTGCAGAAGCCGAGCGAGCTGCTGTATGGCGTCAGCCCTGAGATGAGCATCACTCGCCGAGGCTATGAGATGGCAGATGTTGGTCGTGACAGACGCGATGTCGGGCCTCAGAGCCTCAGAACCACGCTGAAGGACGGTCTGGTCGTAGGCCTCTTTGGTGTGGATGCCATCGCAGAGGTCTCTCGCCTTGGTCAGCACTGCTTGGGGCGAGGGGTGGCCGTCTGTGGCCTCGGCTGTGCTGGCCGCCGACTCCATTTGACCACAGCTGCGAAGACCGAAACACAGACAAACAGAGTGCAATGGTCCATTGTTGCTCTCTGCCGTCCTTCACTGACCTGGTCAGGTGCTCAGCGGCCCTCTGTTTTGGTGCTGAGAGCTACGTCACTCGCCCATCAACGAACGCCTGAGAGAACAGATGGATGACAACACAGAATGAGACAGATCTGCGCCATAAGACGGCTTCCCTTACCATGGTGTGTCCTCCAATGGCGCTGGAATGTCCGCAGAGCCCGGAAACAGCCCTCCCTCGTCGGAGTCGATCCGATCACAGATAATCGTCGCTTCGTGGGGCTTGTGCGGCCTTCCAGAGGGCAGCAGGAGCCCCATCAGACACAAACTGATGGTTTCAACTCATCGCTGAGGCCCACCGCAGGGCATCATGGCGGCAGTCATCACGGTGAGGCGAGCAGGAAAATAATCGAGCGGGAATGCCGGATGAGTGATCAATCAAGAGGTGCTCTGTGTTTCGGTTGGTCTGACAAACAGGTCGGTAGCATGAAATGGCCGCAGCAGAGAGGTACGCCCGACTCGCACACACAACAGACGACAGATGCCCTCAAAGGTGTGCTGTGCTGTCTGTGATGTGTTGCAGCCGTGTTGGTGGACGGCATGGTCAAGAGAGCGGCGTCGATGGGCTGTTGCGACGCGACCGTCATGCGGGCGGTGCGGCTGCTGGAGTCTGCCGCGCAGACAGACTCATCGACCCGAACAACGCCACACAGGCAAAGAGATCTGAATGACAGACAGAGAGTAAGGACTCATGGGATGTGTGTGTCACTTGCCTGGCTGCTGACACACAGGTAGCAGATGCGTGTGTGGCCGCCTGCGTCGAGCGGCTGGAGCCACACCTGCTGATGGACGACATGCCGGATGACCCCACACACACACAGGCAAAGGTATTGACACACAGACACAGACACGCACACGACGCTCACCTGTGCAGCGCCGACCTGTCTGTCTGGCTCTGTGTGTGCAGGTGGTGGGTCGCGCGGCGGCTGATAGTTCTGTGTGCGGCATCGGGTGTCTGGATAAGCTGTTCACTGCTGCCGGCATGAACACCCACGGCCGCCTGTTCTCATTCGCCAAATACCTCATGGTCAGTCTGTCCGCCAGCCACACACAGACACCTCCAGCCATCGCATGGCTTCTCCCTGTCTGTCTGTCTGTCTGTCTGTCTGTCCGTGCCTTTCTGTGTGTGCCTTTCTGTGTGTGTGCAGTTCTTGTCGATGTGCGACATCGATTTGGCCGGGTGCGATGTCCGTCTGCTGGCCGCCACGGCCGTCTACGTCACACGCAAGACCAACCAGAAGCAGATAGCGGGCCGCATATGGGTGAGCCAAAGCGACACGTGTCGTGGCCTATCTATGGCCTGTGTGGGTTTGTGTGTCCCATTGTTCATTGTCAGAGTGCGGCCCTTGAGGCTGAGAGTTCAGTTAGCGAGTCGGTGTTGGAGTCGAGCATGACGACGTTGAGGATGCAGCGGCTCATGTGGGGCGACACACAGACCACCAAAGGGGTGGGCATGTCAGAAGACCAGTAGAATCGCCAACACAGCACCATGTTGATGTCGTTGTCTGTCGTCTGTGTGTGGTGTGTGCAGATCGTGACCGATGCTGTAGACGAGTTGTTCGCCTCGCCCGACCGCCACGGCGTCGCATCGACCCGCAGCCACCCACAACAAGCGCAGCAGCAGCAGCATTGTCAGGTGGGTCTGATACAACCGACCGCCATGCACCAGATGTGCCTTGTGAGTGTATCGATCTGCATTGTTACGTGTGTGTGCGATCTGCAGGGGGGCAGCCAGGAGCACCCCCTCGCCCATCTGTTTGCCGAAGACCGCTGCCGCACCCCCGACATCAGCACCACACTGCAGCTGAGGGCAGCCTCACGAGACATCAGAGACGCCTTCTCGTCAGACCAGCTGCGCAGCCGACTGGACCACTCACTGAGCCGTGACGGAGATGGCATCAACACTCAGCGGCTGCAGCTGCTGCGGTTCGACCCATCGCTCGGGATTGGTGAGCTCATGGCGGCGGTGTGGATAGCCGAGGAGGGCGGGCGGTGGGATGAGACGCGGGAGGTGCTGCAGTTGGCCAGCCAGTGCCGCTACTGCACGCTGCCCCTCATGCTCACGAGAGATGACATCAACACACACGTCAACAAGACGGTAAGGCACACACAGAGGGGCGGGGAGAAAACAGAGAGGCCTCATCCCTTCTCTCTCTGTCTGTCTGTGTGGTGTGGTGTAGGCTTACTCATCGTTCCCCCGTGTGTTGGCGCAGCTCATGGTGGTCGGCCGCCAGATCGACTTCGGTGACGGCAGCTGCCTGCAGATCGTCCGCCATGCCAATGGTGAGGTGCGGGCCATCAAGGACGAGCCCGGCTTCCGACTGGCCGTCAACCCGCCCCTCGCTGCCGGCCATCTGTATCAGCAGCACCGACAGCAGCATGACCCACCAGTGCGCAGCCGCATTATCTGCCGGGACGAAGACGGCGAATGGGTGTCGCGCGGTCCGACCACCGATGCGTCGGTGTCGTCCTTCGCCAAGAGCATGGTCCTCAGCCACTTCTACTGGACTCACCAGATCAATCGCACAAGGATACGGCTCAACAGGTACCACACCAATGACAGCAGTGGCGAGAGGGGTGCGTGTGTGATTGTGTGTGTGCGTGTGTTCTTGGTTGAGGCGTGTTGGTGGCGGCCGTCTGGATGGCCTCCTCACTCAGTCGCCCCACACACCGGTGGCCGGATGCTCGACGACACTCAGCCGGGACGGTGACATGCGGTGGCTGGTGCTGACAGCAGCCACAACTTCGTCGCGTGGATTTGGATTCTGGATGTGGGAAACGGCACCGGTGAGGATGGCAGACAGGCTCAGGTGGTCAAATGTCATCAGTGTTGTTCTCTCTCTCGTCTGTCTGCAGTGTTGATTTGGATCTGGACGACCGAGGCGCCTGTGGCTGGTGTGAGTGAGGATGCGCCCTTCAAGGACCGCTTCCCCGTGACCACTCAGCTGGCCCGTGTGGCGCTGGGGCGAGTGGCGCCATATGTCTTTGACGGCCAAGTAGAAGACCAGCAGCAGGATGATGATGGTACGGACAGGGAGAGAGGGGACACCTCTATATGGTGGCCATGGATGCATGGATGGATGGATGGCATTTACTTGTCTGTCTGTCTGTCTGTCTTTGTGTGTGGTGCAGACGGCCATCGTGGCGGTGGCTGGGACGATATGGACGTCGACAGCGGAGGTGCACACGAGGAAGGAGGAAGGCACACACAGCACACCACACGCCCTAATGCCCGTCGCCATCACACAGCTATGCGTGTGTGTGTGTGCGTGCGTGTGTGTGTCTACTTGACAGGTGAGGATGCACCAGCCGAGGAGGACAACCAAGACGGCGGCGGTGACGGCAATGCATCGCCCTGACGACACACACA